ATTTTGATTATGATTAAGTCGGTGACATCGTAGGCTCGCGCGCGTAGTCCTCGAAAGTGAAGGAGAAGGTTCCTACCTTCTAACTACCTTCCTAAGGCAGAATAACTCAGAACACTCGCCGTGATAGTCGGTAGAATGCGCTTAATGATGCCACATCGCAGCATTATTGAAAAGACTCGAGGTTGCTAGTAACCTCCACATTGCTTATGATGCGAATAGCGCTCTTATATAACCTATCCAACCTATCGAGTAAGATAGGTCCTGTACTGTAACGCCCACAGCGTTGCAGCCTCTTTGCTCGTCAAGTGCCTACGGCTGGCAGTCATATTAAAAATGAACAAATCGAAAAGATCGTTGTAATACCCTTGTGATAATTCTATGAAATATAAATACAAAACGTAATTCTATGAAATATAAACGTTCAGTTCGGATGACAATGCATGATTAACAGTGTGACGTCATTCCAAATCCAATATGGCGGCATACCCAAAATGGCGGACCAATCATTTTTAATGCATTCCTACAATATGGGTATCAAATTAAAGGGCTTGCTGAGAGTAACTCGAAAAAAATATGACGTTACTCTTAATCCAATATGGCGGACTTCTAAAATTTGAAAATCAATTTAGAAACAGATATTTTTAACCGATTGAGCTGAAATTTTGCATACACGTTCAATTTGGATGACAATGCATGGTTCACAGTGTGACGTCATTCCAAATCCAACATGGCGTCATATCCAAAATGGCGCACCAATCATTTTTGATGCATTCCTACAATATGAGTATCAAATTAAAGGGCTTGCTGAGAATAACTCGAAAAATAATGTGACGTTACTCTTAATCCAATATGGCAGACTATTAAAACTCAAACATCAAATTTGAAACAGATATCTTTAACTAATTTAGTTGAAATTTTTTAAACGCGTTCAGTTTGGATGACAAGGCATGGTTAACTGTATGACGTCATTCCAAATTCAACATGGCAGAACACCCAAAATGGAGGATAATTTTCTTTTATTCATGCCTACAATATGGGTATCAAATGAAAGGTCTTGCTGAGAATAACTCTTGACGATTATATTTTGTCTTTACATGGTATCAGTATGCATGTATGTACATATGTGTGTATGTATGTATGTATGTGCATATTTGTGTATTGGTATATGCATTTGATATGATATCATGTTGGTTTAGTTAGGGTTGTAGCATGAACTGGTTAATATTTTTTTGGCGCGATAGGCGTCAACAGCTCTGGTTTGCAACCTGTCTAGGAGAAGGACAACTCCGTTACCTCCCGTGAGAGGAAATCAAGTGTTTGATAAACCTGCTAGGTTTATCCCAGCAACACACTTATGGCGCTCTTTCTTGTTAATTGAATTAACCGAAAATATGCGACAACAAGGTAGCACCACTTTTAAAGACCACTTAAACGGATTAAGAGTTGGTGAACTTCAATCTGAACATTTTGCTATTTTAATGAATTGACTAAACAAAGAACCGACAGGTGAATTTGCAATTGAAAAGGCCCTACGAATTTATCCCACTAACCAACAAGTGTATGACCATAAAAAAAGTGTTCTCGAACACACCCGGGCTCAAAGTATAACTATCAACAAAATAAGAGCACAGGATAGTCTACTAGATAGTACTCAAAACAATGACAACGTGGATTTAAATAATATTATACCATCTGATATAAATAAGACTGGAAGGTTTTCTAAGGAATTAGAAATATTTGTTGCGGCGAAAGTAATGTTACGGTACAATGTAGATGTATCCAAGGGTCTTGTGAATGGTGCAATCGGATATATAACAGAAATATGATGGCCTTGCTTCCGGAGAGCACAAATGTATGATACTGACATACCTATACGGACGTATAGACTTCGGTAAAGACGGCGTTCATCTCATTCAACCTAAGACTGCAATTTCCAGCAAAATATAGTCACGGCACTGCAGAAAGGAGAATGATACCAATTATATTATGTTGGGCTTGTACGGTACACAAAATGCAGGGTAGTACCGTCGACCATGCCGTTGTATACTTGGGCTCGAAGCTCTTTGCCGCTGGTCAAGCATATGTGGCCTTAAGTAGGGTGAAATCATTGAAGAGCTGGACTGTTCAAAATTAACTGGCAAACGACCTTGCAATAATGATGCGTTGAATGAGATGAACAGACTTAATAACTTATCAGGTGAAAACTAAAAAGTATTAAAATAAAATTAAGGTAAAAAAAACCTTTTTAAAAACAAGCTTTTATTTAAATGCGCTAAAAAGAAAAACATAAGCCTATACACTAAATCTTTTACTGTTAACTTATAACATCATTTCAAATTTAACACATTTGACACAATTTATATGTTATAAAAGCTTGTCGCGAGAGTACTCGTATTTACTTGCTGCCAATTAAAATTTTAAAACTAAGAAAGTAAATACGAGTAGGTACTTAAATCTCGCGACAAGCTTTTATAACATATAAATTGTGTCAAATGTGTTTTTGAAATGACGTTATAAGTTAACAGTAAAAAGTTTTAGTGTATAAGTTTATTTTTTTTCTTTTTAGCGCATTTAAATAAAAGCTTGTTTTTAAAAAGTTTTTTTTTACCTTAATTTTTGAAGTTATACTTCTTTAGGCGCGTTATGAAAAAATGATGAGAGTGAAATTTTTAGATGCGCGCGCATCACTGTAACCCAAAAGTAACAGCATGAAGTTGGCCGCGGACGCGTTATGAAAAAATCATGTGAGTGAAATTTCGAGATGCGCGCGCATCACTGTAACACAATAGTAACACCATGAAGTTGGCCGCGGGCGCGTTATGAATGTTAGTGTCTAATAATGGTGGTAGTGTCTAACCACTAAGTGGTTAATAATCCACCATTATTAGACATCTGTTCGAAAGGTACTTTGAACGATCCACGGAGCTCCATAAGATGAGCGCGTTGTCAAAACAATGTTGGCACGCTCGTCGCCTCTGATCACTGTTTTCATATTTATAATATTTATCCACATGTTTCTAGTTTCTATATAGACACAACGTGTTTTAGTTACTTACAAGTGCTAATTACATATGGACTAATAACTTAAATTCAGTAGTGATTTTAATTGAATATTTTGAATATTTATTTAATTTTTCAAATTAAAACTGAACTTAAATGACTATGTTAACTATCCTTTTCCAGTCCTTTTATTATTTTATTGTAATTATTAATTATTTGCATGCATTTAAAAAATATTTTTAATGATGCTAAAGAAGTATAACTTCTCACGCGCGTGCATAAGTTACACGCATCCATTTTTTTTGTTAATGTGTATCATAGATGAACTTTACAACGTCACCGGGTTTGGGGACGGCGAGAACCTAAGGGGACCCCATATCGAGAATTGGTGAGTGTCTCTAGATGTATCCTAAGCGGATGGAGGAAGTCTCCTTTCCATCTGGAACCTCTGGACAACTCGAACCTTGGGGGGTCGGCTCTATTAGAGGGCGTCTCTGAGACTCGGACCTCGGCTCTAGTTATCGTGGGGGCGGAAAAAAACGCCTACCTGAAATCTGTACCTGGTATAGCGTATCGTGTGTAGACCGGGTCTTCGCACTCTTATCCTACGGGTGCGGTATCTGCCTAATGTTAAGCTAGTGTGCAAGTTCGCTAACTGTGTAGTGTTGGTGTTTGTGGTAGTGTAGAGTAGTACTTACAAGAGGCGGTACATTTGTCCCGGACATGACGTCAAAATGTAAGAGCGGCTCAAAATTTAAAAATGTACTACTTCACATTAAATGTCTCGTTACTCACTCACTCTTCGTAAGTCTGACTGAGAGAGAGCGAAGCATGACATTTCATTTAAGTCCTCTACGCACTATCCATCTGTATCTCTATCTCTTTTACGTGTATAGCGCTGTCCTGCATGCTGGATCCAGCAAGACTGATAGTGCGTAGAGGAAGTGCTACTCGTGCACACAAACGTAATGTCGAGCTTCTGTACGCCTCAATGTCATATTTGTACTCGTCACTTCAAATGTGTTGCCGAGCTTCAGTACGCCTCGCCTCATTTGAAGTGGGACATTGTACTGACTCAGTACAAAAAAGAGGCTACTCTTACAAACTCTTTTTCAAGTCTTTTCCTACCCAACACTAGTTTGTGGGAGGAGTCGGAGGCGCGTTGGCGCGGGTGTTTTTGTCGTTGGGGTGTTCTAAGACGTGCTTAGGCCGACGGAATCGGTGGGACCTACGAGTGGAGGGCGGGACGAATCTTCCATAATCCGGGCGGATTGCTGATTAGTGCGTTCGCCCGGATTACGGAAGGTGCGGGTTCGAATACTGTCTGCAACCTTTTTTTTTTTTAAAACGCAGGTAAAAAATCTATTTACAGACGACGGCGCCTTTAAGAGGCACACCGCCGAACGGACCTCATACCTGGCTCCCGCAAGTCTTACGAACCCCCCAGTGGCTGCCCACCAAGGACCTCGCAACTCTTATCCGCTAAAAAAGTCCTGCGAATACCCTCTAAGCTGCTTAGCACGGAGCTGCGGGATCCCCGTTTAGGGATTCTTCCGCGTCTCCGCACCTAGCAGCCTCCCGGTCTAGCCGGGGCTCCACGGCAGGGGTCTCCCGGGGTATCACGGGGACCCCGCAGACGCGCTACTGTCTGCAACCTGGACCAAGTGGAATATTTTCTAGTAAACATTTTCTTTAGAAGTAGGTAATTATTCACTAGAACTAATACGCCGGAAGTGCATTCTATTGAAAACCAAGAGGGTTAATATATTTGATACTGTACTAGTGTAATGAATTCCATATATTGACACACATTTTTTTATATCTGGTAATAAATAGGTAAACATTACAACTCTATCTTTTTATTTTAAACTTTACGTACAAAACGTTTAGGTTTGAAATCAAAAGTATGAAATTGACATTTATCTAAAACCTACCAACAAAACAAACTATTGTGAATTTATTCATTTGCGTAACAAATCATTTGCATGCAACCACTATATAAAAGATTAGTGTAATCAATAAAAAAAGTTAGTTAGATTTAGTTTTGGTACGAAGGTAACGAAATACCAGTAAGTATTACATTTTTAACTTGTGCTTATTAACCTAAATGTGTTTTGATTGTCTTCACTTTTAGGGTTTCGTCCCATAGGAACCCTGTTATTAAGTCTCCACTGTTCATCCGTAGCAACGCTAAATCTAATATATAAGACAAGACTAGCAAACCAGTGAACCAAATGTTCACCAATACCTGATTTAAATAAAAAAATGTATTTAATTAATTGAAAACTTCGGAGATCTTGTGTGGTTTCGTTTGAAATTCGTGATTTCTCGAAAACCGGAAGTGCTACGTTACTCAAATCCGGTTTGTAGTCTTATCAGACTATTCTTAACTATAATATACCTTAAATATTCTCTCTATCTCTTACGGTTTGGCCGCTGAAACAGCACCACAGACGGACGGACGGACTTGTCTAATAGATAAGAGATTCTCGTGTTACGGTGTGCGTAATTGAACTACTCGGAAACGTCTTTCGTTAAATTTAATATACATATTCAGTAAGTCTGAAAATCGGACAATATTTATTTTTCATCCCCCCAAATGTTAAGGGTGATCCACGCTTAATTTTTTTTTTGTCATTTTTTTTGTTTTTATTTTTTTATGATACATCATACAAAAATACATACAACCTTAAATTTTCACCCTTCTACCACCAACCCCTATTTTTTTATGGTGATACGAAGTTCGCTGGGACAGCTAGTAGCATATAAAAAAATAAAATATAGGTACATACAATAGGCAACACAAAAACTAATTTCCCGACCTTAACAATCACCTTAAAATGATCCTTTGGTTGCGGTAGAGGAGCTCGATGGCGTTAGTGGTTAGCGCGTTCGGCTGCGATCGTTGAAGTTAAGCAACTTTCGCAGTGGTCGGTCATTGGATGGGTGACCAAAAATTTACTATCTCGAGTTCCTCCGTGCTTCGGAAGGCACTTTAAGCCGTTGGTCCCGGCTGCATCTGCAGTCGTTAGCACCCGCCAATCCGCACTGGGCCCGCGTGGTGGCTCATGGCCCAATCTCCTTATTCCATCCATAGGGAAGGCCTGTGCCCCAGCAGTGGGGACATTAATAGGCTGATGATGATGATGATGATCCTTTGGTCGGAACCCTTCGATTACACCGGCTCCCGCTTGATCGGTTTTTTTTCCATGACACTGTTTGAATAGTGTGTTTTTTTTTTAACAATTCATTCTTATTCTTTATAATTAAATGGGAAAATGACTAATAGAGAATATGTTAAAACATGGGTACTTCTTTTACAGAAAAATCCGTTTTTTGAGCCCTTTCTTATACAATAAAATTAATCAAATTCTTAATTGCAAATCAAAAACTGACAAGTTGGCTAAAAAACACAATGTTACGAGAGTATTGAAACATGTTCGCAATAAATAAATGAGGAAATTTAGGATTTGGAATTTGGTAAATATGTATATAACAAAATTTGTGTTTCTATACAGGCTGGTCCAATTAGTGACGTCAAGATTTTTTTTAGACTCCTCGCACCTGGGTGTATCCGAAAATACCCCATGTATGTTCCGCGATTTTTCTTAGTTTTCGAGTTATAATTTTTTGTTTTTTTGGGTATTTTTAATGATTTCTGCCAGCGAGGTTTCAAAAATTCATATCTTTTTTCGTATTTTGCAGTCTTTTTTTGTGACATAATTGTCTTGAATGTTGTTATTATAAAAAAAATAACTCAGCTTCCTGAAATTACTTAAAGTTACTCAAAAAAGGCTTGGAAGTTGGAACTTTAGTTTTTAATTCAACTTCAATTTAAAAATACAAAAAGGAGTTTCCATAGCTTCTGGCTAAAATTAAAAACCGCATACCTCTAAACTATCAAAAATCGTAAAAAAAAATTGTACCTAAGCAGCCTATTTTTGTTGTAATTGGCCTTCGAAGGCGGATAAGCTAAAAATCATTGAAACACAATTAAAGCATTAAAAAATATTTTATTCACTTTTTGACATTGTTATGGTAAATTAAACTTAAAAATGTAATTTCAAATTAAATTTAATTAAAATTCCTGTAAAATAACTTTAGCATGTGGAATTTTATAATAAATTCGCTGTCACCACTAAGAATTAAAATGTGAACAAGAATTGAGACAAAAACTTACAAAAGCGAAAAGAAAAATAAAGGAAGAAGAGCAAAGAAACCAACGACTATGTCTACTAACCATAGACTGTAAAGAAATGCTTTTCTAGTAAAATAAATATGTTGCCAGTAATGAAAAATTAGGATAAAATTTTTCCGATAAAATCTACTCTCGTACATATTTGTACGAGATGTGTGGTGTTCTGGGGCCTCGTACGGAAGACCAGTAATCTCGTATTTGGTTGGCATCCCTGCGTGCCCTGGAACCCGCTTAAGAAATATTTATTTAATAATGTATTGTTCCTCCAGCAGCTACACCATGGAACCTTCGCCTCAAGAGCCTGCTGGCCCTGCACCTGAGAGCTCGGGGACCTCCCCCGAAGCGGTGGTCATATCAGGCTTGTCTGGATTGTTACCTGATTGCGCAAGTTATTCAGAGTTTTGCGAAAAACTCTCCCAAAATGTATGTATTATATTACTAAATTAAAATAAATGATATTTTCTTTGTTTAATGCTTTATCAATCTGTATATCTGGATATGCTATATCCAACTTAATATTATAAATGTTAAGCTTGTATTTGTTACTCAATTAGTCGACCTTATTTGACGATGGTACCAGTTGATGTGCCTGTGATTGGCCATCGACGGCCAACTTGAAGCAAACGAGTAGTCTTTAACGCCACTAATGTGATTCAACTTTTCTTTACTTTGTTTTTAACCTCCCTATTTTCTTGTATACCTACTTTTATCTTTACTATCCTTCTATGCTTCCTCTTTCAGACTTCTGCCCGTGCCCCTGGCTGTATCAAATAGCAGCCTCGAGCACGGACAGTATATTATTAAACATGTTGAAATTTGATTAAAAATAACATAATTAAAAAGACATATTGTAAATAATCGAATAAAAAAATTATGAAAAAAAAAAAAAATATATGACGATAAAACGGCTGGATTTCGATGATATTTGATTCTAATCTTAGGATAATGTAAGCTTTCTATGTTACCGCAGACGAATTTGCGGAAGGACTTTTAGTTTTTAATGAAAATGGAAGAGCCGCGTATCTGTACATTGAATTTTTTTTAAAAATGACTCAGATATTTGCAAATGAGTAATGTCTGTTTGTTCGTAAAAAAGGTTCGTACAGCCGATTTTGCCCGAATTGGCAAGTAACCAGTACCCCTAGCACGAACCATTATTGAATTCGAATAGTTTGCAAACCGAAATGTCAATATCAAATTTTGTATGGAAACTTGAACAGCAGCGGCACAAAGTAGGTAACGAGAACTAAAAATCAGTACACATTTGACAATGACATTTCGGACTCGCAAACGATACGAATTCAATATTGGTTCGTGCTAGGGGTACAGTAGTCCACATTACAGAGGACCAGAGTAAAATAAAGGCGCTTTTGGTGGTGTTATATTTCTGTCGGTGAGTAAGTTTCCAGAGCTCCACGGGGTCAGGGATTGGGTCAGGCGCGGTGCTATTTTTTGTATCGCCAGCGTCTATAGTATAGATTTACATCCTTTTAACATAATAAAGTGTTCAATCCCATATAATAATAATAATTTATTTGCATCATAATCCAATTATCACTAACAGGACCTTAAGTTGTTGGAACACTAGCTACCTTACTAAGTTGACAAGACAACTTGTATTATGGAAGCCAGGCTCGACCCATGTATTGGCTGAGTTTACAATTGGCAGTTATGGCTCTCATCTGTGATTGCTTCAGTATAATCATTAAATTTAATTAATTGAAGTTTGAGTTAAATAAAGCTAAGGATAAAACAAAACTAATTGTTGAATTTATGATTTGATGATTTTATGAATTGAAAATATGTATGTGTGTGTGTGTGTGAGTGTGTGTGTGTATATGTGTGACTATATGACATGCCCATATAGAAAACTAACTTTCTAAAGTTGACACGGTTTTGCACATTGTTTGTTTTTTGTTCCCCTGATTAAAGTAACGTTGGGAATCAGAGTTAGCGTGCTATTGAATAAATCAATAGCATTTTGTAAAAAATGTATCTAGGTACTTATTTATTCATAGTGATTTATGGTGGTAGTTGACCAACTAGCTTCCGACGGCGACTTCGTCCCTGATATAAGTAATTAGATTTTTGGGAATCCCACAGAAACATAACATTTTTTCCTAAATCCGTATATATGTGTGGCGGAATCCGCCCAGCCGTTTTTGCAGATGCTGTTCGAAAGCGTGAAACATTGCGCGTGACCCGACACGCACTTGATCGGGTTTCATTCCTGTGGCGTGTTCGTTTACCTAATAATTTGCAGCAAAATCCCGTGAAAGCCAGCGAAACTGATTTTTCAAGTCTTTTTACATTTGGTTCCTTGAATTCGATATCGCAGACGCATAGAACAGTCGTTTCAAAGTACAATTACCACTAGCAATTAAAAAATATTAATTGTATTAAAAAAAGTGATCTTCCTTTAACATAGGGTAATCATTTTGTGCAAACATAATGAAAATGTTTCAGTTTACACGCTAGTCTATAAGTGCCGCAACGCACGAGTTACGAAACGCGGCGGGTGGCGGTTGGGCAGATTTTAATTTTGTGTAGCTCAAACGGCTGTTATACTGCCCAATTTTAAGGGACCTATCGAAACCGAAAGGTTGTGCGTATCCCCTAGCTAGGGTAGCATCCTATCGATCGGACCCTAACTCAGTCTGAAATTAAAAGTCGTCTCGGTTGATCGTCGTCGTTATATCACCGTATGTATTCTGATCAGATTTTTATAAACTTCTCTAAATTCTTTGGCACATTGCTCTTTATTTAAAGGGAAATACGTAAATGATCATCCAATAAATAAATAATTCTAACATAAATAAATATTATTGATAACCTAAAGTAAAGATTTCATTAACAATTGTATTTTTTACGGATCAATTACTTTTTAAATATGTACTTCATAAAAATAGCTTTTGATTCTTTTTAGCTACAAAAATTATATTAACAATACTTTCTTTTCTATAGATGGCCTCGAGCCAATAAACTGATTCGTCCATAAAAACGTCCATACTATACGCTCCCAGAGCGGCGACTGAGCTCCCTTACTGCCTAACAGCTATTTTATTATCCGATCGTCAGGACGTGAGGAAGTAAGGAAGATTGGATCGCTTCGATCGCCCTAGATCGGGTCCCTTACTCCCTAACTCATGTTACACCACCTATAGTCAGGGTAAGGGTCCCTTAAAATTGGGTAGTCTAATAGGCGTATCACCCGAGCGGTTACGCGGACGCCAGTGTGTTGTCGTACCTATATGCCTATACAAATTAACATCCGCGCACCGCTATCCGCCAAATTTCCGGGCTTGTGCGTTGTCTTAGACCTCAACCTTAAATTTTCTATTCATCTGCACTTTTTACTATAGGAAAACCTTATAAAAGCTAACCCACGCTGGAAGAACTTCAAATTCCCCGGGTTGCCAGAACAGTACGGGAGAGTCTCCGGCGTGGATCGATTCGACGCTCAATTCTTCACCGTGTTCTACGCTTTGGCCCACGATATTGATCCTTTGGCAAGAAAAATTTTCGAACATACTTATCAAGCAATTTTCGATGCTGGCAAGTAATCTAACATTATTTCTTAATTTATTTTATTAGGATCACCAGTATTTTTAAAATTACTAACGTATAAAATTATTATAACATATTTAGAAATAGGCTAAGTATAAGAAATTTTAAAGGTGAACACCACATGCAAAGAGATAAACAAATGTACACACAATAAAAGTAGTAAGTTGATCAATTAACTATTTAAAAGGGAATCAGAATGTTACAATACTAAATGAAAAATAAATAAGAATTTAACCTATGTATTAGGTGAAGCACTTAAATTTCTTGTGAGCTTGGTAAATGAATCAGCAAAGATGTCGACGTTACTTTCGTTAACAATCTTACTCAGTGTTGGTACTACAGAACTTGCACCTACAAGGACTGTTTTGCGTAAGGAAGGACAAAGCGGAGTAATGGGAGCACGAGGATTTCTCCTTGGGAAGCGGAATTTAAATCTTTGTAATTTACAACAAAAATAGGCTGATTAAGTACATTTTTTTTATGATTTTTGGTAGTTTAGAAGCATGCGGAGTTTTTAATTTTAGCGAGAAACTATGGAAACTCCTTTTTGTATTTTTGTGTTGAAGTTGAACGTTTGAGTAAATCCTACTAAAAACTAAAGATCCAACTTTCAAGCCTTTTTTGAGTAACATTAAGTAATTGCAGGAAGTTGAGTTATTTTTTTATTAAAACAACATTCAAGACAATTTTGTCACAAAAAAAGACTGCAAAATACCTACTACGAAAAAAGATAAGAACTTTTGAAACCTCGCTGGCAGAAATCATTAAAAATACACAAAAAAATGTATAACTCGAAAACTAAGAAAAATCGCGGGACATACATGGGGTATTTTCGGATTACCCCCAAAAAAATTGTTGACTTCACTAGTTGGACCACCCTGTATGTATACGTTAACTGTAATCACTAATACTACTTGATTGTACATATTTTGTCCATCGAAAAATAAGTATAAAGTCTGGCCATGACTTTGGGTTCTAGAACTATTAGGATGACATCGAAATTTTAGATCTTTATTCACATTGGTTAAAGAAAATACTTAATAATTTTGTATTTTTCAGGAATCTGCCCAATTGAATTGTGGGGAAAAAATATCGGAGTATTCGTTAGTAGTGGATTTTGCGAGTCGGAGTCAGTTGCCTTCCTCACTTCTAACCGCAGATTAGCGGTTCTAGGGTAAGTGCATAAATTAAGTTACCTGCTTAAATTTGAGAATAACTTTAATCAGTTATCGAAAAGATGCAGATCGTCCGCTCCAGACGCTGACCATGATCTTCAGACATGTGAGATCGACTCCAGATAAAGATAGAGATTTATCGCAGCAACATTTAACACTGATTTTTTTCGATTTCGATTTTTTTTATATAACAGGGTTACCAATAAATTTGATATAAATCATCCCGGATTGGCACTACAGTCTAATTCATAGTTTTTATTGTAGTGGTTACGTAGTTTTGATAATTGTTGATCTAATCTAATCATCGTTGAGTGAGGCATTGAAGCCTATAACTGGCTTTAAATACAATAATATGGTTTGTATATACATATAATGCAACGAAGTTGGTTTTCTAAAATAAATAAAATAAAAACAAAAATAGCAAAAACTCAAAGACTACTTACTATCTCAAATTTTAAATCAAAATGACCTATACCTATATACCTATTTTTATTAAATAAATATACCTACTTAAAGGACAATGCCCAAAATAGGCTCAAAGTGGACAAAGTGATTGGCAAACTTGTTTAACCATTTTCTATAACCGTTATATAGTTAATTAATAATACAATGAAATTAAATGAAAATAATACGATCACTTCCTTCTATTACTTATTTAATATCACATGGTCAAATACGGCTGTAATTGATCGAATTAAAGTTAGCATTACGTCATATCAGTGTTGTTAACGGCTATAATTGGCCGAATTTAATTAAGAATCACGTCATTTCAGCGAAAACGGCTAGGATTGACCGGGTCTCAAGATGACATTTGCAGACAAGGGCTGCGTTCTAAACCTACGCTCCAGGTGCAACAGATATCAAATTCGATAGAAGTTTCATGCCTTTTCGTCAAAATTGAAACGTGAAAAGTTACACTTGTAGCGTAAGTTTGGAACGCACACAAGCTGTCAAAGGAACAGTCCGTTTTCGCGTTGAGACATTTAATGCATGTGATGTTGCACGCCATATCGCGCAATATTAATTTTTCGCGGCATATATAAAGAATTGATGTTTATTTTCGATTCTATTAAATTGTGTAACAGAAAATGTACTACCCAGTGTTTAGACATCGTATTGGTTATTTATTGACTTCCAATATTATAGATCGGAGCGAAAATGAATTATTTGTACTTATATTACTTATTTGTACTTATATTACCTTTTTTATAACAGTTCAAAATTAAAAAAAATAAAATTGTTTTAAAGGATACTGATATAAAATTATAATTATTCAAAGGTTCTGGGTAGTTTAAACTTCTTGCATTGTATACTTTTATCTGTTAAAATGTCTGTCCATATTAGGCCAAATTCTCATACAAAGTGGGCATTTCCCTTTGATTTCCTCAGGTACAGTAAATCAATGACTGCAAATCGCATATCGTACTGGCTGAACCTAAAAGGGCCGTCAATCCACTTGGATGGTGGTGGTTGTGGTGGTTTGCTAGCTCTCGAGAAAGCTAGAGAAGCCATCATAAGAGGTTACTGCGAAGCGGCCATAGTTGGTGTTGGAAAACTTATTCTGCATCCTCACACACCAATTAACCACAGGTATGTATTTTATTTATGAATAAAGATCCAGTGTATTTAAATCTATTATCTAGAAACGTCACCGTGCTACTTTAATATCGACCCAATCCACAACCATCTTGAGACAGCCAGTATTATTATTTCTTGACGGAGACACGAACACCCTCTCCCGCTGAAACAGCCCACCTATCTCCGTTAAGTGCTTGAAAATCATTCAATCGGCTCAGGGGAGAATGGAGAGGAGGTCGAATCAACCCGTCGACCTCACCTTACACACATCGCGAAACACATGACTCTTGACATGACGTCACACTTTTTCGTGCGTGCAGCCGGTGTTCATCGGTTTATAAAACGTTATCACGTCAATGACATGGTACATATTTTGCCACAGGTCGATGCCGCTAAACATTGATGGCATTACTAAATGTTACGACGATGCAGCTAATGGCCCTTCGTTGTCCGAAGCTTTTAATGTTTTCTTTATGCAGAAATACAAAGACGCAAAAAGGTAAGCGATAATAGAAAATGCAACCATATTTTTTATAATATTGACTATCTATCCAACCTGTTATTGTTCACGAGATACAGTCGGCTAAAAGATGGATGGACGGATGGACAGCGGGAAAGTCCAATATATTTATATACCTAAGTACTAGCAGATCCTTGAATAATAACTTACTTAACATAACTATGTCCTGACCAATAAAAATATAAATAACTTTACTTAGAATCAGAAGTATAAATAGACAGTTATATCGATTGGAAAACACATATTTCAAAAAATAAATCAAAGTTATCGAAATTTATTTATGCATTTCTTGAAATAAAAAAGACCGCTGACATAAAAACAGACCTCGTTACATATTTATGCGTGCGCGTATGCGTGGCTCAACTATGGTATCATTATGTGGGGAAATAGCACTGATGTCCATAGTTAATTCATTATACATAAAAAATAATTAGGTCCTTAGTTAACATTGAACATATAGACTCATGTAGACCGCACTTCATAAAACACCAAATCCATAACTGTCCTTGTACACATATATACCAGGCCACTCAGAAAGTTTTGCGAAAAGAAAAGTTTTTGTGTATAAGCACCGGCTACTTGTAATTATTTTGAAAACTACGATTATTTAAAAAGTAAAAATACCACTGTTCGATTTTCAAATTTCTCTCCGCATTTTTCGAGAGCCAATTAAATTTTTCCTGTCTTATTAAAAAATGGTTCTGCATCGAGAACATTTCCGTACTATGATTTTTTACGATTTTAAATGTGGCTTAAAACCTTATGAGTCATGACCTTGAAAAGCAACCATCTACCGCTGGTGTAACGAATTCAAACGCGGTTGTCTTACTTTGGGGGATGAACAAAGGAGTGGTCGTCCTACGACCGCTGTCACCAAAGAAAGTGTGCTGTCAGTAAAAAAAATATCCAAGAAAACAGACGAATTACGTAGGAAGAGATTCAGCATACTCTGCAGATTAGTTCAGGAAGTGTTCACAAGATTTTGCACGAGCACCTTTGCGTAAAGAGGATAGTTTCCCGCTGGGTGCCGCACAATCTCACCGAACCTCAGAAGCAGGCCCGTGTGGATAGGTGCAGTGATATGATAAATAAAATTTGATGCAGGATCGTCACGGTGACGAATCCTGGATTTATCAATACGATCCAGAAACAAAGCGTCAGTCGACAGTTTGGCTGTTTCAAAATGAACCAACGCCTACGAAAGTGAAGCGATCGAGGAGCGTAGGGAAAATTTTGATCGCTAGTTTCTTCACTTTGACGGGGCATATAATTTCAATTTCACTTCTAGACCAAAGCAGCATCAACACCAAATGGAATAGCACAAAATTTAATGCAAAGAGCAACAAGCGACTTAACACCGGGCTCCACGGCACGGGCAGACAGAGTCTTGGTATACCCTCCTTACAGTCCTTATTTGGCTCCGTGTGACTTCATTTTATTCCCTAAACTTAAAAATCAGCTCAAAGGGATACAGTTTTCATCGCCGGAAGAAGCACTAGCAGCGTTTCAGAAGGCCGTGGAAGAGGTGTCTGCGGAGGACTGGAAAAAATGTTTAGCAAAATGGTTCAGACGCATGAAACTTTGTATAGAGGCTGGTGGAGAGTTTGAGTTAGATTTTTAGGTTCTCAAAACTTTCTGAGTTTCCCACGTATTTAAGTGATAAACTATAGAATATGAGACTACATGAACATTAGCGTCTATAACACTATATTATTTAAAATTAAATATAAAATTATGAAAATTCGTTATTGCGTAAGATGGACAAAAATTTGAGGCGATGGAATAAAAGCTTTACTTCAAAAGAATAACTATAAAATTGTTTGTCATTCTAAATTTATGGGTGTCTAAGGAAAATAGAGATTCATTATATATCCTGTTTAAATTTCCTTTATTCCTAGAGCTTACGTTGTGCTTCGCCACGTGAAAGCAGAATTCATGTCAGGCAACGATAACATTTCGATGGAGCAGTGCGAAATTATTCAAAACAAGGAAGTTCTTACGAATTTTTTAAACAAATTTTATGAAGAAGCTGGAGTATCGCCAGCGAACGTCGAGTATATTGAAGGAAATGGAGCAGGTAAATTTAAATACCTCTATTTTTCAACAAGTGTTTGCTACCATTGTATTTAGGAATCGTTGCCGAGATTTTTCACTGTTATTATCCTACTCATATTTGAAATGTGAAACACACAGATAGCTCATAACCTGTAAAGAGACAAGGATACTTTTAATCCCAAAAAAGTGGTAGGTTCCTGAGGATTTTCAAATAATCAAAGTTAATGTGGACAAAGTCGCGGTCAGCCGCTAGTTAGTAACAGCAGCTATCTTCACGTTTTGACTTTATCACCACTTAACATCAAGTGGGGTAGAGTCATTTGCCTACCTGACTATATAAAAAAATATGTAAATTTCACAAAATTTTAATTTTAATTTTATTTTATTTTTTTTTTCTTTATGTAATCCGGAATTTAATTAACAGAACACATTTTAAAATAAAATTAAGTCAGCCCGATCAATTCATAACTCCATTCTTTCTTCGGAAAAATGAAGACATCAAATGTTTTATATTTGTTTTGTGTTTTTTAAAGTTCAGTTTGTAGCAATATCAGTACACAGTTGTAAACATTTGATAGTATTATAATAATTGTCTTTACTTTTTAGCTGTACCTAAGATGGATAAGATGGAACTTCAAGCCTTGGAAAACGTTTTCTGCAATGACCGCATTAATCCCCTGCTTGTGGGGAGCGTGTCTTCTAATTTAGGCTACACTGAGTGCGTTAATGGTACCTGTGCCATACTCAAAGTAAGTCTTCCTTATCTATCTATCTCCACTCAGAGTGTCGGGTGGGGTAGGCAGTGAGAATAAAGCGCCATAAGCCACACCCCGTATACACATCATTCAATCACATTCATTACTCTATTCATGTATGCCCGCCAGTTTTTGCGGCATCTGCCGTCACCTTACTTCAAAATGCGATCGATTTGGTCGTGATAGGTAAATTTTGACCTTCCTCGGCTTCTACATCCTTCCACTATCGCCTCGTTAATCTGGTTTCATCATATTCTCATTTAAAATTGTTTCCGTATGTATAAACCAACGCAGTATGCCCCTTTTAATTTTAACACCGATACACTTATACTATTATGTATTGTGTGCAATACTGTCTTTCATTCCGACTCTATTTCTTATACCTTAATCCCACGTACCAAATAAACAGGCGAGACAGTAAAATAGTTCTCAGCTGAGGCAGTGCTGTAAGCGAGCAGGTTTTTTCACATGTTATGAAATTAGCACAGACTGACTGACAGTTTTATTGAAGATTAAACCAAGTAAAGGCGCGCGCGGCGACCTGACTGCATTCATGAATGTTGCCAGTGCGTTTGCTCGGGATGTGTGAACAAGGCATTACTACCTCATTACGGACATAGTCTGCTAGATAATTCCGCAAATTTTACGTAATGCCCGTATCTTGAATGCCTTTATTTTTCTTTCATTCTCTTTCTGACATTCCCAACTCTCGCTTCCATACATTAGCGTTGGGACTAGCACCGCGTTATGTATAGCGGTGCTGTACCTTTTGGCTTACGATTTTTTTGAAGTTATACTTCTTTAGGCGCGTTATAAAAAAATGATGAGAGTGAAATTTTAAGATGCGCGCGCATCACTGTAACAGAAAATTTTATTTACCGCATTATTTTGTTTACCGCAAATTAAGAAAATCTACCAACAAAATAGAAATAGAATATCTATTTAGTGGGTGCTAACGACTGCATTGTGAAGGCCTATCAAAAGTATTTATTAATCTGGAACAACGGAACCAAAGCGCGATTCAGGAGACTACAGCGCCATCTCTTGACCATTGGTGTAGTAGAACCAAAAACCACATCTTTATTTTTTGTAATAAAGTAACAGTTATAGGTATTCATATTTATAATATTTATCCACATGTTTCTAGTTTGTATATTCGGAATACGTGTTTGAGTTTCATACAAGTGCAAATCACATATGTTCTAATAAATTATATTCAGTAGCGATTTTAATTGAATATTTTGATTATTTATTTATTTTTTCAAATTAAAACTGAACTTTATTGACTGTGTCCTTTTCCAGACTTTTTATTAATTTATTGTAATTAATTATTTGCATGCAATTAAAAACTAATTTTAAACGATGCCAAAGAAGGATAACTTCTCACGCGCCTACATAAGTACACGCACCCATTTTTTTTTATAAGCAATTGTTGGCAGCCAGTATCTCTAACCTGTGGACTGTCACTTAGAACCTTAAAGAATTTAAGCTAACCCACTTAAGTCGGAGATCTTACATTGTGGTGGTGAATCCCACTCTCTTCCGGTGTTCCACAGGTTAAGTACGTTAAGGGACATTCCATTCAACTCACACCACATACTAGGTTGTCTAAATCTTTCTGTGGATCACCCTTAGAGCTAGTGATTTAACTATTTTGAGAATTTCAAATCATTTGCTTACATGAAAGGTGTGGATTTTGTATCAGCTATGTCGTTTACATACATATTGTAAAATATTGTGCCCAGATGAGAAATATCCTATGAGAACAGACTGAAACGTCTCAACTTGTGTAGCTAAGAACATCGCCGTGATTTACTGGACTTGCCCTTTATTACGAAGTTGTTCACAAATGCGATAGATTGTCCGCTATAACAGACACAGTTAGTTATCCTCGTAGTGTTGTTAAAAAGCTATTCGCGATGCCGCCACATAATACTAAGTACTGGCAAAAGTCACTTTTTCATTCCACGTGTTTGTAATATTTACAACAAATTTATTTATCTACTGGTGTATGGGCTCCATGTTAAAAGAATCGCAAACTTTTCGTTGCTTTGCCCCAGGACATGTAAAACTCAAGTTTCTTTTTTGGGCTCAATTTGTATGAAATTATTATTTCTTTTTTTATATTGTCATTTTGGTCTGATAGTTTTTAGCTTTAGTTCTAAACATTTAATATTATAATAAGAGTAAAATAATCATGCATGCTGTGATCATCAAAAAGTTGTACAATAAATTTTAGTAAATATTTGTATAACACATAGGTAGTTGACGAATGTTGATGAATTAAAAAAAAGTCACTTTATCTTCAGTCGCTACCAATCCGTATATTGAGTAATGACCATCTTCTTCTTCTTCCTGCCACAGAGAAGCATCCAAGAGAGGAAACGTTAATAGACTGGTGATTATGACAAATGCTTTATAACTGTTAATATATATTTTTTAGCTCATTTCCGCATATCAAAGAGGAGAATTACCTGCAACAATAAACTGTACAAACCCTAGGAGTGATATAGCTTCCTTACACGACGGACGTATGAAGATCGTTACGGAGAACATAAAATTTAACAGGGAAGCCTACACAGCGGTGAATAGCTTAAGCCATACAGGAATCAATGGGCATGTTCTCCTACAAGGTTGCTACAAGCCAAAGGTGTGGTTTAATAATTGTGCTAATATATTATCTTGGCCTGTGGTTAGTCGAATGCTGTTTAAGTGGTGTCAAGTCAGATTTCTAGTTAAAGTATTTTTTTAGTACTTAGTATATTTTTTGATTATAAAATTTTCGCAGTTAAATGAACGAAATAAAAACTTTTCAACTAAAAATAAAAAGCGATCACATAAAGCAAAACCACTAAAATGTAAGAAATTTACTCATATATCTACATTTAAAATCAAATTATTATTTGGAGTTTGTGATATTAATTCAGATAGATCTGAGTTGCCATTTACAGCTTGGGTTGGCGTGGAACCTACTCCAAATTTTATGATACATCATGCAAAAATACATACAACCCCTTTTCACCCTTCTACCACCAACCCCTATTTTTTTACGAAGTTCGTTGGGACAGCTAGTATAATATAACCATAACCCCTCATTTACTCCAAGAAACAAGTCATAAAATTGTTCTATACAAAACTTGTAGAATACTTGTTGTGGTTGTTTAAAACATTTTTTCGTTTACACTGCAAAGACAACTAGTATCTTGACGAGTATAAATCACTTATTTACTTCACATATTTTGTTTATCCAACAAGTATGATGCAAGTATTGTTTTATACATCGACAGTGGAAAATCAAAATCACTTAAACGCCAATTTAGTAACTTTACAGAAAAAAAGGATCAAACAATTTTTTTTTCATAAAGATCATTACACACTGTAAATTAGAAGTAGCGCCATAAAAATAAAAACATATTCATAAAACAACATTTTCTAAACATCCTCCTATTTAAAAGTTACATAGTGCCTTTACTTTACGATTTTTTTTAAAGCTGAGTTGTTCGCTAGTGGTATGTATAACTCACAAATTTTCAGTATCTTTATTAAAAACTAATTCTTGCCTGGTAAATGTCGGGCTAGTGACCAGTGCTTCGGCGGCCTGTATTTCAGGGCGGGCGATGCACATTTGTCATCACGCCGTGAATTTTAGGAATGCTTATAAACTTACCAAGATTTTAGATCCTAAGTTTGAAATGAATTGTTAATATATGTTGACATTGTCAAGATAATCATTCTTATTTTTTTGCCAGGAGCTTTCAAAGTACGCAACAAATATCCCGTACCTAGTGACCGTATCCGGTCGGTACGAGGCTTCTGTTCAAAGAATTTTAGATCACATCAAAGATAAACCATTGGATCCCGAGGAGATAGCTTTGATTCACAACATCCATAAAAATCGCATATCGAAACACTTGGCCCGAGGTATTGGTATCTACTGTAAGTAGACACTTATATAAACCTTTAATCGTGGCCTTCCAGGGCATTTGTAAACCGTCTGCAACCTCCATGTGTACAAAGTTACAAGTCTGAATGTTGAGTGTTCAATAGGACATGGACCATGGACACTTTGCGCGTGGAATACAATAATATCTTCGGGATGAGGTTGGGACTGCCCCGCTTCTGTAGTGCCTCCGGAATGTTTACTGAAACTCGAACTGATGGTTTCCATGCCGTCTTGCGGAAAAAAGTTGCGTCATTGATGTGTAGAGTGCGGAGCAGTAACAACACCATTCTGAAGATCGCGGCAGGGGGGGAACCGCATGCTCCATTTTGGAGACATTCCGTGCGTATGATGACTGAAATAGAAGTTAATTATTCTTCTTGGTGTCGCTCGCGCGGAGTGCCTCTAAGGTACATGACCTATTGAAAAGGCATAAATATTCTGAATATGTAAATACTTATTATAGGCTACTAACACTTAGTTGTACGATATATTGTATACTAACATATGGATCTGTGTTGTCTGCCAATAAATGATATTATTATAATAGGGCATTATACAACAACCATGATTCATATCCCTGATAGATCACCAGATACACTAAAATTCTACACGTGGCCTTAGTATCGACAAAGTACTTCATTATAACTATTATATAAAATGAAGTAGTAAGAATGAGTAAGACTAGATGTAATTTTTGTTAAACTGTAAAATTTAAAAAATAGAAACTCTCCTTAATAACACAAAAATATGTTTGATCACTAAGCCTATGAACAAATTTTGCAAATGTGGCAAAACCAATATCTTTATTTTTCAGCAACAAAAGACAATAAAACTATCACCCATTGTTTAATGGCAGACAACTACGATGAAATCTCAAGACCCTTGTGGTACGTGTACAGTGGGATGGGATCGCAGTGGATCGGAATGGGTCGTAGTCTCATGCTTATCCCAATATTCAACAAAGCCATTCAAAGGTAATGAATATAATGGTACTCCAGGGCCTTGGATTAGTGATTAATTCGACCAAGGCCAGGGTCCATAGTGGTACTGCGGTGAAATTCATCGTGATAAAAATCCGTTTAAATCCGAGAGATTACCACTATCAGAGTGACCCTGAAGTTACTACAGGCTTTGCCCGAATTGCCAAAATCTTCCCTAAGGTTTGGCTGTCGTTTTACGATACGGCTATGGCATTTACAAATTATTACCTTTGCTATCTAAAGGACAATCTTCTGGACCCTTAATTTTCTTCTTCGAACATTCCAACATAAAGTTCATTATGCACCGGTTTTTCTAATGATTTTGGGCGTTTATAACTTTTTTTTTTCAGTGATAAAGGCTTTTTACTTGTTTATTATTTCATTCTATAGTCTTTTACCTTATACGACGACCTTCGTGGCCGAGTGGTATGTACGCCGGGTTTCATGGTGTCGCCAACTCGAGACGAAGTTTGAATCCCGGTGGGGGCACATGTTTGTGTGATGAATACGATTATTTGTACTCCAGACATGGATGTTTAATATGTATTTTCTATATAAACATACTTATATATGTAGTAATATATGTATTCTATCCGTTACTCTAGTATCCCATAACACAAGCCTACGGTGCTTACTTTGGGGCTAGGCTGATTGGTGTAAGTGTTAGAAATATTTATATAATATAAATATAGCCGGTTTATTACTTTTATCCGTGATATTCTGTATATTGTAGTTAGGATTAACACATGTATTTGAATGAAATGATTCTCAAAGTGCTAGTACAGTGACCAAAGTACAGACAGACGTTCTATTATATTTTTCAGATGCCACAACATTCTCGAACCTAAGGGAATAGATCTAATTCATATTTTAACTAGCACTGATGAGACCATCTACGATAATATTTTAAATTCCTTCGTTGGTATATCGGCCGTACAAATAGGACTAACTGATATCTTGACTGCGGTCGGATTGGTACCTGATAAAGTGATTGGTGAGTCAGTAATATAGTCAACAAATTATTTAACAAGGAAAACAAAAATTATCTGTTCCGTCGTAGTTTTGAGCTTTTTTATATTGGTTTGGCCGGGAATTTATTCGATTTCGATTAACACTTTTTTTGCATTTACAAGCATTATGAATATGTTTCCACAGGACATAGCATGGGCGAATTGGGATGCGCATACGTGGATGGTTGCCTCACAGCCGAGGAAATGATATTGTTGGCTTACAATCGAGGTTTGGTTTCCACACAGTTTTCATTTATCCGTGGCTCTATGGCTGCCGTGGGCATGGGATGTAAAAATGTAAGAATCTACTTATAAAATAAGGATAATTGTAATTTCTTGTCCCAAATCCAGTTAAAAGTTACTATTTTTTATGGTCAAGTCATAAATGTATTTAGCTGACTACTTACACCCTGTTTATATTTTATTTTATATTTGTTGTAATGATGTTAATATTTTATTCTGTAGGTATCTAAGATTTGCCCAGAGGAAATAGAAGTAGCTTGTCATAATAGTGCTGACTCATGCACCATATCGGGTCCAGAAAATTCTGTAAAAGACTTCGTGGAATTGTTGAAACAACAAGGTGTATTTGCTAAAGAAGTACAAAGCTCCAACATAGCTTACCACTCGCGTTATATTGCAGAAGCAGGTAAACTTAATATTAAATAAAATAACTATGACTTCTGTACAGTACATATAAAAACAATCTACAATTCTTTAAGTAAATTGGAACGTCTTCAAAATTTTGCCATTCGATTTGATCTGTGGAAGTATGATCAGTTGTCAGTTTATCGCTTTCAACATCAATAGCTCCCTATAATTGTCTTTGCCGGGATTTGCATGCTTGCAATCTTATTCAAGGCTATTAAAATATGTATTTAATATAATATATTTGGATAGATATTTTATTTATCAATGTGTATTTTTATGCAAGTTTATTTATGTAGGTATATATAATAAATATGTATTTGGTTTATTTCATATTCAGTTAGTTGTAATTATTTTAATTTTCTTCTTTCACTTTCTGTTTTCCTCTAAGTTTTAAATCTCCGACACCACCAAGGTTGATTGGGCTTATCTCTTTTAGAGATAAGCAGAATTTATATATGTAATAATTTTCTGAGGTCTCTTAAAGTCTGAAAAATACGTAAATTATATATTTTGGAGAATATTTTGAGATCTCGTATTTACAATTCAGGTCCCGAATTCCTCAAATTATCTCAGCAAGTAGTGAAAGAGCCAAAGATGAGGAGCCCCAAATGGTTGTCCACTTCTGTGCCCGAGGACCAGTGGGACGAGCCTCATGCCAAGTATTCATCCGCTGAGTACCACACAAACAATTTAGTGGTGGGTAATTTACATACTTTATGGTAATCGACCGACCCATCTTATAATTATTGAAGTTAAGTAAGAAGTTTCCACATAAAGGCATAATAAATGTTTTTTTACTCCGTGCGGGCAAAGGCGCCAATGATCGGTGGTACGAAGCTGGATTTGTGTCTTTCTTTCCTCGCATTTATAAACGAACAATACACTTTGATTACTTACTCTATGTTTTCTCTGTTCATTTGCAATTGAGTTATATGATCAAAACAAGCCGTAATTAGTCTAAGCTTATTCCTAGTTTAAAAATTAGGGAGTAGAGGTTTAGCAACCTTTTTCACTGTAGGATCATAATTATAACTAAAGAAATAGTAGTTCGAGAGTGGTAACTTTTGAACCTAACCAACAATGGATTAATTCACTTATTTTTGAAATTATATGAAAAGAAGTTTTAATTTACTATTACCAATGCAATCATCATAACAGCAAATTACAGTGGTAAAATTAACTTATTCCTTATTCCCAACAGAGTAAAGTCCTTTTCGAGGAGGTACTGCAACATGTGCCAAGAAATGCTGTGCTGGTAGAGATAGCACCCCATGGTCTACTTCAGGGGATCTTGAAAAAAGCTGTGTCTTCAAACTGCAAGCACGTTACACTGACACGACGAGGAGAAGAAGATGGTGCACTTTTTCTATTGAAAGCCTTAGGGAAGTAAGTGATCCTTAATAATATATCCTGAATAAAAATTCTTAAATTTAATCCACAACGTTACAGCTTAGACGTGACAGCGTTATTTGAAAATAATGGAACCAACCACACAACAAATTTAATCAAAATTACCGTCAAAACGTACTAACTTACTCTATTTTGTGAATAAATAAATTTCATTTCTTACCAAAACAATTATCAATAGCTTATCGTTATTTTAACTTTGATATAATACGCCAGCAGTGCCGCTGTGAGATCCTAATTACATATACAATTGAAGGGCTAAGGTGAAAAACAGGCTAAGTAACATTAATAAAATTTTACAGTACAAGCAACTAAAGTTACGACAGCATTTTGTAACTGACTCAGAAAATCTGCTCATATACAAGCAGTTGATTTTAAAAGTAAATTTAACTTACATTCATCATATTGAAATCTCAATAGGGCATTCGGAAGGTTTAATTGGTTAAATACGTTATGTTGTTATTTGAGGCCTTTTAAAGCGTCTTCATTCTTTAAAGTACTTTTCGATTTATCGCGTTCACAAGTGTTTTTCGTCTGTCTTCCCTTCTTTATTCATAAGTAACCTTATTTCGTTTCAGTATATATATGGGAGGATATGACATAGATATCAGTGCTTTATACCCAAAAATTGAATTCCCAGTATCGACGGCGACTCCGCCCCTATCACATTTGGTGGAATGGGTGCACGAAGAAAAATGGTGAGTTTTTGAAGTGTAAACTTCTTTAGCACCGTTGATTTGAAACTCGATGAAACGATAATTATATAACACAAGGTATCCGTAATTTTTTAACTCTGCAAGAAACACATGGCCGAACGGTAATGGTCTTGGGGTCGACACCAAATGATCGGTGTTTCGAGTCAAATTTAAGTTTAGGTTTAGAGAATCCTGCCAGATTCGACACCATTGTTTAACTTGTTACAAACAAATTGTAATAATTTCGCTTCTTTTAAGAACGTGTTCTATTCATTAATAGATAATGGCCTAGAATTTTTAAGAAATAATTTTACTTACTTCCTCAGTCGCTCGAACTAAGCAGCTAAGACTTAATCTAATAGACTATTGTTTGAATAGAAAACGCTTAATTTTGGCCTTTGTTCCTTCTTTGAAAGGTTCAAATTACTTTCAATAATGCTTTTTCTGAAATATACAAACAAATAATAAGATAAAAGATAATTGATTCCAGGAACATATCTAAATTCAAAAACACAAATCGATCCCACTGTTCTATATTGAAACTTCTGGTCGCCATAGAGGACTATGAATACAAATACTTAGATGGACATTATATTGATGGTAGGTATGAATTTTTCAATTACTTTCTACATCAAATAGATTCTAAGTATGTTATAACTTTATTTGCCGTTCATTATGGACCTAATAGCAACCGTATTTATGCTATTCCAAAAGATAATTGTATTTTCTTAAACACAGGTATCAGAGTATTTCCATACGCTGCAGTATTGGTAGCAGTGTGGGACACAATTGCCATGTCTGCAGGGCACAAAGTTCGGGAAGTTTCCATTCAGTTATCAGACGTGAAGTTTTACTCACAACCTCCGGTATACGATCAGCGAGTGCTGCTACTGACTGTCATGGTTCAACAAAATGGCAATTTTGAGGTAATTGATTATAAAATAGAAAATGCTGTATTTTTTTTATTATATTGATAATCTTACTTCGATGAGATAATAATAGGCGTATACTTTCAGGTAATTTATGACAAAGAAACAATTATCGAAGGCTGGGCTGTTATTCTTGATGACAAAGAATGTGCTATGCAATTTGTGGAAATAGACGAGCAAAACATGGACCCACAAGAATCCTTAAATAAAGACGATATTTACAAAATATTTTACGAAAATGGATTTGAATACAGGTAAAAGATATACACATCGTACCGCTCATATTTCATTAAAAATTGAACAAAATTTTTACAGTCGCGGTAAATAACATAATTAAAAGATTACCTATTTTTAATCAGAAATCATGTTATTTTACACTTAAAAAATTAATCCGTAATTTAAGATATACTGGTGCTAATAAATATGAATCTCAACTTTTTAAACAAAATTTTGATGCTAGTGAAGAGAGGCAAGATGCAATAACAATGTTTTGTAACCTTGCCAAATCATTTAATTGCGCCAGCCATGACGTTAAAAATAAAAACGTTTTATTTAATACTCCTAATATTATAAAGTGGTAAAGTTTGTGAATCGTCAGTTTCTAACACTGTAGGGGGTAATGATCTGATCTCTGACTCTACTGATCCGATTTCAAAAATTCTTTTACCAATAGGAATGTCGTAAAAGCGTCGACCTGTATTTTCTCAGCATTAGACTCCACCAAGTTCTTGGTAAGACTACATTTGAAAAGTAGTTCAAAACCATTAAATAAATATGTACCTAATTTAAGCTTTGAAAAGGTAAATTTGAGAAAAGTATCATTTCATTTCACAGAGATGACTTCCAAAGCCTCCACTCAATTGACTTTTCCATGACGCAAGCGCGAGTACACTGGCGAGATAACTGGGTGACATTCATAGATGGAATACTTCAAATGTGTACCATAAAAAACTTCGATAAGCAGGCTAGATGTGAAATTAACTTCATCAAGAAGATGGTCGTGGATATCAAGCAGCACCTGAACAAGAGGACAAAATTCATCGATTCCTACGACAATACATTTATAGCAAGCTTATCAGATATATACAAAAGTATAAGGTACTCGTAAAAAAAATCTAAAATTACTGTATCTATTATAATAATAATCATTTATTTTCGGATAACAAGGATCCATAGTGGGTTAGTAACAAACAGATTATTAAAAACTAATGTTAGTAAATAGACACATGTCGTTTGATGTCACCCTACGATGCCCCCGCCTATATGACTGCATGCAGTCGTATCCAGCGAGCTAGCATCGGAGAGTCCCACCGTTCTGCCAGCGCCCTCAGGATAGTGTTGAGGTTGCCACGCACCTGCCTAAGTAGCGAGGCGCAGCGTTTACGCATGATGGCCGCGAAACCATCTGTATGGGCCTCGGCAAACATGCCGGAGGCACTGCAGTGACGCTATAAAATTATAACTACTTAATATTTTTTTTACTAAAATTGCCATCAAGTATTACCTTGAGGAAACTTTTCTAATGTAATTTTTACCCCTCAAGACATATTAAATTAACTGGACTGTTTTATTTACAGATGCGGTGGTGTTGCCATTGAAAACATATTTTATAGATATAAACCACAACAGCTACATCAAGCACTTACATTGCAGTCTCAAAAATTTCAAGCCTTTTTTGAAAATGATAATAATTTTGATGTAGGTATATTTAAATCCTCTCAAATAAGTTATGCGTAAACATGGTAAATAAATATAACAGTAATGTGATTCTATGAAATAAAATTTATCGAACTTGGATAGTTCCATTTAAGATAGTTCAATTAATTAAATATATACAAATAGGTAATGTGCTACACACGGCAAAATATCGCAATGACGATTGGAGCAGCCAGTAATAACATTTAACAATTGAAAAAAGGTGACTTCAGAAGTATCTCTGAAGTCATTTTTGAACTTGACGACTCTGTATATAATAATACAGGGAGAGAAAAACAGCCCTGGCTGAGTTTCTTGCTGGTTCTTCTTCAGTACAAGGTCTCCCGCCATAGCTTCTTGACCTTCACAAGTGCTTGTAACAGCTTAGACTGAATAAATGATTTTTGAGTTAATTTGAAATTCGAAATTGAGATTGTACGTTACAGAATCGAGGTGTTCGTATTTAAAAAGTTATTTGAATTTGAGGCCTCGAATCATAGGCACGTATTTATCGGTCGATAATGTCGAATGCGTTATTGGGGGAAGGCTGAAATCCGATTCCTTAATTATTGCAGACTTCATCTATATTCCTTATTAACTTAATCATAATATATGATTTTTGTATAAAATATTTATAAAAAATATTATGTTTAAATCTAAAGAAAATATAACTAGAAAAAATTCCACGCGGTGGTCCGCGTGGAATTTGGCTTTTTTGCTGCCTGGTGGCAGCAGACGGGACTCGAACCCGCACCCTTCGCAATCCGGGCGAATGCACTGACCAATTATGCTACCGCGGCCCTCACGGACCGCGTCGAAATTCTTTCTAGCTATTCTTAAGCTGCAAGGCAGCGCCATCTCTTCGCATTATAGGTAAACCCACAATATATAATAGTTATATTTTCTTTAGATTTAAACATCAAGCAGTTACATGCTTTAAAAATAATAAAAATTATAAAAATATTATGGTTTTTGTATTTATTTCATATTATTGAATTACCTTAAGTAAATTATTCGTCACAGAAACAACCTATGTATTGTTATATTTTTTAATAAATTTAAAATTAAATATGAATTAACTTTGATTTATTTTTTTCAGGTTATATCTTCCATTCTAGTTCTTCTACAAGTTGTATCAGAAAATGTTAATAGAAATCATTTAACTTTACAAATTGTAAATTGCCCAAAAAATCCAAACATGCATGATTTCATCAATGTAGTTAAGTCAACATTAGAAAATCAACAGATAATTAAAGCACAGGTTGTAATAAGTAATGTAGAAGATATATTACAATCTAATAATGATAATATTAAACCTGACGTTGTCGTTTTGCATAATTTACTAACTGATAGCAAGGTATGAGTTTGTTCGTATTTATTTTTAATAAATAGCTTACTGATGTGTACCGAAAAACAAGATCTATGTACAAATACAAGTCATTTTTGCAAGTAGGAATACTTATACTCTTTTCTCGTTGTGAAGCTCTGGCTGTAAAATTCGTTATTTGCAAAAATAAGTACTCAGTAATTGGACTTGAATGCAGTAATCTAAATACTATCATCTTGATAAATATTTAAAAAATACATTTTGCTTCCAGGTCTTTGAAGCTCTGTTTAGATCAACACTAGCTAATACTTTCTTCTTATGCATTGGGGAAGAATTCAAGACATTGATTCCGATAGGATTTCATAAAGTTGTCTGTTCTTTTGGTTCTGGAAAATCCAAAATAGAATTAGTTGTTCTTAAACCAAAGCCAAAACCGCTCCGCACGACAGCAGTGACTGTGTCATCTATCACAAATGTACACCAGATAAACAAATTATGCCAAAACTTGCCAGATCAGCAAAAAATAATGATACTATCTCCGCATCCGGCGCCGGTCGAAGCAGAAGTTGCAATGAAAAATATTAGATTGAACAATAAAGATGTTTCCTTAGTGATGTTCGATCAGAGGGACATGATGAGTAAAGAGTTGGAAAACATTCCGGATGTGCCGATATGCATACTACAGAATGTAAGTTTTGTCTGTTTTATTTCCGTCAATCTCTTATCCGTTTATGCTGGTTTTGGATCCATCATTTGTTTACACTTGCAAACAAAGTCAATTTAAATAACAATTTCATGTCATCGCACGGTGATAATGTAATGGCTCAATTACACTTGATCGTTAGCCGGTATTCTAGTGCACGAAAGACATAACTCGAATTCGGGCACCCGAAGCACTATTTACACTGGAATACGAGCTCGAAGAAGTGTCGGGTAAACAAAACAAAAACTACTCGACTCCGTTCATTTACACTTAGTCGTCTACCCTAATTCCATTGGCTCTCGTATTCGGGACAGCGACCAAATGTAAACGCGCCATAACGGTACTAATATTTTTAAGGTAATCCCAAAAACTCACACAATTACATAATAATTAAATCTTGTTGGTTTCGCGTTTCTAAATGTTCAAACTCATCAATAAAAAATAATTGTACTTTAAAACAACTATTTTTTCCTCTAGGGAGTTTGGGGTAATGATTATTATGTTCCAACTAAATGTGAGAGCAGAGCAAATAATAACTGTGAATTGAGATGCACCCAACCTGGTGTAGTAGACTCTTTAAAGTGGGTTGAAGTCCAAAAACCGTCTGGACCTGGCATAGAAGTAACCGTAAGTTTCTTTTATACTTTGCTTTTACGATCCCGCATAAAATCTACTTGCACTGATTACTGAATATCTTATACTAGCGGACCCGACAGACGTTGTCCTGTCTAGTATGGTAGCGCCGTCTGTCGGATCCAATGTAAAACATTCCAAAATCAACAACTACTAATAAATTAAAAATTAATTAAAAAACATTGTCCAGCGGACAAAATTGTGAATCTAAACCATTCTCAGATCCCCTTGAACACACACAAAAAATTTCATCAAAATCGGTCCAGTCGTTTAAGAGAAGTTCAGTGACATACACACTCACAGAAGAATTATATATATAAAGATATATATAAAGATTGTGTGTGTTCAAGGGGATCTGAGAATGGTTTAGATTCACAATTTTGTCCGCTGGACAACCCCTATTTTTTTAGGGCGGTACGAAGTTCGCTGGGTCAGCTAGTAAAGATATAAAATTCTCATGTCACAATGTTAGTTACCATACTCCTCCAAAACGGCCTGACCGATTTTTATGAAATTTTATATGCATATTGCGTGGGTTTGAGAATCGGCTACTATCTATTTTTCATATCCTTAAGTGATAATGGTTGTCCCCCTGTAACGTAGTGTTCTGAAACCTACAATGCGCCTTCACGGCAAAATTCAAACTATTGAGTATTGTAACGTAGTGTTCTCATATGGGTTAGGAGGAATTTTATCCCAGGAAATTGACAGAACACTACGTTACACACCCCTTAAAAATGTTTTTGGACAATATTTATTTTTTTATATTGTGGTATTAAAAAATGCATACAACCCTAAATTTTCTCTTCTACCACCTGCCCCTATTTTTATGGCGGTACGAAGTTCGCTGGGTCAGCTAGTTATGTATATAATTTTATATTTACTATTAAGTATAATATATTTATTATATTTACTGATTGTTCCTTAACATAGCGCAAAACGTCCGTCGCAGCTAGGAGTAGTTTTGCTCTATGTTGCGTAATGAAAAATACTGAGCTCATTTTCCCATCTGGGTCACTCCTATTCAGAAATCGGTGTAGTTTTTTATTTATTTGACATTTCAGTAAACTTGAATGTAAACATATATTGTGAAGTAATAGTAGTTAAGAAATTAATTATAGACTAAATACAATATTAATCAAAAAATAATTATGATTATTTTATAAATCATGGCAGCGAAGTCTATTAATTGAGAAGTCTATAAATTGATTTCCTATTTCTCAAATAGACTTTAGGTAGTTAATTGTTATGACCTTGATTAAAACAAAGAGGGAAGATACGGTACGCTCATTAAGCATCAAATAAAATATGATTTGACTAAATTACATAAGCAACTATTAATTGAGTTTAATAAGAGAATTAATGAGTTTAATCGAGCGAGCGAGACAGAATTATACGCTACAACGCAGCGCGAGCAAAACGGCGCAAGTCCGCGTCACTTTGCAGCCGACTGCCATTTCTTTTCTCTCTCTACAGACGGCTGAGTCGTATTGTTGTCCTTTTCTTGATAAAAAATGGCGAATCAGTAATTAACATTCATGGCAAACCGTGATTTTAGAGCAAAAAATGATTTTATAGTTTTACGTATAAAAAGTGATGCCGTATGTAGCATTTGTTATTTGATGTTGAACTATTTGTGTTCTTTATAAAAGCATCGAAGACATTGTTTTATCTTTATAACACAGAATATTCGCAAATTTGTTATATTGAGTCACGTGCGCATGCATCGTGTTTGGGTGTCCAATTTTGACTAAAACAAATTGTGGTCATGCACCACAATTTAAGCGAATCACTTTTGAGTCGCGAGTGCCTTATCTTCCCTTTTTGTTTTTATCTAAGGTTATGTAATCTTGTTGACAAGTAAGGACCGTGGTGAGTGAAAGCAAGTGTGAAATAAAGGTTATTGCATAATGGCTTGACTTATTTTCGTGTTGCTTTAATTTAGGTACAATATGCTGGTATCAATATGAAAGATGCGAAGTCAGTGATGGTTGAGCGGCCCAACGTTTCAGCGGATGATGGTTTTGGTATGGATTTCAGCGGATTTACGACCAGGTGTGTATCACTCATTAACTGATGTCTTTAATAAAGTCTTCGTGATGGGTTCGTTCGTCTAATTATGAGAAGCGCCAAGCTTTTCAGTGTTTAGTACAACGAGATTCCACTATTTTTCCCGTATAGAGATTACAAGTAAAAAAAAACTTCTCATATTTTTTGTTATTAGCGGGATGCTACCATTTACCTTGTTTTTTGGGAGTTCCCAATATTTGGGAACGGTTGCAAGCGCCATGATCGCGGAGTAACTGAAGTAATTGCAGGTAGGGTATTTTTGGCAGACATATCGGTCTACCCTCCGACGAGTATTTATAATGGCGCTCTTAGATTAAAACAAAATGGGAAGATACGGCACTCGGGGTTCAAAAGTGTACCCGCTTAAATTGTGGTGCATGACCACAATTCGCTTTAGTCACAATTGGACATTCAAACACGCTGCATGTGCACTCAATTTAACAATATTGCTTATATTCTGTGTTATAAAGATAAAACAATGCCTTCGATGCTTTTATAAAGAACACAAATAGTTTTAGATCAAATAACAAATTCTTCTGTCTTCTTCTATCTCATAGGTGAAGTTGATTTTCGAATGGATGGAGTGATTTTGCCAGATGCGACTTAACATCATCCTTGTTTCCTCTCAGTATACAGAAAACGTCATCGACGTACCTCTTCCATAGTTTTGTTACCTGAGATGCCGTGACAAAGGCTTTCTCCGCAAAATACTCTATCCATATATTTGCAAACACAGGAGCTCCGGGACTGCCCATTGCGACCCCATCTAATTGGCGGTAGTACTGACCCCGATATATAATAAAATTCGTCGACAGACAATGATGCAACAATTTGGCATATTCCTTCTGGATATTATTTTCTTGTAAAAAGAAGGTACATGGTAGCAATACCGCTAATAACAAAAATAAAATAAGTAAAACCTATTTCATACAATACTAACGATAGTCCCGGCTTCGCATGGTAACTGATGAAATGTATGTAATAGAATAGATTTTCTTAAAAAATCTTTCTTGTAAACCTTATTCTGCCTATAGATAATACTAGTAGCATCAAATCATGTTCAATCGCTCTCCTAGATTCAAGAATGAACAAGATTAAAGAATCTTTTAATTTTAGACATGTCAATACTACGATTATTCTTAAAACTTTTAAGTCACCTAATTGTTATAAGAAAACAGACGTATCTATGGGGTGTATGAACTAATATTATTAAATCAATAATTTTTAATATTGCCCTTCGCCTAGTTATCTTAATTAACAAACTCAAATAGGCCTTTTCACACCTAATGAAAAAAAGGTACTGGATTCCACTTTTTCAATCTGGAGATTTATCTGACGCTACTAAAAACTGTAGTGTTGTGCAAAATATTTTTGCCAATTAGTTGTAAATCATCTTATTTTATTCTTTACAATTTATTTAATTGCAACCATTATGGTTTCATTAAGGGTAAATTCACTACAAGACGCTGGGACTACACTTTTGAAACACATTTTTGAGGCTCGGAAAGGCAGACAAGATGCAATACGTAGATGCATGAGATTCTGAAGACCTTTCTTACAATTCGATTGCGTTAGCCACGACATATTATTGGAGAAATTGAGGCATTACGGTGTCTCTATCAAATCAGTTGGCCTTATTAAATCACACTTGTCTGATCGAATACAAAAAGTTGTTATTAATAACCCTTTGTTTATGGGCGTATCACAAGGATCAATATTGGGTCCTTTATCATTTTCAATATAAATGAGCTACCTTACTAAACCAGCACGTTATGTGAAACAATGTTATTATATTATAACGACCTCCGTGGCTCGAGTAGTATATACGCCGATTTTCAAAGTGTCGCCTACTCAGAGGTTTTGGGCTCGAATCCCGGTGGGGCAAATATTAGTGTAATGAATACGAATATTTGTACTTAAGTCTTTCTCCTATATTAAACATATATGTATTTCTAAATAAAAAAAAATACTTGTATATGTATCAGTGCTTGTATTCTATACGTTTCTCTAGTATATCCCATAAGACAAGCCTTACAGTGCTTACTTTGGGAGCAGGATAATTGGTGTGACTGTTAATAAAAATAGCGAGACCTCGACATAATTTGTGAGTCGCATGATGACAAGTGCAATGATTACGGAGTAACAGAACTTGCAAAAAGCAATGTATATTGTAGCAATCACGCTTATTAAGCTAATTACTATAAAGTTCTCTGAGTTTTTAAAATGTCTGTGGGTCAAAACATGCTTATTATAAAAGATTTAACCTTCAGGGGTGATCGCGTGATGGGTCTGACAGATGGCAGGTCTGCTAGCAGCAAGGTGCGCGCACGCCCGGAGCTGCTGTGGCCGGTGCCGCCCCACTGGACCATGGAAGACGCTGCCACAGTACCCCTCCCATACGCACACGCTTTTTACTGCATGGTTAGTTATTTACCCATATAACTATATCAATACCAATGTACAACTTTTTTAGTACTAAATAGTCTCTGAGCTAAGCTGCGGTCAGACAGCAAAGCAAAACTATAGGAACCTTCCTTGTTTACTCGTAACTCTTTCCTTATCTTATGATATAAATAAAATAAAAACTTAGGTACTCCCTACTTAAATACTGTATATGTTACAGATGATCAAATTTGAACTTAAGAAGGGTATGAGTGTACTCGTTCATGGTGGCGCTGGAGCGTTTGGTCAAGCCGCCATTTCCATCGCACTAGCCTGTGACTGTACAGTATTTACCACCGTCAGTGATCAAAAGAAGAAACTCTTTCTTAAGAAACTCTTTCCAAACTTGAGAGGTGAGTAATTTGTTATCTTCTAGGACTAAGAGACGCGTCCCTCGAATATAACAATAGCATTAACTCGAAGCAGTGGTTAAGATAAACTACTTGAAAACTGAATCTCTGTCAATAACTTTATAAATATCATGTCTATTATCTAATCTGAACCAACAACAGATCACACGCAGTGTACGAAATAGATATTTGAGGCTGACATGATGACTCCGCCAGTAAATAACTAGCAAACGGTATATATGTAGGTGCTTATATCACAAGCTATTTTCACTTTTTCAGATGATCACATCGGCAACTCTAGAGATTGCAGTTTCGCCGACATTATAAAGAATAAATTAAGAAATTCTGAGCAGGGCGGCTGCGATCTTGTTTGTGGTTATACTAAAGGAGACCTTAAAAACGTCAGTGATCAAACATACTACTCGCTTAGGACATTTTAATGTGGTTTGAATTTTTCGATTCAGCGTGTTATTTTCTCAATAGCCTTAATTACTTTAGGTCATTGGTCTTTTACAGCTGTCCCTGAGATGCTGTGGTTCTAATGGGTTCACGATTGACATAGCACAGTTGAAAGAGCAAGAATATTTTCATATTGGGCTTATACCACCTCACGTGGAACAGGTCGTACTTAGCAGTAGACTTTTCTTCCATATTCAGGGAAAACAACTTGTTGGATATGAGGGTAAGTAGATTTTTTTTAAACAACAAAGAGCAATTAGTGTTTATGTATCTTAGTTCAGTTAACAGCCATTACTGAGTTTCTTGTCAGTTCTTCTCAGTTTATGGTCTCAGCCTTAAATTTGCGAACCGATGGCGTAGTTTTAGATCTTCAATTATGCTTGTATGTAACGGCCTTTAACTGAATCCATAAATAAAACTACTTTTTCACGGGTTAATGCACGAAACTTTATTTATTTATTGACGTCGCCGGAATCAATTTTTTATTTAATTTTGTCGAGCTACCTTCGAAAAACTTTTATTGAGCGTTCGGTTATTTCATTGTCGCAACGTCAACAAATAAATAAAGTTTCGTGCATTAACCCGTTAAAAACTAGTTTTATTTAATGAGTGATGTGCGTGAAAACCTTAGAAACAAATATGAATTCATAAATTTCAATTTGTTCAGGTTGATAAAATTAAATTCAGTGCGTGTTTTGTGAATGGAGCTTCCACTTTACGTAGAGCCTCAGGTCGGACATTAGCTCGTGCCGTGCCTCAGCTGCGTGTAATTCATACGCAGCTTTACGCACATCCGTCTAATTTCGGACGACGCATCGATAGCAATTAGATGACCTGAGGCTCTACCATGTAGGAAACTATTAGAATTGACTTAATGTAAATTTTTGACCTTTTGGGTAGGTACCCAAGACAATTAACCGCCACTGTTGAATAAATCTATTATCCATTTGAGTTGAAAGACACCCTTTGTAAAATGATATTTAACTATCTATCTTCATGCCTCCTCCTTGCCCCGGGTTGGGTAGGCGCTGTGGTTAGAGCGCCATAAGACACGGTCCATACATTATCATCGCTTATCATCTTTTATTATTTTCATAAACACCCGCTCTTTGCCCACTTTAGAAGATTTGTCTCTGTTCCGTTTCTTTACTGATCTGATGGGTAGAACGTTAGAGCGCGGCTATGCCTGAGGCGCAGATTAAATAAAAAAGTAAAGATGGAGCGCAGCGAACAACAATGTGACATCAGGTTTTGTATGCATGAGGAGCGTGGGTCGGTGTTGCTATCATCATTCATATTGCTCCAATATTACAAACACAACTATGTTTAAAAATTAATTATACGTAAACTTTTACCGAAAGCATATACGAGTATGTATTCATTGCTTACTTGTTTCGTACGAAATAAACAGTTCAAAAAAATAGGAAAAGAGCTGCAAAAAAACTTAGCATTTAATTTTAAAGAACTATTTTATTTTGTTGTTTTAGTTTGAAAAAAACTTCTATTGTTGCTTCGGAGAACAAAATGTAAAGAGTGACATACATAATGTAAAATATCAGGGAGGTAGAAATACATGATAGGTACAAACAAACAAAATTTTTAGGTAATACAAATAAATAGAATATTATAAAAGGTAATAGAATTATTCCCTACTGCTTTCACATGAATGATGGTATACTTAACAAAATGAAATCAGTCAAGTGCTTTGTCCGTTCGCCAGTAATTTTAATGCAACACGTACAAGCCATTTTGTAACATACACCAACTACTGTTGCTTATCCCGATTATGTTTTGACGCTCCAAAGTCCTGGGAGCGTTGGACCTCCACCACCACGTCAGTTTATGATGGATGGGATTCCACAAAGTACTACGATTAATTGTATTAAATGAAATATAGACTATTACTTAAATAAAAAAGGGCAACGTAAAGTTGTGTACTTTCACCAGCAAACATATTGAACATAAACCATAGATAACTAAGCCCGCATAGAATCAATATTAAATACAAAACGTCTACTCCGCAAGCGTTTGTTTACTTATTATTGTATTAATGTTTAAAATAATGTTTTCTTGTAAGTGACTGGGATTCTCATGATATTTCCAGTCACAGTGACACAGTAAACAAAATGGCGGCCATGGCGTCGCGGGCTGATGAAAATATTTCTGAATATTTATTATTCATATCCACGAAATATTTTGCTGCAAAATCCGCTTAATTCTATAAAAAAAACAGTGATCAAATATTCGTATTCGTTGCAAACTCCACTATAATCCGCCAAAAATGCGCGGACCAATCACAGCACAGGATTCAAATCACGTGATCAACTTGGTTATGTCCGTTAAAAGGTGTTATGCAGAATGGTGCGATGATGGGTGAAGGCGTAGGATCTAACACAGTGCATGGCACAATTAATAAAATTGTGTTGTTTTAAAACATTGAAGTTTGCAAAGCTAGGGTCATATATTTTTTTTTCATGTGTTGTGAAAATATTATTTCTTCAAAAATTATCAAACGCACGTGCATTAATTATGTTGCTTCATAAAAAAGTAGTTGATGAAGAAAATATGTGTGAGCATGTTGGGGAAAAAGTTCATTTGCAAGTTTAAATGTACCTATGATTTTTTAATAATTAATGTTTGATAAAAAAATCCTTCTTTGTTATTATGGGTTTGTACCAGATAGTACCAAAAAAATATTTTAACAAACCTTAACTTTAACATTTACATAAGAATATCTACACAGTGGATTATTTTAACTCGTGCATGTAGGATAAAACCATCCATACGTCAAAATCTATTCAAATTAGCGGTGGGTCGTTCTCAAATTTTCTGACGACGAAACGCAACCGTTTTCTCTTAAACGAAAACTAGTCCTCGAAACGGTTCTCGTTCGCAACTGGTTTTGGTTGCGGCTGGGTGACGCAACGAAACGACACGCGACGGTCGAACGAATGTAACGCAACGAAACTGAACTAAATGAAATCTTGTTAACGTTCGTTTCGTTGCTGCGAACGAGACGACGAAACATCGAAATAAATGTAGTGTTATACGATAATCGACTTTAAATGTTCAATAATAAAGATTATATTATTGTAAAATCAAAGCTTAATTATCATAGAACGAAACGGCCTCTTAGCATTGCGTTCTATTATAGACTGTATTTGCTTAATCATAAAGAACATATTGGCTTGCAGACAATCCGAGGACTAGTTGTTCGACGAAGACTGTTTTGATCCGAAACGTAAAACGGTTCTATCGTCGCGGAACACAAAACGGTCCTTGAAACCGGTTCGTCTTTAGAACGCTCACACCTAATTCAAATCAAAACCCGCCAAAATTTATAATAGTCGTTGCAAATACCGCTATAATCAAAGGTTCTCATCAAAACCCACTAAAAACAAAATTCTTTTAGCACTTTATCCGTTAAAAACCGTGTTTTCCTTGGTAAATCGTGTTAAAAGTGTTTATAAAGCACAAATTAAAAGTGTATGATGCTTACTTTAATTTTAAACTGACCTTTTATTTAAAATGAGGTGTTTTTTTTGCTAGCTTATATTTTCTGTAAAAGATTTTAGTGGATTTTGAAAGTAGACTCCTCCCTTATGAGCACAGTGCCTAAAATGCAACATACCATTGCTGCAAAAATGCCTATCACGTAAATAGACTAGGAAGCGGATTACCTACCCATAAATGCCTAAAATGTTATTTCGTCTACAAATTGAAATTCCTACAATGCACTATGTCTCTTTAATGAATCATTATGACAGACAGATTTGGGCTTAGTTTTGCTGTACCTGTGTGCGTGTAATTTTTTTTCGCAGCGCTGCGTCTATAGTTTTTATTTGATCTGAGACCTAAGGATTACCCTGTGGGATTGACCACGCGCATTGTGTACACAATTTTAGCTAAGAGCTTATTTAAAAAAGCTGTTACCATCTTCGTCCACGCCGTTAACGTCAAATTTGGGTCCAGAAAGAGAATAATAATGTAATACAACAGACGTCTGTTATTTCACCTCTTGTATTTAGTTATTTGTTAAGCTCATGCGCAGTTTTTCTCCCAAAAATTTTCCGGAATAAAAAGTCCATCCTTCAAAACAGTTCACTTTATTGCGTAACTAGTGGCCCGCCCTCGCTTCGCTTCAGGGTAGAATTGATCAAAATCCTGTCTTAGCGGATGCCTACGTCTTAACATCTACCTGCATGCCAAATTTCAGCCAGTTCCGTCCACTGGTTTGGGCTATGCGTTGATAGATCACTATGTCAGTGTATCTTTGAGTTTTATATATATATAGATAGATTGAGCAACAAACATCCATTTCTAAATGATACTGTTTCACAATTTAAGAATAAATTGTGTAAGTAATTCTATATTTATAAACATCTCGTGTCACTGTGTTTGTTATCGAAATCCTCCAAAACGGCTTCACATATTTCAAAAGGAATGTATGAATGAATAACTTTATTGTACACCATGAGATTGTAAATTACAATTTATTAAGACTATTACATTATAGTACAAACAGCGGCCTTATCGCTAAGAAGCAATTTCTTCCAGGCAACCGTATGTTAACTGGATTGTTACATATAGAGTGGGAAGTAGATGGGGTCATTTAAAGTGAAACTACCATTAATAATACTTATAAATAATTATGTACAACAAAAAATTAAATTAAATACATAAACATATTATATCCATATATAAACACAATAACAATTTAATCATACTTTGGATGATGTGATGACTAGCTAAAATGTCAGGCAATGTTACTTTAACATTTTTTTAAAACAATGTTTTAGCACCTCTGATTGTTTCCGGCAATGCATTCCACAAACGCGCAGCCTGAACTACAAATGATTTGTCCATACGTGGAGTGCATTTGAATTTTTTTAAGAGTGGAAATTTTTTATCGCAATTTTCTGGAAAAATGTTATTCCTTTATATTTATATAAAGCCAAAAAAATAAATCGTCAAATTAAAATACCTATAACTTTTATATTTACACACTATTGTACGGGATTTGTGTACGTACAAGAAAAGAAAAATGGATTTTACAGAGACAACCAAACCCTAACAAAACCTTAAAATATTTCCGAAAAATCTAAATAACTGACTTCTTGCTTTTTCTATATTTATCTCCCCTAAAAAAATATATATCTCAAACAACGCCCAAATTTTTTAGATCCAAAATATTTATTTCTACTCCTTTTGATATTTATCAAAAAACAAATTTTGCATTCAATCGAAAAACATGACGTCATTAAAGTTGTTATTAAAAAAAAGTTGGTGAGCTTTTTGCTCTATGGGACCTTATTATTTATTATTGTAATGGCTCAAATACACTTGGTCGTTAGCCCTAATTCGGGTGCACGAAGGACATTACCTACTCCTCGAATACACGCACCCGAAGCAATATTTACACTAGAATACGGGCTGGAAGATGTCGGATAAACAAAATGAAAACTACCCGAATACTCGACTCCGTTCATTTACACTTAGCCGTTTACCCGAATTCCATTGGCACTCGTATACGGGCTAGCGACCAAAATATGTAATCGCGTCATAAGGTTGGACCTCTACTTTCTGACAGTTTAAAAATAATATAAATATGGGAAATTTTCTTTCTTGCTAATAATAGATAGGTATTACTTTAATTGGGTAACAACCAGATAAGCGAATGAACAACGACGACGACGATATGAATTTCTACATTTTCGAGAAAAAAAATCACTATAAAGGATATATAGGTAATTTATTTACAATCAGAAAGTAGAGGTTATAACGAACAAATAACGCACAAAGTTTTATGAGGTTTTTAAATAGGAGAACACCTGAGGGTGTAAAATAAATGCCCCGTGCTATCTCTAGAATTTAATTGACCAAATATTGTTTAATGATTTGCCATCGAAAAATACCTAGAACCCTAAACTTAAGCCTTATTTTTAAGGTGGTACGTAGTTCCCTGGGTCAGGTAGTTTTTGTATATAAGCAGATCGTAAAGTTTCCGAAATATTGGTTTAACAGAAAATTCAGATGCTAATATGCGAAGGCATCCGGTGCGGCTACGTGCGACCGCTGACACGAGTGACGTACGAGCCTCACGAGACGCCGCGCGCCTTCCGGCTGCTAGCGGGCAGTCGCCATTATGGCCGCGTGCTTCTGTCCGTGCCGCGGGCTATTGCCATCGCTAAATCTAGGTAAGCGACACGACCATATTAGACTGAAACATACAAACCGCATGAGACTCCGCGCGCCTGACGGCTGCTACGTAAGTGACACAACCATATTACACTCAAACACACGAGCCGCACGAGACGCCGCGTAATTGCGGCTGCTGGGTAAGTGACACAACCATATATATCATTATGCTCGAACATACGAGTTACACGAGACTCCGCGCGCCTGACAGCTGCTAGATAAGTGTCACAACCATATTATTACACTTGAACATACGAGCCACACGAGATTCCGCGCGCCTGACAGCTGCTGGATAAGTGTCACAACCATATTATTACACTCAAACATACGAGCCGCACGAGACTCCGTGCGCCTGACGACTGCAGGGCAAGTGACAACCATATTACACTTATATTGGAGAGGATTTTACTTACAACTAATTTTACGAGATAACGTGTCGTTCGCTGTTTTCCTCGGGTCACTTGAATGAGGCTTTTTGTTCCGATTAATGTGAGCCCAAGCACGCCTCTGTACCTCTATGGGGGCCCGAGTTAGGCTCCGCCGGGGGGGGGGGGGGGGGGACACTTTCCGGCTTCTGCGTAAGTGATACACCAGGTATACTCAAAACCTACGAGCCGTTCGTTATCAACAACAAAATAATTCATATTGTCTTTAATATTTTCTAGGATATCTTGCACTCCTGATCGAAATCACCTGATCGTATGTGACAGCGATGGATTTGGTCTACAAGTCGCCGACATTCTGGTGAACCGAGGTGCTACCAGGCTTTACCTTCATTGCCAAAAGACACCATATGTGAAATATAAAATAAGGTGAGACTGTTATGGATGTACTTAACAATTATTAAATATACAAGTATTTACGGGTATACGACTAAAATAAATTTTCATAAAAAAAAAACATAGAGCCATGTGTGAGACTATTATTAATAAATTACATTTCTTAAAATTTATCTAAGAACTAAACTTAATATTTCATGTTTGCAATTTTTCACAAATTATTTCGGTCTTTTTAAGCCGAAAAAACAAAAAACCTATGCTTTTATGATCGACATTAGTCAGTACAACGTAATCAGCTTATTAGCGCACATACACCTAAGTAGTGGCTTCAAAACATCATTTACGAGGTTCCTAACACATAAATCAATGGATGTGACCTAACAACCTTGTCTCAATTTTAATTTGTGCCTTATCAAAACAAAATTTTCGTTTCCTTAATAGAAATTGGCTGAGCAAGGGCGTTATCGTGGAGGTCTCCACAAAAAGTATTATAAGCCAAGAAGAAGTTGATGAAATGCTTAGGGAATGCTCGAAAACAAATGACATCGAGGGAGTTTATGTGATAGCAACGAATCCAGAACAAAAACAGGAACTGACAGCAGTAATAGCTAACTTGGATTTAGTAGCTAGAAAATTCTGTCCTAACTTAAGGTAACATAAATATAAAACTTACTTTACTTATGTCTTAAAAACCGGACTTTAAATATATATCTTTCATTTAATGGTATAAAACATTAACAATATTCTTTGCCTAATAGAGCATAGAATATCTTGGTATTTGCTTAGTTAAATTTTAAAAGAAATATTAACCTTATAACAATACTATCTTAAAAACCTACCTGTAAAAATGTTCTTTACAATTTGATATAGATACATCATTTTGGGAAGGCCTGTGCCCCAGCAGTGGGGATGATGATGATCAGATTAAGAGACTGATGGTGATGATGATGATGATGACATCATTTTATCTACGGTAATTCTATAAAAAGTGGTTTTCGCGTGATTGTTTCATCAACGCAGAGCCGATACTACGAAATCTAAAAATACCAAATTTAGACACTAAATTGTCTTTTATAGTCTTGGGAGGCATAGTGAAAGGACCTCAAGGAGTTTCACCCCTGAGCGTGTACAATAGATGTAGATAACGACTACTACCTTATGTAAAATATCTTATAGAAGTTTCTCGGTAAAGATGATGACTTCCTCATCAGTGCCAAGCCAAAACTACTGAAGCTATAACTATGAAATTAAAAAAGTACATTCCTTAACTGGTATATGCAAGCAAAGGGCAAGGATTTCGGGGAATTAGACGCGTAAGGATAATAGAAAAGTTATACTTTGTTATATTGTGTTGGTCTTTTAACCTTGAATTATTTATTTTTTTAACAAATAAAAACAATGATACTCGGATATTGAACAACATCCTTTAAGGGTACGAAATACAAGTTGAAAGTTAATGGTGAAATCGATCTACAAGAAAAAAGAGTTAGGTATGTTGGCTCTCCGGAAAAGTACATGCCGAAAACCAAGATTATAATGGCAATTTTTCAGTGATCATGTAAATTATACTGCTAAATATACCGTTTTGAATAATTTTATTTCTTTCATTTCCGTATAAGTATTAGGTCCAATGTTTCAGATACTTTGCAATAATAAGCGAAGATGACAAGCGGTGGAAACAGGTCATCGTCAATAGAGCAAAAGAAGGTCTACCGTCACTGTCCCTACAAATGAAACTCCAACGGGTAATAACAATTGCTAACTTAATTAAAGCAATAAGCCGCTAAGTAGGGAGATCGCCCTTCTGTTTAGAATATAATGTTTTAAATGATACTGAACTGCCTGGAACAAGAAAGTGCTGTCAGCTCATTGGCTCAATTTAGTATGAATACTGATTCAATATTGATCAGGGATAATATACATAAACACGTATTTAAATTACAGCATGATCCTGGTTCAATTACAAATCATAAATCGGGCAACGATTTAGCGTGGTTTTATGCAGCGGAAGCAGTAGAAGCAGCTCTGACCAGCGGAGATGCCGTGGTCGTCGCATGTGCTCAGCCTACGATATCGCAGAATATTTTAAATGAAACTGCAAAGATACCAGGTAATGGACAAATACCTCGACGAGTGCGACAGCGCAGCAGTTAGCGCATTCGGTCTACAATAATGGTAGTTAAGCAACTTTTGCAATGACCAGTCTTAGCATGAGGGCGAAAAAATATTATCTCGGGCTCGTCCGTGCTTCGGAAAATGCGCTAAGATGTTGATCCTTGTTGCATCTACATTGCTTAGAACCCACCAATCCACACTGGGCCCGCGTGGTGGGTGATGTGATGACCTAATCTCGCAATTTCATCTATTTTGTGCTCCAAAAATGGGGACACTAATAGGTTAATGATAATGGTGGACAATTACACCAAACGACCGCATTGATTCCTTTAATAACTTACTAATAGCTACCCAATCCTCAAAGGTACCACATCTATTTAAAGTTAATAAATAACACGACAAATTTAGATAAATAAACTGTTATAATTAAATAAATTACTTGCTTACTTTATATTAATGTTTTTCTTCAAATATTATTTTATTAAGCTGTCCAATTATCAACTAGGTTTAAATTTATCCAATACGGAAATGAAGAGCACTACTTTGGAGCAGATTGGTCTTGATCAAGGCCGTGCTCAGGAAATGTGCAACGTCTTCCAGCAGAAGTTCAACATAACCATATCGAAAGATGCCATTCCACGTATGACAATCTCTCAGTAAGTAATCAAACAAATAACAGGATCACAGTCTTTTTGGTCTTCTCTGCTTAAATTATCTTTTTCTATTACTATTAGCGTTGGAGCGCTGATTTTTGTTGTGCGAGGAAAAAATAGAATTTTACTACGGAAATATTTTAGTATATTGATTAAATAACATTGACAAGGTACAATGACATATGCCACAGAAAAATAACACCACAAGTCATATTAAAAACTCTTTGGTCGTTAACAATTACGTTCCAACTTACATTTCCCATATTGTTGTTTCTTACATTTAACAAGCTTATTATATGACCCGCCTGATGATATTTGGCTTCTATAGCCTATTGACTCTATACCAGAGTGTCTCTAGTCTCTAACGTAGTACCTACTTTGACCTCATCCACCCCGTTACTCTCCCAGAGGACCATTCCAAATAGAAAATGCCCTACCTCTCTTGTTTGATTTTATATAAAAAATGCTTTATCTATTCACCCATGTCAGATTGGAGAAACTACAAGGACAGCATATTGACATCGAGCAAGATGTAGAAGGATTCGCTGCATACTTCAGTTACTTCGACTCGGATATTTTGGAAGCTACACGTGAGCTAGCCATCATGCCTACATTTGTACACAGAAATAAATTGGTAAGCTATTATTTATGCATGTATCTTGTAAACTCAGAATCAATAAATATTCTAATTTTCGGCGTAACTTTCATGTTAATTAAATTTGTATTACATCAGCTAACACTTTAAAGCCACGAAATTAAAAAGATAAGATATTAGATTTAAAATACAGCTATAATTTCAATAAACATAGTTGACTTTGTCCTATCTATTGTAATTTATCTTCGAAAAACGGGTGACAGAAAAAACTTTGGGCGACCATAACTTTTGTGTTAAACGGCAAAGCATTGGACTACCTCACAGTCATGGAAGAAAAAAAAATCTCTTATGTAAAATACAGAACATTTCATCAGATAGACATGTTGTATTGCAAAACCAACTGTGTGTGGATGCTTATATTTAATATTTCTATATTCCTAAAATAGCGAGCTGATGAGTTCGAAGTGGGGCGCGAGTACTTGTGCGTGATCCCAGGCCTAGAAGGCCACTACGCCAGGTTCGATACTCTCTGCAAACGTCTCAAGATCCCTGCAGCAGTCCTGCAGCCTGATCACCGCGACTGCACTTTGAAGGAAATAGCACAAAGAATAGCCAAAGTAAGAATATAACACCTGGTCTTTCTGCTTAGTTGCTTTATAAACCGTATTTATAACCTAGAAAAAGAAAGAATAGAAAGACGCAGACGTAGCTCAGAACAAAGCATCATTTCAGTCTTACACACATTGATGTTAGTTTACAGACATATTCACTTTATTTCAAACTTTCACGACGAATTTATTCGCGACACTAAAATTGAAATCAATAGCGGTACCTATGATTAGTTACGTCCTTCTGGACGTCCCCCGCCGTCCCCGATATAAAGTATCGATGGCCGATAAGTATAAATATATTTTTTAAAATATTTTTAAATAAATAAAATAAACGGCCAGATTGATAGTCACTATAAATCAGCTGCATAGATGTTGTACCTATAAGTGAAAAGATCACAGTTTCAGTTAATATCTGAACCAAAGCATTGTGTTTATGATAAATATGATTTTAATAATACCTTACTTTTCAGCAGACTTGTAAAGTATTTGAGTAAAAGTATTTCAGAATACAAATACAAATACTTTTCTAGTATTTGTATTTGTATTTCAAATACTTTCTTATATAAGTATTTATTATTTGTATTTAAATACTTGAAATCAAGTATTTTTTACAAGTATATACTCGCTTCAAATACTTAAATTTTTCTCTTACTCTAAAGAGCTCCTTTTAAACTTCGCGCGTGCGTTTGTTTTAAGCAACGGCCGTAAAACGCTCCTAGTGACCTTCCAGCTCTGTTTTCTATAGTGCGCTATGATTAGACATGGGCGTTTGTGGTTTTGTACGCAAACGGATATTTATCGGATTTCAGATTTCAAAATCGATTTTAAAATCCGTTTTTAGATATCCGATTTCAGATGTGCCGAACTTAGCCAATTCACTAGTTTGTGTTATGATTTGGTTTTATTAGCTAACGACAATCACAAACAATTAATTGTACGAAGCAAGGATACTCGTAGATTTGCGCGATTTTCCTTTATGCTTTAAATCTAGGCTTAGGCAAGAGTATATATTCTGTGGCTTAGGACTAGCAGAAAAGTTATCTTTACGGTTAAGAGTAAAACTTTAGCGGCGCATTTAAAAATCGGCTTATATACAATGATTTCTTTTTACATATTTTTTTTTATTTTTCTGTTTGATTTTATTATTTTTCAAACCATTTACAAAATCAAACTTAATTACTTCAGGTTAGCGTTCAAAAAATGTCAGTTGCTCGACTTTTGATGTTTTTAGACGACATCTTTTTCAGTAAATAAATAATCCCGCCTTAGAGAAGAACAATAGATTTCCGTAAACAGCAAACCGAAATCGGACTTCCGAGCACGAAATCGGACTTCCGAAAACGAAAGCACGAATTTCGAATCCGATTTACATTTGGATACTTGTGGTGGTATTAGATTGCTAGCGTTTTGGTTCGGTTAGATTTCTGAAATCGGATTTTCTTGTTGAGAAATCGTTCGGTATCGATTTGTGTTTGAAATCGGATTTTGGATTCGTTATGATATATCGGACGCATGCCTAGCTATGATGCCTAGAATATAACCTCAGGCCCAAAGTTTCATGTGTAAATCATTTGCATTGTTGAGTTGAGTATTTTTCACAAGTATATACTTGCTTAAGAATAATTTGTTAATTATCCAAGCGAGTATTTGTATTTGTATTTAAATACTTAAAATTGAGTATTTTTTACAAGTATATACTTGCTTAAGAATAATTTGTTAATTAGCTAAGCAAGTGTTTTTTTTTTTTTTGGTATTTCAAATACTTTCAGAGTATTTGTATTTGTATTTAAATACTCAATGAAGCAAAAGTATTTGTATTTGTATTTAAATACTCAATGAAGCAAGAGTATTTGTATTTGTATTTAAATACTTTTGAAAAGTATTTTTTACAAGTCTGCTTTTCAGACAATTATGCAGAAACTGACCACAGAAAAGACCTTCTACTTGCTAGGGTACGACTTCGGGGTTCTCGTTGCCATTGAAATAGCTTCTATTCTTGAAAGTAATGGTAAGTTGTTAAAGTATTCAACGTAATAAAGAATTATAGATTTCCAACTATTTTAAACAGATTTTAACTATATTATACTAAATAGGGAATTTATTATAATTAAATAAACTTGCAAGTATTTACATAATCATTGTTTTACAGGTTTCACCGGTACTGTGTTTATGCTCGGTGGTACTCCACTCGACATCTGTAACTCTTTCAAAAGCCACTGGAAAGGCACAACACCTGAGCTCCAACAAAATGCTTTGATCAAACACATTTACAGCCAAGTCATGACTTCAAAAGATATTTTAGAATTCGAAAACGAGTTGGCATCAAAAACAAAGTACAATGACAAACTGGAATGCCTCGTCAAAAAATTACCGTACCCTTACCAGTTTACAAGAACGCTAATACAAGGCCTTTGGGCAAAGATCAAGATACTTCAAGAATATGATTTTAAACCACACTCGCTACGTTCCAAATTAGTTTTAATTCGAGCAAAGCTACCTTGTCCTGAAGTAGATTCGTTAGAAAATTTCCCGAAGGAGATGAAGGTCCATAATATTCAGGCGGTCTTAGCCCATGCTCAGAGAGATCTGGCTTGCTCTAACATCATCAATAAACATCTGAATATAGATATTATAGAGGCTTATGAAAACAGCAATAAATGTGAGACAGCACTCATAAATGAGGCAAGCTATGAATAAATAGTTTGCTAATTTGGTATATCGAGAAACTGGCTTCACGAACATTGAATGATATTTTTAGTATTTTGATTTGAATAAATTAATCAGTGTGGTGTTTGTTATAATTAGTTTTATTTCAATTGAAATGACAACATAAATAGGTTTCAAAAAAAAAACCTATGTATAATTCCGAAAGCAGAAAGAGATAATAATATATTTTGTATTAAACATCATAATTAAACTAAATCAAAATTCTCATCCATCCGGATAGCGGAAGATGTGGGTTCCAATCCTGTTGGAAACCTGGATAGAGTGGATGTTTTCTAGTATTTTTTTTAAGATTTAAATATCTAACAGTTAAAAGCTTAGAAAATAAAAATAAAATAATCAAAAATGCTACTTAATTGTCATTCAGTCAGCATTGTCGCCATTGAACTTGACTTGGAAAAACATCGGCTACATAAAAAAGTCTTACACGTTTCGAAACTACGGACTTATGTAACTGAATAGTATTAAATGACAATTTATACTTCAAATGCAAATCCGCCATAAACTTAGGTAGTACGGATGCGGATGGTTATATAGCACTGATTTTATTTATTTCACACCAAGACAACCAGCGATTCCAGGCAACTTTGTATGTTTTGAGTATGGAGGTACGCCAAGAAGACTAATAGCGATAACTGCTTGCCATCCCATCCTTTTAAGTCTTTTGTCCACCCCCACATTTCCAAACCTCCAGAGGTATGTCCTCGATTCTCGCTGGTGGAAGGCCCGTCGACACATCTAATAGTTGTTGCTTCAGATTGTATAATGTGAACGGTGGCGCTAGGGCTCGGGTTTTAGGTCTGCTCTCCAATCGCTACTCAGCCATTTGGCTAAGATCAAAGTATAGGTCTGCTCTCCAAAATACCTTTTTCCACCTGGGTACCACTATAAGGTATATCCCCCAGGCTTGATTCAAATTTGCCAGTACTTTGGTAACTAGAAAAGGTGGCGGGAATTTCCATGCTAACAGATAATTCACACTGGGACGTACTAGCTATAGGTATAGAATTATTGTCATAAGACTGCTCTCGCGAAGAGCATTGGTGACCACACTCACCCTGCGAGGGTAAGTAATTATTGTATCTTCGCATTACGCGCTTAATCTCGGTAATTGTGAGATGGATTACCATGCGATGGCAATTTGTTATGGCTCGAACACCGAGAGGGTCCGCTTGATTGAAGATACAAACATAGATACGGTAAGTTGACTTAGAATCCTAAAAAAATCACTGATGGTGTACGATGCGACGTTACAAACCTTTTTATAATGACAAAGGGCACACCTAAACCAGCAACTCATACCATTATTGGAAATAGGCTAAAACGGCTACTATCAGAAGCAGAAGTAAAAGCTTCAGCTGGCAGTTTTCGATCTACTGTCTCATCCTTAAATTGGTTAGAAAACTATCCAAAAAATGAAATTCTAGCAAAAGCAAATTAGCAGCATGAGCACACATTTAGAAAATATTATCAAAGAAATATAGCGTCCAATAATGTGGGTTATGGAACCCAACCCAGTGGTTAGGACCAGAATCAATCAAACGTACTGCGATGGTTGATTTCTGCGTTCCGTTGTTTTTGGTTGCTTTTTTTGTGTTTCGGCTCGCTAACTTGTTTGGCCAATGTACGTACTGCCACAGCTATAGCGGATCCGGAATCGCTAGTCCTATCCTACTAGTCATTAATTATAAATGTGAAAGTTGGTACCTCTGATTTTTACTCAATCACACAAAAACTACCCAACGGATTTGATAGAAATTTGGCACTCATATAGTTTGCCACACGTTTACTTTAGTTTTAAACCCTCAGGAACCTTAAATATTTGCGTGATAAAAAGTATCTCAGTTCTCAGCCAGTTAGTCCCCAGCCAATTAGGCGTTGAGCAGACGACGGGGCGGGGCGGGCATTTTGTCCGCGAAGCAATAAAGACCGCGTCTGCCCGTCGATGTCTGCGGCTGCCCGCGCCGCGTACACAAAGCACACGACGGGCAGAGGCGGTCAGTTTAGGACGTTCGTTCTAGTGAATAGTCCATGACCGCCCCGCGCCGCCGTCTGCGTTACTGCATATAAACTGGTTTGTATGATCCACGGCGGGCAGCCGCGGACATGCCGCGCCGCCACTGCCCGTCGGGCACCCAAGGCGCGGTCTTTTTGACTGCAAATTGCAAACGCACACCGTTTGAAGTATAGGATTCACTTTGTGCTATTATTCGCGGCGAAATTGACCGGCCCGCCCCGCCCCTTCCTCACTGTACCAGGGATTTATGTGAGACAGAACTTAGGTACTATTTGCAGATAACACCTCTTTATTATTATAAGGTCAAAGATTCGATGAATACCATGACGAAGAAAATAAATAAAACTCTCTTCAAAGTTTTACAATGGTTACTTGTGAATAATTAGAATCGAAACACAAATAAAACAAGATGTCGTAGATATACTCTTTATATGAAGTTATAATAATAACTTTATGAATGAGAGGCAGCTTAATAAATGACGAGCTAGTAGTAGATTCCACAAAGTTTATGGACAATGGTCTCGATTCTGGAATGATTATCTAAACTTAAAACTAAAGGACAATGTTAAAATTGGCCTAAGAACCAACAACAATTTGGCATTTATGATAATTCTTAGTATATTTTTTGCGAAAATTATCAGTATTTAGATTGTGACGGACACTTCCAGTTAAGTAAGCTAAATTAAAAAGTCGAAAAATAATCTGAGACAATAAATACCATTTTATGTATATAATCTATGGCAGCGCTGCAAACAAAACACTCTTTCTTCCTAATGCCGGCACTTCACTTGGTTATTCGTATTTGCTATTTTAAAACATGACATCAGTCTGTCCTTTTCATTCCTTATTAAGCATGACAAGGACAAACTGTTATCAAGTGAAGGGCCGGCATAAAACTCGTTACTCTGTGGTTGTGGTGCATGCAGTTTGCATTCGTAGTAATCTGTGGCATTCGTGCATTCCAAAGAGTAGTATAATATATACCGGAAAGTGCGTTCTCGTTTCGGATTGCCTGTTTTATGTTTTGTGTGTTTATTTGCGATTATTTTTCCTATAATTTAACTATTTGGGCTATCTAATATGCCATCGATGTTACCAAAGAGCAAAGCCCTTATTACCAAGTGCTAGTGAACCTGTGCCACAATATCCTTAGAGGATCATACTGCCAAATTATTCAAGAAACCCTGATACACATTCACGCTGCATATTTACACAATATACCTACATGTGATATACAAATAAATACAATAAACAATATGATACAATTATGTGAAACTAGTCAATAAATAAGAAGCAAAACTACAGTTTTTATTTTATTCATGATTCCTACCTAACCAAGTTTTTTCTATTAGTTATTCTTTAAAATCGCACCGAATAAAATGAATTAGTTGTACTATTAATTCACTTCATACTGAGTTTATACTAAATTCATAGGTGGACCTGTGTTTCATTGAATATTAAACATAACCTCAAAAAAATTTTAGTTTTCCTAATAATTTAAGTTCTCAGAAGTGTCCGTCAATAATCTTTGTTTTTACAGTCATTTACTTACGATTTTGAACCTAGAAAATAATATTTCATGGTTGTTGCTTCTTAGGCTAACTATGTATGGACGCTGAACAATGTCCTTTAACGTTAGTCTCTCCTTTTTATTCTGTATAGATAATGACAAGTATACCTATATTATTGGCAAAGTTTAGATTTAGAGCACAATAACGTGGAGAGTCACCAGGATCCCACGAAACCCGTTCCGGCAGGCGGGGAAGCACTGTTGAATTTTTAGTGAGTATAGCCAGTTTGGCTGAGCGAGTGGGTGGGATTTGGGGGGGGGGGGGGGGGGGGGAAGGAATCCCACATAACCCCGCCTCTCACCCAGGAGCGAGGTATGCGTCAATCATTTTCCCAACAATAAAAAAAAAGGTTTAGAGCACAAACTATTGTTACGTGTCGGGATGGGGTTCGAAATTATATGCCAGTTCACGCTTGACAGTTCTTTATTCACCACACAGTTCACACAATTAACACATAATGTTAATTACAAAACACTCACTTAACACTGTATTTCACTATACAAGTCTCTAAACAATCGCACTTGAACACTTTTATTGCACTTTGATCGCCCTTGGATTCGCTCCGAAATCGCTGTTGAAACTCAACTGTCTCTGCGCGGCGCCAAACGCGCTTATATACGCTGATCGACGCATTGTAGAAAGTACCTGTTAAATTGAGAATTAGCTAGCACCCGCGAGTACAAAGTACCTACTTATACCTACGCAGGTAACGCGCATAACTTGTAAACAAGTGCAGATGTCGTTGCACTTTCTCCCTTACGCCGCACTGCATAAGGCTCATTTTAGAATGAGCCGCATTACTCGACCTCTATCGCGATCCGCGGTGATCTGGCAAATTCGATCTCTAGCACTTTCGCGGTTACGTTTCGAGAGCGTTTGTGACACTATAATTATAGGGATGCTAGCGCATATTTGAGGTACAATACCGCAATGGGCTGCAGGCGACAACCGCAGGCGACACTGCGGCTGACCGTGCATTATATGCATTGTGCAGCCGCGGCATGTCGCCGCGCTCGAAATCAATTTCATAGAGATTCATAGAAACTAGTAGTGTCGCCTGCAGTCTGCAGCTGCGGCCTGTGGTCTGCGGTTCAGTTCGGACTTGTACCTTTAGAGAATCATGCGGCATGCCAGTAACGACACCACTATATCATCTGCATTGAGATCCTCATAATGATGAGATGTACTTAATGTTTATCAAATATAAAAGTTTTTCATCTTTTGCTATTAAATAAATTTAAAAAACATATCAACAGCCGTACTCAGAAACGTCAAATTAAGGGGATGCTTCATTAAGTTACATGTTTGGCGGTTTTTCTTGACTTGCAAAAAGTGTTTGATACAGTCTCTAACCCTATCCTAAAATATAGGAATACTAGCTGACCCAGCGAACTTCGTACCGCCCTAAAAAAATAGGGGTTGTCCAGCGGACAAAATTGTGAATCTAAACCATTCTCAGATCCCCTTGAACACACACAAAAAATTTCATCAAAATCGGTCCAGTCGTTTAAGAGAAGTTCAGTGACATACACACTCACAGAAGAATTATATATATAAAGATGAGGGACTCTACTTGCTCTCTTTAAAAGTGAATTTTCCGGGAGCAAACAAAAGTTAAAATTCCTGGTGCACCGTGGGTAGCGTTTAAAGCAGTGGCGTAGCGTGCCTTGGACAGGCCCCGTATAAAAAAAATGTTTTGGTGCCCTCAGTATAGGTAAAGGTTTCTCACAAAAGAAAAAAAGATGTTTACATAAAATTAAAAGAAACGTTCATTCATCATAATAATCTTTATTTGACGACCGCCGCGCCGTGGCCGAGTGGTTTGTACGCCGGGTTTCATGGTGTCGCCGACTCGAGAGCTCCCGGGTTCAAATGCCGGTTTGGGCAGATGTTTCTGTGATGAATACGAGCATTTGTACTCCAGTCATGGATGTTTAATATGTATTTTCTATAAAAATATACTTACATATGTATGTACATTTTAAGTATTAAGTATATCCGTTACCCTAGTATCCCATAACACAAGCCTTATAGTGCTTACTTTGGGGCTAGGCTAATTGGTGTAAGCGTTGGAAAAAAAAACTATCACTTTTTTCAAAATTTTTAACAATCAATTCAAATCTGGAGACGCGGCCGCCTATCAAGCCAAGTTCAAGCAAAGGAACTGGCTAGCCAGCGCCGAGTGTAGTATTACACGAACCACTTGGTGCCACTTTAGACCCTTGTGTAACTCTTAACTTCTTTTACGTAAATACATAAAACTACGTATGTTTAATTATATCCATAAGGACATCGAGAAGCCAAATTTCAAGAAGCTAGCTCAAACGGATAGAAGGTCAAAAAGTCGTAAATTTTAGCACTGACTGACTGACATATAGTAACTTAATATAAGCTACTTCCAGATGACCTAAAAATGTAATTTGGAATTCAAGGGGTGATGACGCGGTACAGTAAACGAAATTCTATTTAGTCCGTCAGTTAGATGATCAAAAAATAATGGACACATATTTTTTCTTTGGGCAATCAACAAAAAATGACAAAGTTATAGCGCGTCAAGTTTGGGAGTAGGGGCTCGTGACGTCACTTTTGAGTGAATTTTCCCTTATAAGTGTACTCAAACGTGACATCATGCGACTTTTCAAATCAATATATCTCTGCAATGTTTATATTATGTGAAAAAAGAAAAATACGTGTCCAATACTTTTTCATAATCTACCTGATAAACGAAGAAAAAAAAATTAGTCATTATCCCTAAGAAAAAATCTAAACATAAAAAAAAGTTAAAAAAAAATGTAGCGTTGGAACCTTTACAAGCAGATATTTGAAACTATCCTAATATATGTATTATTATATTTGCTATAAGTATGACAGAAAATCATGCAGCAGAAACGCAGGGAAAAACATTAAATCTCAATACCTGCCTAGTTTTCTTTACAAAAAGTAATGATATCCCACCAAAAACATAAATGTAAAAAAGGAGAGCCAAGTTCAATACAAAAATTATGCTTGGCTGTGGGCTTCGCCGCAAAAAGCATGATCTAAATGAGTGCCAAGTTCTATGAAAAATCCAAATATGTATTTATAGGAACAAAATAACATTATCAACAAGTATTAAACTCTATTTCTTTGCTTTATTGGATACCTATAACAATTGCTGTTATTTAAAAATGTGAGATCATAAAGTAGTTAGATTTGACTTGGCCAGTTTTCATTAAATATTGATTCTGATAAAAAAAGACTGCGTTATCTTTTGCCTTTTGTTTTAAAAAAAGTCGTTACCCTCCACTCCTTTAAAACTCTAATATAGGGTGTTGCCAACTTATGAACGCACGTTTTACGCGGTTTTGTCATTTCTGAAATAAAACAATGGGATTTTTATTATTTTTGCATACACACTTAGAGGCCCCCGTAGCTCGGGGGGGCCGTATCATTGATACTCAGACACGGCGGTAGCTACGCCCCTGGCGTAAAGACCTACCCTGTTTCTTATTTACAGTAACGAGTCATTTTTGCTGGGGAATCGGGGGAAGCAGTCAGGCTCAGGACGAATGCTAAAGTTGGTGTGGCTCAAGTTGCTTGGGGGTTGCAATTGCAACGAAACCTCCTACCACTTAATACTTCCAAAACAAATTAAATTTATGATTAAAATGATATTTGTTTCAACATTTACAAGAACTCACAACCGCGTATCGATTTTAGTCTAAAAGTTCGTAAATGCATTGAAACAGAGAAAGCTCCACAAACTAAAGTTAAGTAAGTAGTTTGTTGGTTTGGTCCACAAGAACCAAAGATCATAGTACCCTCATCGTAACCATGTTGATTATAGAGTTAGGATACTATCTAGGTTTTTAAAACTCTCAGGCACGTAACGTCAGCCAAATATCTCCTAAGCCATACCATTTAACATGGGTCTTTGCTTTTGCTCAACTCAATATCACTATGTTCCAGTTTGATGGTACTGCGAAGACCCAGTTTCTTGACTTATAAAGAGCTCAACGAGCTGTTATTAAGTTTTTGTATAATTGAACATAATTTAAGAAGAGACTTTTCCCTAATGAAGATTTGTTTGATTATGATCATTCATAAAATCACTAGAACGCTCGATTTGCATCGATACTGTACAAAATGTAAAGTATGGTAAACCTCGTCCGCAGCTTGTGGTTGCGTCAGTGGCCACGACTAGTGGCTCAGTGTGCGGTTTCGCGATACCTTACCTCACACGATTTATATTTAAACTTCGAAAGTGATAAGAGAGAAAGCAGAGGAATGTTCGATTTAATCCTTTAAATAATGCATTTCTTGTCAACATCCGAATTGAATGTAAATACTTTTTACGAGAATAAGATACCAAGTGGAGCAGGAATTAAGTTTGTGGGATATTAAACTCCATAAATGGGACTGCAAATAAGGACAAGGCTGTATAGAGTTTATGTCTTCTGCCTTCTGTAGGGAGAATAATACAAGAAATATAATTTGACACAATAATGACAGCTCCCCATGCTATGAAATCGTAAATTTTCCTTATCAAGCAAGTTTGGTCTTTATGTCCTGCGCTGCAAGCCTGCCTTGCAATGCAGTGATTGCAAGCCAGAGAAGGGAACTTTATGAGTAACAAATCAATTTTTTTAAGTTGATTGCAGATGCAGATATTGTAGTTAACCAGTGGTGATACGTTAGATAGTATAGTATTAGTTCAACACTAAATCTAATTCACGATGCCAGATATGGAAAAGCTATCCATAAGTAAGTATACTGCTTACCATATTTTTCATAACCTTATTTACACGTATGCAACATCTCTGGACGTTCAATTGATATTCTTTAAAGAAAATTATGGTTTTAGGTGAGATATATACCTCGGAGAAAAATGGTAACGACCAGACTGGCGACGGAACGGCCGAAAAGCCTTTTAAGACCATATTGCAGGCTATGCGGCATGCCGGGAAAGAGCCGTTTCCAGCAATATACGTAGACGCGAAAGAAGAGGGAAAAGTCTACGACGTCGCTGCTAAATCTCAGCTGAAGAAAATCCAAAAGATCTGGGTGAGGGAGAACTACAAGGCGGCTGACAAAGCCAAGGCAGAGGAGGAGACCAACCAGAAAAGGCAACAAAACATCGAAGAAAGCAAAAAGATCGAGATCAAAGAAGACCCTAGTCTTCCAAAGGCTAAAGTTGTGAAAATATTCCAAGGTTAGTAAAAATATTGATTTTTGAAAAAGACACTCAATTTTTTATTTAAGAAACTATATGTTATTATAATCTAGTGCAATCGCATAGAAAATTACAATAGGTACAGCAGTAAATAAATCAAACTTTAAAAGTAATTGATGCCTTTGAGTGCTGTTGTAAGTTTTGTAACCCTTTTGAAATAATATAAATATATTTGTGTTAGTCAATTGACTTCAACGTAGAACATAAATTACAATCATAGTCATATCAGATTATGACACCATTAAAAAATATTTACAAAATATAGAAACAATACTTACTTTTATAGTAATATAGTAACATCATTTGTTTTTGTATTAGAATGTTGAGTAGGTATTGTATGATGCAATTTTGCTTGCTGATGTGACATTATACAATACTGTAGAAAATGAGTCACACATTAGCAATCTATGTAAAGTACCTATTACAGACATGAATAAAATTTCTTTTTGACTGATTGCTTGATACTCATAAAAAAATCAGTAATGACATTGCTTTTACCTATAGCGTAGAGATGGGGTTTTGTATAGAGCAGTGGTGTTACAGATATTTGCATCCACATCCTCATGCATTTGAGTCCCTCTAGCTCCACCCAAAGTGGCACATGCTGAAAATGATATTTAATAAGACTGTAACAAAACGGTATAATTACTCATCTAGTCAAAATACATTTTTTTACAGTCGGGAGGTTTGAGCGCCCTGAATTTGAATCTCAACTTATTTTTAATGAAAACCACCTTAAAAAGTGTTAAAATTACTAAAGCAAAGCTCAACGAAAGCAAAAAAAATATTTATTTGTAATTATACCGTTTTGTTCGCCATCTCCTCAACTGAGTTACTTTTGTTCTCAAAATGAATATGATTAAATAAACATTGAAATTTACTCATCATCATCCCACACACCACATCTGTATCATATTAATATTATAATAATTTCAGCCGGAGAATACAGAGGTCAGCGTGTATGCATCAAAGGATGGGTGCATAGACTCAGGAGACAGGGCAAGGCCCTAACCTTCATCACTCTGAGAGATGGCACTGGATACATGCAATGCGTCCTCCATGGCCTTCTTTGCCAGACATATAATGCTCTTGTGCTATCCACGGAATCATCTGTGGCAGTGTACGGAACACTTGAAGCTGTAAAGGAAGGGCAAACAGTGAGTTGTATTATAATATTTTTTTTATGTATGTGGCAAACAAGCTTTTTATTATGATCAGCTTGATGGACTATAGACGCTTGCAATACAAATAATATCACTCGCGCCGTTACCTACCCTAACCTGATCCCCTGATACCTGTGGACCTCTGGAATCTTAATCAGCGACAGAACATAACACCGCCTAAAGATAGTGTAATTTCACTGGGATCTTCGGTAAGGTGGAGCTTACTTCCCCAGACTACCTCTCTTAATTTAAAGAGATACCAGGATTTCAATGCTGTAGTTAAATACTAACCACTTTTTTACTAAATGTAGATTAAAGTAAGAATTGGCTTTAACATAATGTTCTTTGTATCTTCCTTGCAAATAGATTTAATTATAAAACAAAGTGAAATTTTTGAAATAAGGTATAGTTTATTACATTCTAGCCTTGTGCTGTTACTTTGTAAAATGTAAATAATCATAGAGCAGTCTGGAACCATAAAACCAAAGTAAGAAGATGTATGTTACTTGGTTGCCAACATATACAGTCTCATCAACGCACAGACTGAGCTGACTTAGTGACCTACTTTGAGTCGCGCGTCATAATAAACTGGCTTGTACAAGAGCATTTGATATATTTTCGGAAACTGAAAGACATAACTCAGGAATTTAGCAAACTGAGTTCACCTGTCCCCTGCCTACCGTTGCAGGAAAACATATGTTTTTAGTGCATATTCTTAATAGTGTGTATTTTATCGATGATTTAGGCGCCAGGAGGTCATGAACTGACAGCAGATTACTGGGAACTAATTGGTCTCGCCCCACCTGGTGGAGCAGATGCCATCTTGAACGAAGAAGCTCTGCCTGATGTGCAGTTGGACAACAGGTATGTATCATTACTCTGGGTCATATAACCACTTTATAAAGATGATAAAGAATAAAAATGTGCAAAGGATTTTTCTGAGAATGGTTACATTATTAGTGTGATAAAATAATAATAATCATCATCAGCCTATTAATACTGCTTTTAAATGCACGGGTGCAAAGGCTTTCCCTATGTATGGAAAAGGGAGATTGGGCCCAGTGCACTTTGGTGGCCGCTAACGACTGCAGATGCAGTCGGGACCAATAGCTTAAAATGCCTGCAGAGATCAACAGCTGTATCTATTGAAACATGTTTTTCTGTACATATTTTTATTTGTGTCCCAACAATGAGGAAATTTGATAGGCTGATGATCATCCAAATTATAAGACAATATTCTGTTTAGGCGCATAATCATTTGTGGTGAGATGGCTACCAAGAGGAGCTCGACGGCGCAAGGGGTTAGCGCGTTCGGCTGCGATCGTTGAACTTAAGCAACTTTCGCAGTGGTCGGTCATTGGATGGGTGACCAAAAAAAATTACTATCTCGAGCTCCTCCGTGCTTCGGAAGGCACGTTAAGCCGTTGGTCCCGGCTGCATCTGCAGTCGTTAGCACCCACCAATCCGCACTGGGCCCGCGTGGTGGGTCAAGGCCCAATCTCCCTATTCTATCCATAGGGAAGGCCTGTGCCTCAGCAGTGGGGACATTAATAGGCTGATGATGATGACTACTAAGATGTAATTAAAGGCTGTAATGCATTGTGTTGCTTAGATATTTTCGGAATCTTAGCAAGTGAAGATCTGGTACTGTATCTATGTATGGTTCCTGGAAACTTTTTTTTTCAGTACATATTCTTATTTGTGTGTGCAAACAATGAGGACATTAGTAAGCTGATGATCACCCAAATTATAGGACAACTAGCTGTCCAAGCGAACTTCGTACCGCCATAAACAAATAGGGGTTGGTGGTAGAAGGGTGAAAATCTAGGGTTGTATGTATTTTTGTATGGTGTATCATAAAACAATAAAGAATAAATTAAGGGTGGACCACTCTTAACATTTAGGGTGATGAAAAATAGATGTTGTCCGATTCTCAGACCTGCTGAATCTTTATATATATAATTCTTCTGTGAGTGTGTATGTCACTGAACTTCTCTTAAACGACTGGACCGATTTTGATGAAATTTTTTGTGTGTGTTCAAGGGGATCTGAGAATGGTTTAGATTCACAATTTTGTCCGCTGGACAATGTTTTTTTAATTAATTTTTTTTTATGGCGGTACGAAGTTCGCTGGGTCAGCTAGTATGCATATAAAATTTCACGAAAATCGGTCGAGCCGTTTCGGAGTAGTTCAATTACGCACGCCGTGACACGAGAATTTTATATATTAGTGAAGATATTCTCTCTAGGCACATAATGATTCGTGGTGAGAACACTTCGAAGATCTTACGCGCCCGCGCCGCGGTGACTCGCGCGTTCCGGGAACATTTCGCCTCGCGTCATTACACTGAAGTGACGCCGCCGACACTCGTACAAACGCAGTGCGAAGGAGGCAGTACACTGTTCGATTTCCAATACTTTGGGTACGTATTCATTACCTGGAAGCCAATCGCCTAAATTGCTGTGGCTATCGCTTACGATTTCATTTTTTATCTCTCACCGCTGAAGGTTATGAAATGCTTCGTGCTCGTTTTTTTCTTTTCAAAAAATCAAAAATACTTTGGTTATAACAATATTACAGAAAATGAGCGTAAGGTATTTGAAAACTTCCGGGGGTCAGAAATAACAAAATGAAATCGTAAGCGATAGCGATAGCCATAGCAATCCAGTTAGGCATTGACCCCTAGCTTTCGTCCTCGATTTCGTCCGACGTTAACTTGAGTTTTTTGAGAATACTGCAGGAACATAAAATGCTCTAGTCCCTGTAGCATGAGAACCACAATTTAATTTATATAACCTTTTTTTAATAGCGTCTTACTGTCAAAATCCATAGTAATTTGACAATTGAGCGTAATAAAAACGAGCAATATCTCTGTGCTCATACTAGGTGGCAGGAAATAATAATACTGTGTATCAATCAAGGTTATAATAAACTATATGATTGCCAAATTTCATCTTAATGAATTCAGACACTTTCCGACAGATGGCGTTTTATGTTTTTCTTTCGCTCCCAATTAGCTCCCGATTAGTATCGAAGTAATGTTTCATATTAATTAGCTTGTCGCTTTTTTTTCAAAGTTGAGATACAGGCTTTCTGAAAAACAAAGAAAATTTCGGGGAATGGATCGGACCATAAGTCCAGGTTGTAGGTGATAACGACGCAGCCTGAAAAGGATGCGAAACGCCATAAATAAATAAATCAGTGCATCTATACCGTTGAAACTTGTTTTATTTAATGTCCACACATTGTGCGTGAAAACTTAGAAACAAAATATAATTTATGGTAACGCCTACCAAACTCGTAGCAGCAATGTCGCCGTACTTATAAATCTTGCTTGAATATTTACTGATCATTCATTACATCTTATACATCTCTTGTGGCAACATCAAAATTCTGTTAATTATTAAATACATCAAAAATTCAATGTGAGTTTATTTCTAAAAGTAAATTCCAATTCCAATAAGATATGAACTGTAATTTTTATTTATGTATTATGAAACACACGTCTCTGTATCTGGAGGTGCGCTAATAGCTGTAACACAGTTCTAGAAACTCATATAGCTATTAACGAACCTAATTAAACATGTAACCTTAATTAGTTCCAATAAATATATTTTCATTTTCCACTTATTTCGTTTGTCCAGTGAGAAAGCTTACCTCACCCAGAGCTCGCAACTTTACCTGGAGACCTGCCTGGCTTCCTTGGGCGATGTGTACTGCATAGCGCAGTCTTACCGCGCCGAACAATCCAGGACTAGGCGACATTTAGCCGAGTGAGTGCTTTGAATTCTACACACTAGACCATCTTAATGTATTTTTGTAATTTTTTTTCTGTGTTGAATTTTAGAGAGATCCAGTTGTTAATTTTTAATATCCAGATATCCACACTAATTTTTCACGCATTTAAAAAAAATAAAAGTTTAGAGTTATAGGTGAACCGCTTAACTAAGTTCACGCCTGCGGGGTATAGGGTGTGGGGGAGGCTGAGAATGGGGACCGTGAGAGGTGCGGGTTTCGTCTAGAGCCTATTAATGTCCCCACTGCTGGGGCACAGGCCTTCCCAATGGATGGAATAGAGAGATTGGGCCATGACCCACCACGCGGGCCGAGTCCGGAGTGGCGGGTGCTAACGACTGCAAATGCAGCCGTTATCAACGGCTTAGCGTCCCTTCTGAAGCACAGAGGAACTCGAGGTAGAAGATTTTTGGTCACCCATCCAATGACTGACCACTGCGAAAGTAGCTTAACTTCAAAGATCGCAGCCGAACGCGCTAACCACCTGCGCCATCGAGCTCCTTCTCGTGAAATTGCGATCCCAATGAAGCTGATCGTCAAATCTGTTTCCAATAACGGTCTCCTTTACTCGTGTGTATAGATACAGCCACGTGGAAGCCGAATGTCCTTTCATCACATTCGACCAGCTGCTGGACCGGCTTGAAGACCTGGTGGTGGACGTGGTAGACCGAGTGCTGGCCTCTCCTGATGCCCATTTGGTCTATGAGCTGAACCCTGACTTCAAAGTGAGTTAGCCAAACGTTCGAGAGTAGACTGCGATTCAAATTTCAAACGTTGGCCACGCTGAAGTGAGCCGCAAGTAAAATAGTGTTATAAGTTCCAAAGGTCTGTAGCAAAAATATATATATGTTTTTTAAAAAACACACTTAATTTTTTTATATTGAAAATTGCCAAACCAAAAATTGGCTAAAATTATTTATCTGCAAAGTATCTTGTCTGCATAAAAAAGTGATTGAGCATTAAGTTTTGCCTCATGTAAATATGTTATGACTGGACTAATAGTGTAATTTTATCTTTGTTCATCCTTTCTTGTTCTTGTTATAGAAACCTGAAAAGCCGTTTAAAAGAATGACGTATGTTGAAGCTTTGGAATACCTACGGGAGCACAAGATTACAAAAGAAGATGGCTCTTTCTACGAATTTGGAGATGTAAGTACTCTATCATAGTTTTTAAATGCCATAAAAATGCAGCACGACTTTACGAAGATCATGATATTAAAACTAAAAAAAGAACAGTTTTTGGTAACTTGATGTACTGCTGATGTTATGACAGCTCAAAGGACATCGGCCAAATCATATTTGGATCAAAGTTGAACGTCTAGACTAGACATTTTTACTAATATTATTAATTAAATATAAACAGTTTTTACAAGTTGTAATTAATACAAATAAAAGCTGAGTTAAATATAAATAATAATAAAACACTTAATTGATATTCACCCTAACTGATCCTATTTGGTAAACAATCTTGGCACTCCTTTTTATTGAAAATACAGCATTAAAAATCAACTGATAACTAGATTCAATACATTTCAGTTTATAATAACGATTTATTGTAATAGATTATTGATTTTCACAATTATGATATACCGTACCGGAGGAGCTGCTACAGTGGTCGGTCATTGCATGAGTGATCTTCTCGAGTTCCTCCGTGCTTCGGAAAGCACGTTAAGCCGTTGGTCCCGGCTGCATCTGCAGTCGTTAGCACCCGCCAATCCGAACTGGGCCCGCGTGGTGGGTCAAGGCTCAATCTCCCTATTCCATCCATAGGGTAGGCCTGTGCCCCAGCAGTGGGGATATTAATAGGCTGATGATGATGATCTTTATCATAGCAACTTGTTTTTATTAACTTTCTATATGCCTATTTTTCTAAGTACCCTCCACAATTTTAGGATATCCCCGAAATGCCGGAGCGCAAGATGACCGACGCCATTGGCGTTCCAATACTTTTATGCAAGTTCCCCGCCGAGATAAAATCGTTCTATATGCCGCGTTGTGAAGACGATCGCCGACTGACGGAATCTGTGGACGTATTGATGCCCGGAGTAGGGGAGATTGTGGGCGGATCCATGAGGACCTGGGACTACGACGAACTATTGGAGGGTATGTATTTATTTACATTGTCAGTGGTGTCGATTCTGGCATGATTCTCTAAAGCTAAATTTAAATTTGACAACAGTGTATCCTTGTCATTCTCCATACAGAATGAAAAGTACAGACCAGGGATGTTACGGAGCTTCGACTCCGACTCCGTTAAGTCGGAACTTCCGATTATTATTACACCTTCGGTTCCGATTTCGGCTCCGACACTTTTAAATCGGAGGTTTTAATCGGAGATCGAAGCATAATATATCGGCGGCGGCCTGCATCGACAGTTACGAACTGGTTCATACTCGTCGCGTTGGGAGTCTGTGTCAGCATTGCCAGGCGTTCCGATTATGGCAGGACGTCCCGATTTTGAAATCAAAATTAAATGTCTCGAGCGGGACAGGCTCAATCCCGCTTTTCGCGAATAACTCGACCGTGCGTGCAGCGTACTGAGGGAGCGCGGGCGGGTGGCACAGACAAGTGTGGACTGGTAGCCTGCCCGGCGCGTAATGGGCCTACCACACGCACGAACTTCACCACAGTTTTGCCTGCGCAGGCCAGTTTGTACACGGAACACGTTGCGTGTAGTTGGTAAAACTGTATCACGCGCCAACCCCACAGCGCGACCTGCGCACTTTTCGACTTGCTTGAAATTTTGCCTGCGCAAGCCCGGCCTGCGCGTACTTGTCTGTGCGTGTGGTTGGGCGTTCAGTGTTCAAGCCAAAGTCGACTGTACTTTGTGTCGAAGCTCGCTCGACGTTTCATGTGGTCGTTCGTCATCGTCACTCAAAAATATGGCAGATTTGCGTACGTACAATCGCGAATTCACGTCTGAATTCATTAGTTTATACAAATTTCTGCCTGCACTCTGGATTTTTTTTTAAGAAATGTTTCTTCATTAGTAAACATTGTTTCCACGCCAATGATTTCGATAAGAATGAGGCTTGCGCGTACTTAACTGTGCCGTGTGGTAACGCACAGAGTGTACAGTTTTTTCGTGCGAAATGCTGGCGCAGGCCAAACTGTGGTGAAGCTTGTGCGTGTGGTAAGCGCATAATGAAGAACTCTCAAACAAAGACTCAACTATTGAACGATAGGGTAAATCTGATTTAAAACATCATATTTTTATTAACATATATTTTCTATAGATATTTTTACTAGGTGTATGTCACGTAAACATAATTTGAACTGAAATAATAAGATAAATATTCAAAAACTTTTCATTATATACGTTTTTTTTTACTATGTTCCGCTTTAGTCGAAAGTATCCCCCTTTTTTCACTCAAAAAATTTCTAAATCCCGCCTTGGCAAAAAAAAAACTGGCAACGCTGGTCTGTGTTAATAATAAGTAAAAAATGAAAAAAGGTTATTTTATAATTAAAATGATAAAAGGTTGACTGAATGATGTTTTTAATTGTTCTTCAATGAAAAATATCTCTTTTGTGACCACTTCTGACTCTGCCTCTGACCCCGACTCTGACTCCGACTCCGATTCCGACTCCGGTTCCGACTCCGGTCCCGACTCCGATAAATAAAATTTAAAAACTCCGACTTCGGTTCCGATAAATTTACCTCCGTTACATCCCTGGTACAGACTGATGTTAAATTTAGTTTGAAGTTTAGAGAATCCTGCCTGAATCGACACCACTATCTGTGCGTCAAAACAAAGGGATCATTTTTTGTCAGTCGTGTCAAACAAGCTAGACCCTCTATCTTAGGAATGCGTGAAGGTATCTGAAATCAATTTGAAATACTCGGGTCTCTCGAGGAGCTCGATGGCGCGGGTGGCTAACGCGTTCGGCTGCGATCGTTGAAGCTAAGCAACTTTCGCAGTGGTCAGTCATTGAATGGGTGACCAAAATCTTCTATCTCGAGTTCCTTCGTGCTTCGGAAGGTAGGTTAAGCCGTTGATCCCGGCTGAATCTGCAGTCGTTAGCACCCGCTAATCCACACTGGGCCCGCGTTGTGGGTCATGGCCCAGTCTCCCTATTTCATCCATAGAGAAGACCTGTGCCCCAGCATTGGGGACATTAAAAGGCTGATGATGAAGAGTTAAACTTCTATGTTTATACATCGTACTCTGGCGTATAAAAAAATTAAAAAACCCCCATCACCAAAAAATAATTAAAGAGTGAAAAAAGATATCGTAACAGCTCTTTGACTTTATTATAACTAATTAGCATTTAGTTATAATTTTTATTATTTTTAAAGCATGTAACTGCTTGATATTTAAATCTAAAGAAAATATAACTAGAAAAATTCCACGCGGACCAGGCAGCAGACGGGACTCGAACCCGCACCCTTCGCAATCCGGGCGAATGCACTGACCAATTATGCTACCGCGGCCCTCACGGACCGCGTCGAAATTCTTTCTAGCTATTCTTAAGCTGCAAGGCAGCGCCATCTCTTCGCATTATAGGTAAACCCACAATGTCAAATGAATACTTTTACAAGTATTAAACATTTGAAAGAAGAAATAGCAATTATAGTTATAATTTTTATTATTTTTAAAGCATGTAACTGCTTGATATTTAAATCTAAAGAAAATATAACTAGAAAAAATTCCACGCGGACCAGGCAGCAGACGGGACTCGAACCCGCACCCTTCGCAATCCGGGCGAATGCACTGACCAATTATGCTACCGCGGCCCTCACGGACCGCGTCGAAATTCTTTCTAGCTATTCTTAGGTAAACCCACAATGCGAAGAGATGGCGCTGCCTTGCAGCTTAAGAATAGCTAGAAAGAATTTCGACGCGGTCCGTGAGGGCCGCGGTAGCATAATTGGTCAGTGCATTCGCCCGGATTGCGAAGGGTGCGGGTTCGAGTCCCGTCTGCTGCCTGGTCCGCGTGGAATTTTTTCTAGTTATATTTTCTTTAGATTTAAATATCAAGCAGTTACATGCTTTAAAAATAATAAAAATTATAACTATAATTGCTATTTCTTCTTTCAAATGTTTAATACTTGTAAAAGTATTCATTTGACATTGTGGGTTTACCTATAATGCGAAGAGATGGCGCTGCCTTGCAGCTTAAGAATAGCTAGAAAGAATTTCGACGCGGTCCGTGAGGGCCGCGGTAGCATAATTGGTCAGTGCATTCGCCCGGATTGCGAAGGGTGCGGGTTCGAGTCCCGTCTGCTGCCTGGTCCGCGTGGAATTTTTTCTAGTTATATTTTCTTTAGATTTAATTAGCATTTAACTTGACAATGGCTCAAACCTGGTTTGCCACAAAAAATAATTACTACTTAGTTTGACCCAAACATCGTCAACAATGAAATCATGTTATTTTCTTACGTGTTGTTCACAATTTTTTGTCATAATGTACACGTTCAGGAATTACTGTGTAAACTATAAAATAATAGTTTTCTTTGATAATTTTCGTGATTGAATCTAGCCTTTAATAAATAAACATTACCCTCAGGTTACAAGCGCGAAGGCATCGACCCCAGCCCCTACTACTGGTACACGGATCAACGCAAGTTCGGCAGCGTGCCCCACGGTGGATACGGGCTTGGTCTAGAAAGATTCTTGTGTTGGCTGCTCAACAGATACCACATTCGAGAAGTCTGCCTCTACCCGAGGTTCTTGGAACGCTGCACGCCATAAAATATAAAATAATCGGGAATAAAAGCTTGTTGCTTGTTACTTTTTTTGTTTTTTTTTTTATTGATTTTAATAATATTCTTTCAGAACGAAGGCAAATTGTACTAAGCTCGTACAGCCTAGAATTCCATATAATTTATGATTAATATATTTACTGTGTATCTATCTGATGATTTATACTATTTGTTCGTTGAGTTTTGAACAATAAATAAAAGGGATTATTGATGGCACTCATTGTCATTTTATTCCAATTTCCAAATATATAAAAAAATCCATGTGCTTGCTATTATAAAAAACACAATAAGTAGAAAATGAAAATTTTACAAATAACTATTTTTATTGTCTTATATAAAAAAACAGTTCTGTTTTATTAATATTATACACAGCAGGTATAAGTATTATGTATTCAAGTTTTGTCAACTGAAGAAAGCGAGACATCTTGTAAAATAAATATTATCTAAGCTGATAATATCTATTCTCAGTGACAATACATTAATAAACCTTATTCTAACTACAAAACGTCCACTTAGAAATTCTTAGTGGAGAATATCTACATTAAATTTAATATCATTCTATCAAGTTTGGAAGTCTTCCAGTTATGGAATAATATCACTATATCAAATATAACCATCCGAAAATGTACCGATCATCTATGCTCGATCTCAAAGTTATATTACGGAGCAATTCTAAGTAGGTAGATGTCTATTCTACTTCTCTCTAAGTCTACGGTAAGAATCTACGGTAGGAATAAGTGGGAATGTATTATATAACTAGTTCTTAAAATTATGAGTAGGAAAGTGAATTCGTTAAGAGTAAAATCTTCTCAAATTCTGAGATCGCAGATTCGAGTTTCAGTGTTACGGTACAGTCCTTAAATAAAAATGTAATGTATCATCCTCTTACCACTTAAATCTGGGGCTATGTCATGTTAAAGGAACCTATTGTTTACTTGTAAGGCTAAAGATCACCTATCTATAAAAAAACATTTGCCTATTTCAAAATTAATGGTTTTAAAACATAGAAAGTGGAGCTGGCGAAACAATGTCGAAATTTTAATCAAGTACATGTGCTAGACTGCCAGATAAGTGGCACATCTCTACTCTTTATTGCGGAACTAGTATTTGGTAGGTAAATACGTGAGTATTGAGTAAATAACAGGTTTCAAGGCAGCCATTCGGCGTCGGCATCCAGGTTGCGTTCGTATCCGCGCGCCGGTGTCTCGGTGAGGTCCTCCTTACTGCTCGCCACTTTGTGGTACACCTTCTTGCCGGCTTCTACCACATACTCCACTCCATCGGCTGGAAAAAATAATAATTTTGTGTGAAGAAACGGTGGAAACATGTCAAGAAAATATTCTTTATTGTGAAAAAAAAATGGCTGTCGGGAAAGTCGGTTTACGAACGATAATGGGAGGGGATCCTCAGGTCGGATCAGCACAAAGACAAAGCATTCTCAGTACCTTACGTACGAGTTTAAAAAAGCTCACGAAAACTATCATAGTTTTCGTAATTGTAAATTACGAAAACAGTCATAATGTTTCTATGTCCATTTTAGTGAAAAATAACCAAATATACTTAAAATTTAAGAAGACTCAAATGATTTAACAATAATAAAACAGTACCCTTGTACGAGTGCGAGCTCACGGAAACTATCATAGTTTTCGTAATTGTAAAACTCACTAAGGGTACGGGCCATATCGTTTCAGAATTCATTTGTGGCTTACAGCACGTGGTGTCAAAATCAATAATACTTTAAAAAATGGCGGGAACCGTACTTCTGTCTACTTCATATTTTGTGGTGTTACCCAAGAGCGTATTTTAAAATTGACGCCCTGGGCCACTTCGATGTGCTCGTCCCCTCCACTCTAGAATTAGTTAATCAAATCAAAGTAAAGGTAACGAATGCCTTTATATGGCTTCTGCCGCCCTGGACTATGGCCCTTTGGCCTTAGGGTTAATCTACTTTGCGATTAGCTTATGTCCAATACCACCTGAGCCCTGCATAAGATACTTGGAGCATCAACACACACCACCCTTAATTTAAAACATGCAGTCTTCTCTAAAGTGGAGGCTGAGGGCTCCGAGTATAGTATCGCAAGCGTCAGTAGGTTATGGTGGTCGCTTACCAAGAGGCGAGTCATATGATTGTTTTTATGTAAATGATTGAAAAAAATGGGTGATCATAGACTTTGTATGGGAACCGATGTCACTCGCGCCCACTACACTTCCACCTAATAGATAATAGCCAATCAGATGACATGACATCAAATAATTGAACCAATCAGCGCTCACACCGACGCAATCAGAACCAAGTTTTGGTCAAGTTATGATTTGCTCATACATGATTGTGGCGCGCCTGCCCCGCCCACAACGCCCTTCTAACCTCTTTCTGTGTTCTGTGAGTGAAACTTTTCATACCGATAGCACCGCCAGTCTTCCTTACAGCTTCCCCAATGTTGTGCGAGGAGAAGGTGTCCGGGTCGATGTTGATGTTTACGCCGGTGCCGTTAGCGTGTTGGGGACAGCCGCTCTGGGAGATGATTGACAAGTCGTAGGGGTCCACTCCGAAGGAGGACAGCTTCGTGCGCATCTGAAACAATGGGTGGTAGTGGGCAGTGGATAAAGATTCTTTCTTCTTAAGTCTCTTCTTTGAAGTCGACAAAAATTCATGCATGCTTGGGTTGTCAGTTGCCGCAGTGACGAGAGGGACCGGACGGTTATTTTAAAGGGTTGGCAATTAATATTTGCTTGCCTGAAATAGAAATTAGGAGTTGGTGGTCCTATCCCGGTCAGCAATATTTGCCTAGGCCCCGGGAGGCCAGGAGGCCAAAACACACGCTTGCTATGCTACTTTGTTACGTAATCGTACACATTGAAATAATTTTGCTTGGTAGTACAATGTGATTTCTTATGTGTTTCCCCCATTTAAGGGGGTTAAGTACCTGAATGAATTTTAAACTTCCAACCTTGTTGACGAACATCTTGTCAAGCTCCTTACTCCTGGCACATGAGTAGTAAATATCTCCTGGAGAAGATGGTAGCAGAGCGCCGGTGCGCGAACGCGAGCTTCTGGCACGTGAAAATGGCCGCGTACGTAATGTAATCAGTAGCTAATGTTCAAACTTCCAACTCACCTTGTCAACGAACATCCTGTCAAGCTCTTTGCTCCTGGAAAGGACGGTAGCGGAGCCGCGGTCCACTAACGCAAGTTACTGGCACTTGAAGATGGCCGCGTACGTAATGTATGTCGCTATAATATTTATACTTCCAACTCACTTTGTCAACGAACATCTTGTCGAGCTCCTTGCTCCTGGAAAAGATGGTAGCGGAGCGGCGGTCCGCTAACGCAAGTTACTGGCACTTAAAGATAGTCGCGTAAGTAACGTATGTCGCTATAATATTTATACTTCCAACTCACCTTGTCAACGAACATCTTGTCGAGCTCCTTGCTCGTAAAGAGGATGTTGGCGGAGCGGCGGTCCGCTAACGCAAGTTTCTGGCATTTGAAGATGGCCGCGTACGTAACGTATGTCGCCATAATATTTATACTTCCAACTCACCTTGTCAACGAACATCCTGTCGAGCTCTTTGCTCCGGGAGAGGATGGTAGCGGAGCGGCGGTGCGCGAACGCGAGTTTCTGACACGTGAATATGGCCGCGTATGTGTTGTAATCAGTCGCTATCACTGTATAGCTCGCGGAGCCGGCGACACCTGGGAAACGGAGATTTTATTTTATATTGTTTTGTAGCGTAGGGTGATGACGAAATCTTTAAATTAGATACTATCTAGAAGCTCCGGCTAATCAATCCGTCTTTCTTGCGAGCTCTTATATAATAAGACAGATGCCTTCTTTTTACCGTAACAGAACTCTCTTTACCCTAATCCCTTCTGCGTGGAAATTCAATCGTCTATTATAAACAGAGAACAGAGGAAAAACAGCTTACGCAGTCGAGATATTTGCCTTTTTAGTTAGTTACCATCAATTTCTGATTTCCGTGGGGTTTTGCTTCGAAACACGTCAAGTCTATATTTTCCTGCTACTACTCGAAGTAGCAGGATAAGAATACATTACTCAGGGAAGTGCCAGGTCATTTTAATGAAAATAACTCACTTAGCGGGAAGCGAATTTTCATCCTAGCAGGTACAGCTGGATCGGGCACAGTCAAGATGCCAGTGTATCTGAAAAAGAATGAAATGGATGAAATTGTAGGAAAATATAATAAAACATATGTGTGATAATGATAATAGTCACTTTACTTAAGTTCTAAAAGTAAAATTAGAAGAGAGAAACGTTCCTAAAATAGTTTTTGAAGTTATACTTCTTTAGGCGCGTTATGAAAAAATGATGAGAGTGAAATTTTAAGATGCGCGCGCATCACTGTAACACAAAAATTAACAGCATGATGCTGTTACTTTTGTGTTTACCGCACATTAAGAAAATCTACCAACAAAATAGAAATAGAATCTCTATTTAGTGGGTGCTAACGACTGCATTGTGAAAGCCTATCAAAAGTATTTATTAATCTGGAACAACGGAACCAAAGCGCGATTCAGGAGACTACAGCGCCATCTCTTGAAAATTTTTTGTTATTTTTTTTTCAATTCTTTTTTGCAATTTGGAATAGTTTAAACATAAATTATTCGCAGTGTCTTTGAACTCCCTCACTCGGTACTTAATCCTAATCTCGAATCCTCCAATTAGCTCTCCTTCCTTTAGGATAAAGTTTTGATTCGGCTTGAAACATAGTGAGATTCATGTCAACATGAAAAAATAAAAATTGCAAAAATAAAAAGAGATTGGGGGCATAGAGGATTTTCCTCGAATAGAAGCGCCCTTCTGGGGAAGTAACATCCTTGCAGAAGACAACAGTAAAATAACATTACCTTTTGGTGGTGTTATGTTTCTGTTGGTGAGGAAGGGTCTAGGGCTCCACAGGGGATGGTGTCAGGGTAGGCAAAGGCGCGAGTGATATTTGTTGTATTGCAAGAGTCTATAGTCTATGGTAGCCCCTTACCATCATGCGAGCCATATACGTCTTTGCCACCCTTTGACTTTAAAAAATGCAGTGTAAATAGTTGTACGTACCTATAGTCGTGTTTCAGAGGTGTCAAGCCCAGGATGAAGTGCTGGGAAACCTGCTCCAGTTCGTATTTTCCCGGCTCCTGCGTCTTGGTAAAGTTGTACGTGATGCAGTGTGAGGCGGTCGACGTCTTCTGTATCACATACCATACACCTAACAGCTGGAAATTTTAACATTTTAGTGAGCTTTATGTTTTTATGCGTCTGCTGCAAGTCAGCTGCTGGTTACAGATTATTATTTAACTGCGTCCCTGGGCTGATTTTATAGGAACCTTAATTCGAATAAAAACTAAACGAATTTACAATTTAGGTAAAGAAATGCTTGGCGAAACCTATGGATAGCAGGAACGTAATGCTGCACATAAACTTCCCGGTGGTGGTGGATATTAAAAATAACGTACTTTCGACTGATGATCCATACATATCGTAATTGATTTTTGATTGAATAGGCTATTTAGGTATCAAAGTTTTTTTTAATCTTAACTGTCATCTGGCTTTATAATTTTGTAAATAGCACGCCACAATGCCATTTAGTTGCAAATCGTTCGGCTTCTCTCATTTCATTTAATTGGTATCAAGGTACTAAAAAGTATAAACGTACATGTAAGCTTAGTGCCATCAGCTACCTTGTATGCATTGTGTGTATATGTCCAACTAGGAGAAAACTTTTTAAAACTATCAAATTTCTTGCTCTTTGTTTTATGTCAGGAATACATATGGTACTGTCGATTCAAAGCAATTATTTCATTAATTCATTTAATTATTCATCCTTTTCATTGTTAACGTAGTCAATACTTTAATTAAAGAGTATCTGTCCGTCACTCTCATAATTTATCCAAAGACTTTATATAATTTATCACGTTACGATAAGAGACCGGTCATGTCAAAAGACTTTTGAACCCAGTAAAGAGAATAACCAACTGTCACTTCTTCGTCACATACATTTAACAAAAGCACTTTTGTACTGAATTCTTGAAAGTTAAAATGTATAATTTTATCTCGTACTATAAAAGAACAGTGAAGCAATCTATATCTATATTTATATAAAACTCAAAGGTGAATGACTGACATAGTGATCTATCAACGCACAGCCTAAACCACTGGACGGATCGGGCTGAAATTTGGCATGCAGGTACATGTTATGACGTAGGCATCCGCTAAGAAAGGATTTTGATCAATTCTACCCCCAAGGGGATAAAATAGGGAATGAAAGTTTGTATGAAACTTTGTCAATTTTAAACCGATCGGGCTGAGACTTTGCATGCAGGTATAAGAAGAATCATAGATATAGATGAATGTCATTGTGTATAATACAAGCCTGAGAACAAAAACTGTAGTCTACACTTCAGCTCTACACCGAAGCGAAGCGAGGGCGGGCCACTAGTATAAAAATATAATTAAAATTATATTAGGTACTACTTAGTTCTTCTTTAGAAATTTCTTTACTTCCACCAATAATAATAATTATCACCATTCAACTCATGAGTTGAATGGTGATAATTATTATTATTGGTGGAAGTAAAGAAATTTCTACAAAATAAATTTCTCAAAAATACATCATGATGTTTGTTAGTACCAGTTACTTACATTCAATCAGAGCGTCAACAAAGGGCTCTGATCCGACCACGGCCCTTTTTTGTGCACCGATCATAGTGGTTTCTCTAATTCTAAACCAATACGGTATGTCACTATGCTTCATGCACAAAAAAGGCTATTGTCGAAATAATTCCCTTTATTGTACTCGAATTCCAAAATACGGAGCAATTTTTTTTTTGTATCAAGTAAATACATTTTTGTAGAGCTGTCAATCAAAATACGCTGGTAGCTTTGTACGTTGCTGCGCTACATCTGACATTATCTCATTCATGTTTTAGATGAAGGACGAAGCTTAATCCATGTACTTTTAACAAATTTAGTCATATAACAGATAGGTACTTATTAGTTTTTGCATCTAGGTAACTTTGATGAGTAATAAAAAAAAATTTCATTTCTAACGTAATCCTGACTAATTTTATCGAAAAAAAATTTGGAAGTATTTTTTTTTCTGTGGCTGTTTCCGTTTTACACATTGGAAGTAATTAAAAGTACATTATATATTTTAACATCTTCAAATGACGCGGTTATTGCAAAAAATCACGTTCACATGATACCATATTCGCAAAATATCACATTCTTGAAATACAATATTCCCAGATACAATGTTAATAAGTAATATAAAATAAAATACGAACGAAAGCAAAGATATTAATATTGAAGTGGATCTTGATTAGGTTGATGCCTTTGCCCAGTCTATTACCCAATAAAATTTTCATTACAATTGAAACTCTACCAATTTTATGCTGAAATAAAAATGAAATACCAATGTAGATATTTTACCAACATACAGGGTAGCTTCGATAAAAAACGTAAGTGATGGCTGACCACCTGGGGTCTAATTTGCATTATTAAGGTCTTACATAATGGGTACCTTATTGGGCACCCAAAAGATATACAAATAATACTTCGAAATATTGGTGGTAAAAGCTTGTGAAAACCTTTCAATTTCCAAATTCCTGATAGGAGTTGAAGTAAAATTTTCTATTAGTGAGCTGATTATATTAAAAGAAAACACTTAATTTAGGCTATTACAAGCACCGTGAAACAAGAAAAACTGTGCCATCAGTTAAAAAAACTACGACGGAAAATCTTGTACTGAGAAAGACTGGCAAGAAACTCAATAAGGAATATTTTTTTTCTTCCTGTTTCATATTCCATGTTCCGTTAATATTGTTTTGATCAGTTTAGTGATTATCATGTAGGATTTACACAAAGTCCTCAACCGGTAAAATAACATATAATAAAAAATTAAGTTAAGTTAATTGTGGTGACGACAGTCTTTTAATACAATTTCCAGCTCACATTCAACATTACGTAATTCAATTAACTGAATTTAAAAGGTTTCCTTTATTGGTTGACGAGATAATTCTGTTTGACCTTAGCTGTGTAATAGAAATGAACTGTCTAGAATGTGACTATGACTAAAATGTGAACCATTGAATGTGAAAACAATGAATTTAAGAAATAGGTAGGTACCTAAATAGAGAAATCTAAATATGAATTAATTTGTTAATACGTGAACTTTGAGCGATGAATGCATTTGGTCGATGGGTACGACGGGGATCCAACATCTCCAAGTTACTTAAATGGATAGATGTAACTTATTATGATGTACTTACTAGAGCTAATTATAAGTATTCTTAAAGAATTTACTTGTAAAATTTCACAATTGATGTTCTCAGATCGTCATTATGAGTAAAATAGTTAGTACACGATGACTTGGTAAAAGAAAGAAAGCTTGGCTGCAACTGGGAATTGAGATTGGATGAATAGGTAGTGGAAGTGGCAGTGGGCTGGCCATATTTGCCGAAGAACCGATAACCGTTGGGGTAGACGAGTTCTGGAGTGGAGACCGCGTCTAGGCAAACGTAGTGTAGGATGTCCTCAGGCACGATGGAGTGACGATTGGCAGAAGCTGGATGCGAGTAGCCCAAGATCGATCTGAGTGGTGTGCATTTGGACAGGCCTATGTCCAGCAGTGGACTCAGATAGGCTATTGATGATGATGATGAATAGGTAGATACTTTTGAGGATTTAAAATGATGAACATTATAAATTAGGCAGCATCTTTATTAGCAGAGCAAACCAGATAGAGTAGAAACAAAAGGCATAGATATACTAGAATTCATTAGGGCATACATACACTATAACTTTAACAGATACTATCCACGATTATTATACTTTCATTGAACTATAAATAAGCCAGTGAACGTTAGAACAAATAATTTATTTCAAAAGCGGATGATCCGAAAGTGCTTCTTAATAAGCAAACAAACGATAAGGCTGACCTAATAATTACGTACATACTTATTTCCTACATGAACTTTATGTTATCTATCAGTGAATCCAGTAAAGCAGAATATAGTAAGTATAATGTTCTTTGTTATATAAAATGCATCTCTTGACGCATCAACTTTATTATCAATAGTTACATAAACAGATATAATAAGTATACATACTATTAGAAATGAATTTAAGGACACTCTTTGTTTAAAGTTGTCATTGCTTGTAGAAAATAATTTATCTGTTCTTGTTGTATAGGTATATATTGTATATATAGGATGTGACTTAGTCTCAGTTTTCTAGTTCGTTTCTAGAATTCCGAAAAGTTTCCCTATACTCAATGTGTTCCCGTTACCTTGTACCAATCCTACTATCGGTCAATGTTATGACCAAGTTTTCACTGTCCATTAGTCACGGTGCTGTGCCTGTATCTCATCAAGTATAATAAAATAGCCAGTGTTAATTTTCACAAAATTTTTAGTAATATTGACTCTATAACATATATGTCATAAAAAGACACAGGATTTTTCACAGAATTTGAAGCTATTACGCCTCTACAAATAAAAATTTTAGAGCTCTTCATACAAAAAACGTAAGCTCGGACCGTTTTTGGATGGTTTCTTTTTATCTGTGTTGAATCCTGAACCCTAGTTCTGAATTCGTGTGCTACTTAGTTCTTCAGTTTTTTATCATACTGTATCCAGACCTGTCTTTCTCAGTGGGCACTTTGGGCAAGTGCCCAGGGTCCCGCGATCGATAGTGGGCCCCCTAGATCCTCAGATCAAATACAAAGTCCCTAAATCCTGTTAAATCACCAAACGGGAGTCATAGGGGTCCCATTATCCTAAAATGCCCAGGGCCTCCAATAGGTCAAAGACGGCACTGATTGTATCCCAAGGTTTATGAAATAATCTATTTTGATTCAAACAGTTATTGTCTACTGAATGTTAACTAGTTTAACATCAACATAAGGAATTGTGAGTAAACCAACTATAACATCATATAAATAATTAGTCGATAAGGATCGGAATGAACAGAGCTTTAAACTTACCTTATTCATTTCAAAGCCCGGCATCGGTTCCACCACAGGGCATGCTCCTAGGTGGTATGAGTGCGCAGAAGCACCACCCAATGCCGCAAACAAAATTCCCAAGAACACACAACGAAACATTTTGAAAAAGGAACTGCGTCTTCTCTTAGATCTAAACTTTTTGGAATTTATTACAGATCGATACGGGTTAAATACGTGCGCTTCTCTCGGCGAGCAACCGAACACTGATCTTTCTTATTGTGACTCCCCATTCATATAAACAAAGCTGTCGGTAATTCAATACAGCGAATGTGTGATAGTGGTTCACGACTTCACGAGAAGTGATTTCATTCATGTTTTTAATTTAGAACGGCGGCGATAGGAAGAGGAAACCTAACAGTTATTTTGCTTACTTTAAAGTGTCTTCAAGTAATTATGTTTTTTACATATTGAAACTGATGCTTACATTATTTTCCTTATTATGTTGTATGTTATCAATCACAAAACTCGGCATATTATCGAAAGCAGCAAGTGAGTCATTGATTCGATTTCAATCTGCAGAAAGATCATGCACATCAATCATCCGATATTATTATTGAAAAGTAAATGGAGTTTCCATCTACAGCGTAAGGGAAATGCTGTTTTGACTTGTTGCAATACCTTAAGTATAACTATTATTTATGAATGATTGCTATGAGTCACTCTACTACTTGCAATTTTTAAAAAATAAGAAAATGCCATTATCTTAGCACTACTGAGTTAAGTAGATACTATAACTAGGTAAATCTTTCAAAAGAACTACACCTAAAAGAATCGTTATCATTTATTTCTGTGGGTTTAGCGTAATTCTAGTCTTTCTGATCTACACGTATTTTAAGTTGTTATAGTAAATAAACAGTATGTACTTATAATTTTATTAATTTTAAAGCATGTAACTGCTTGATGTTTAAATCTAAAGAAAGCGAAGGGTGCGGGTTCGAGTCCCGTCTGCTGCCTGGTCCGCGTGGAATTTTTTCTAGTTATATTTTCTTTAGATTTAAACATCAAGCAGTTACATGCTTTAAAATTAATAAAATTATAACTATAATTGCTATTTCTTCTTTCAAATGTTTAATACTTGTAAAAGTATTCATTTGACATTGTGGGTTTACCTATAATGCGAAGAGATGGCGCTGCCTTGCAGCTTAAGAATAGCTAGAAAGAATTTCGACGCGGTCCGTGAGGGCCGCGGTAGCATTATTGGTCAGTGCATTCGCCCGGATTGCGAAGGGTGCGGGTTCGAGTCCCGTCTGCTGCCTGGTCCGCGTGGAATTTTTTCTAGTTATATTTTCTTTAGTATGTACTTATTTATCTAAATCGATGCTGTAATAAGCGCCAACCCCGCTTTTATTTATGCATTACATTTTCAACTTTATCACTCTCATATTACGGTGTTTTGTGCTGAATTCCTATTGCAAATATTTGTTGTAACGGCAGGAAGACACCAATAGAGCTGATGTGATGGTGAATCATCGTGGCACTGCCATTGCCACGCATAGTTAATATGAATTGTTCTAAACAAGCCAATATAACCTTAATTATAATGGCCGGTTGAATGCAAATGGTTTCTCTCTCGAAGATCCTAGAAGAAAGAAACATTGAAGGACAAAACTTCAACACAAAAATCTGGATTCGGGGATCAAGTCCAGTCTTAATACTGTACTTTAGTCTTAGTGCTTTATGAAAATCATTGCCCACTGGGGCAAAATAAGATCAAGTTTTATAGAATATATAAATAAATCAATTTGTGGTCTGAAAATTTCCATCAGCCTAGGAAGATCTGGACAGTAAGCAAAGACTGCAATTCTAGAATACCTATCCTGTCGTATCTTAAATTCATACACAATGCTAATAATAATGCATATATTATGTAGCAAGTAATACTTATATCCACACGTATCTTTATAATTCTTTGAGCTCTTTTGAATATCAGAACATTATGGTGATTTTGGTCTTTAAAATGACCCCAATTTTGTCTACGCTTTCGATTGCAGACCAGTTTTTATTGACGTTGAACAAAAACTAACTGTCATTCCATTTCTTTCGTTGTTATTGAATAATAGCACTGAATCACCGTCCTACAAACTACGGCTACGTGACTCATAGTATCTTTATACTTGAGTCTTATTATTTCTTATGTGTGAAGACTTTAAGCGCGTTCAAAACCCACAATGTTGCAGTGTTAACAATTCTGGTAGATATCTTTATAAAGGATGTTGTTTTAGTTTGAATAATTGAGATATACTATAAATTTGGACATGAGTTTATTTATGTATTTATTTATTTTTAGACATTTAACTGCTAGACGTTTAAATCTAAACAAAAGTTTTACTAGAAAAAGATCCACGCGGACCAGGCAGCGTACGGGACTCGAATCGCACCCTTCGCAATCCGGGCGAATGCACTGACCAATTATGCTACCACGGCCCTATTGGCCGCGTCGAAATTTTCCTAGCCTTAAGCTGCAAGGCAGCGCCATCTCTTCACAGTGTGGGTAACCCACAATGTCAAATGAATACTTTTTCAAGTATTAAACATTTGAAAGAAGAAATAGCAATTATAGTTATATTTTTATTTATGATTTTATTTATTGTTTAAGCATTTAACTGCTAGATGTTTAAATCTAAAGATAAGTTTACTAGAAAAAAAAATCCACGCGGACCAGGCAGCGGACGGGACTCGAACCCCCTCGATTTTTTTTCTAGTAAACTATTCCGCCTATTGTGTACGTTTTCACTGTCATCTTTAATGTCTTGTATGTCCTGTGAGGTGTATGTCAATAAAGATTATTATTATTTTTTAGATTTAAACATCTAGCAGTTAAATGCTTATACAATAAATAAAATCATAACTACGATTGCTATTTCTTCTTTCAAATGTTTAATACTTGAAAAAGTATTCATTTGACATTGTGGGTCGCCTACAATGCGAAGAGATGGCGCTGCCTTGCAGCTTAAGGCTAGGAAAATTTCGACGCGGCTAATAGGGCCGTGGTAGCATAATGGTCAGTGCATTCGCCCGGATAGCGAAGGATGCGGGTTCGAGTCCCGTCCGCTGCCTGGTCCGCGTGGATTTTTTTTAAAAGTAAACTTTTCTTTATATTTTTATTTATTTTGTATGAGTTATTTTTACAAAATTCCTTTTACATTTTGTGAGATGACACTAATAGATAAGTCAAAGTGGAGGAAAAAGAACTTCGTGAAATGGTAGGAGACCGACATTTTGGGCTGATCAGTGATCCGCACCGCTCTCGATACCGCAAAGATAACGATGCTCTACACTCAGCGGCAGATGTGACCCTCAGCATTGAGGAAACCAACCGAAGAAATTTATTGTCTCGGCCAAATTATCAGATGTGGCGACAGCTCCGTAAAAGAGGAAATCAAAACAATGTGCTTCTGCCGGGCAATGTCATACGCCACAAGATACCTTAATTGTTTGAACCGTGTCGTCCAATCATGGAATAATAATGACTAGTAAGTCATTATTATTCCATTACAAAGTTTGAATTTGGGACACGATCACTTACTAGTGATTTCAATCACTTCACCCAAATTCAAACTTTTTAGTTCTTCTCTCAAATAGTGATTGTGTGTGTCTCACCCAGTGTTTATTTTATTAATTCAATGTATTTTGTAATAATAATTATTTATATTAATGCATATTGTTAATTTTTAGTATATAAAAGTTTCAAATCTTTCATTTACGACGCTAAAATATGGTATATAAGTAATGTGGTAATTTGATTAAAGGATCCGATTTCCTAGTAAACAAAATTTCCATAAAATTTATTCGCGGGATACCTTTTTAACATCGACCTGTATTAATAATAAGAATAACAAGAGTTCAAAGCTTAATAACAATAAAAAGAGGAAATAAATATGACGAACTTAAACAGTGGTTGACTAATGATGTACCTACCCATAATGAATCATTAAATTATCTGTGCTCATCGTGGTCCACTGAGACCAAAACAATTAAGAGGAAGGACTCTAATGTTTTAAACATGGTTACCAACAACATTATAATAATTTACGTAATTACCGGCTTTGCTTTCATGTATGTAACTTGTTTTTGCGAATCCCCGATATTTCGGTAGTGATCACGGAGTAACTGATATGCTTTTATAATTTACGTAATAGGTAAATAATTTGTACAGCGATTTGCGCTGTAAGCTACCATGTTTTATCGCCGCGGCTGCACTTCGCTAAAACGTGTAAATATTTTACGTTTTTTCAGTCAAAAAGCCCTATGTGTGTTTTTAGATAGTACACAAATTACACGGGAACTTTTAGAGACAGCAAAAACGTGTCATTTCATTCATAAGTACAATTTTATAGAAATAAAATATTTAGTGACCACCATAGATCAATCATTCATTTATGGTGATTACTTATTTTTACAGTTGCTGACACCCGTTGACACGTGGAGGCTAAAGATCGAGATGTAATCTGCTTTATGCATGAGGATGAGAAAGACTTCAGTGCGTTTTACTGGCGGGTGTTGCCGAGGGAAGTTGGAGCGGGGCCTACTTGTGCCATTTTAAAATGCAATAATGTTGGCGAATAACCTGTCTAGAGTCTGTGCGGAAAGAGAATAGGATTTAGATTGGAGGGCGCTGTAGTGCTTTTCTACCGTATTTGTAAGGTTTTACCCCTTTTAAACGTGATTAAATACAAAAAAACCGCAAGAAATCACAACAACAAACAAATCCGTATCAATAAAATACTTTGACGTTTTACAGATTGCTGGGTTTGATTGCCAAATAAAAATCTTAATGTTAGTTCCGTTTTTCGCCACGACCATTCTCTTTCCGCACAGACTCTATACAATATTATACGTAATTGGCTGTAAGTAACAAAAAACATATTTTTTGAGTGTCTGCTTAAGTTTTGTTATTGTTTTTTTTTCTCAAGAATTAAAGAGTTTTCTAGACACTTCTGTGTTTATAATAACAATTAATAACTTTATTAAGTAATCTTATAACTAACTCTTTATTGTAGGTACGCTTAGATTAACAAGGGAAGAAACGGCACTCGCGGCGCAAAAGTGATCCGCTTAAATTGTGGTGCATGAGCATGACCACAATTCGCTTTAGTCACATATGGACATTCAAACATGCATGTGCATTCAATATAACAATATTGCGTATATTCTGTGTTATACAGATAAAACAATGCCTTCGATGCTTTTATAAAGAACACAAATAGTTCAAGATCAAATAACAAATGTCACGGCAACACTTTTCATTCGTAAAACTATAAATAAGTACAACTTTTCTCAAAAATCACGGTTTGCCATGAATGTTACTCTTAGTTACTGATTCGCCAATTTTTATTAAGAAAAGAACAACAATCCAACTCAGCCGTCTGTAGAGTACATGATGAAAAAAAAAATGGTTGCCTGTAAAGTCGGTTTTACGGGCGAAGATTTTACGTGACAACGTCTTTTTCTCGGTAGAATATTTATTGATATGAATATAATTAAATTGCACAATAGGAACAAGGAATTGAATGAAAATAAGAATTGCACAAATTTTAACTATAGAAATATATTTTGTTTACTAAAACATTGTACATGTAAACTTAAACTTAACACGAGAGACTCATCGTAACGTTACCGAGCGTTACACTTTTTCATAAGTGACTCCCAGCCGCAACCTAATTTAAGACGTTGTCACGTCAAAATCTGGAGAAGCTCCAGCTGCCGCGGCTTACGCTTCATGGACACAACACTAACCTTACTTAACCTAATGTGAACCCAAAACCCAAGAATACAATTTATAATAAGCCAATGATATTTTTCGCAAATTTACTGAGGTAAGTTGTGATTACGCAAAAATCCTATCTTTTCGAAAGATCCTAGGATTTTACGAAACAATTCGATTCATGCAATCACCCTACCACATTATTATGTATTTCACCTTAGTAAGAAAATCCTTTTAAACATTCTATTGTAATTTGCTTTTGGCTCGCGATATCATAAGCGTGACGGAGCTCAGATAATGGCAGTACTATTTTTATCGGATATAATAGAGTTCAAAATAACAACGGAAATACGACGGAAATGGTATAAAAAAGGGCTCGTAGAATTTCATTACACACCATTAAATAAGTTTCAACTTTTCATTAGGTATTCTCAAAAGAAACAGCTCTTTGAATTACGACAGCAACTTTCTTCGTCTCCTCTAGCCCCCCTAGCATGAGCACCATGATATGATATATAACGCGTTTTTATCACGCTAAAATGTAAAATGACTATAGAGTTTGACAGTTAGACACGATAAAAAACGTGATAAAATGTAAATTGTGGTGCTACGAGGGCTAAGACCGCTGCGCCCGTGTACAACGCAAACCTTACAATTTAGGTAAAGCAGCCTCTGGAGCGGGCTATGTCAGTGCGAATTGATGGATGGTGGTAACGACTACAGATGCATTCTGGTATTTTACTTACTTTTTAGTTCCATTTTCGATTTTGAAGTCGGTTTTATTTTTTGTTTATTTTTTTTACATTTTTCCTGCCAAAAAGTCCTATGTGTGTTTTCAAGATAGGGCACAAATTACACGGGAACTACTATAGACAAGAAAAAAACTGTAATTTTTAAATTATATAATGTTTACTTATTTTGACAGTTGCTGACAACGTTGACACGTAGAGGCTAAAGAGCTAAATGTAATCTGCCTAATGCATGAGAGTGAAAAAGACTACTTTAGTGCGCTCTATTAGCGGCTGTTGTGAAGGGAAGTTGGGGCGGGGACTCCTTGTGGCCATTTTAAAATGCAACAATGTTGGCGAATAACCTGTCTATATATTATAGGTCATTGGTGCTAGGTTAATGATCTCTGGCCCGCTCTCCGTATTCCATCCACAGGAAAGGTTTCCGCTTGCGCCCCAGTAGTGGTGATATGAACAATGCTGTACCCTAATGTGTACCCTAAGCAGGAACCAAAGTCTAATTCGGATAGTTCAATTCCACTGACATCAGCGCGAGCGAGTGGCGCGAGTAATTGCCCGTCGTACCCGAACACTCGCTTACAGCCCCGCGATAAAACTATCGGAACTACACTCGCTTTCTGCTTTTCGTCAACTCGTTTTCAGTTTTTAGCTCTACTCGCTTCTCGTTCATCGTCGGCGGTAGGAATTCTTCTGGGTAAGTTCTCTACATCGCGGATCCCATTTCTGTTCTCGGTTTGGATAGGCATCGGGAGTAAACGCATAAAACATAAATAAAACACGTACGTTATGTTTTCGTATTTAATTTAAGCTTTTATAAGCAGCTATATTAAATACCCTAGGTAGGTAACAACACGAACAAAATCGTTGCCGAAACCTGTCCAAAAGGTACATTGGACGATCCACGGAGCTCAGCGTAAGATAATAGAGAGGTCAAAAACAATTTAAGCATTGAAAGTCATCTTTAATGCATACCGTACAAGGTCCTAATTAAAACGCATGCGTCAAAGACTATGACAGTTCGAAATGCAAGCTCTTAAAATTTTACAACGCACTTGATTGACTTGATTGGGAGACATTTTGAGCGCTCTGGGTGTATCCAGGGTATTTAATATCGTTGTATAAAAGTTTCAGTCGATTTTATTTGCGAGGCATCTCGACGGTGACTACAGATCTAGCTTCTAACGACACCACTGCCTTCGCACCACCAAGTTGTACCGACACATTCCTCGGTCCGCCGCTGTAAAAGAGTTCACGTAATGTTAACTACAGGTTATTTTTACAATATTCAGGTGAAGAGTTAGGGGATAGCTATAGTAAACTTAGTCGTTTGGAGTCCATTTTTTGATATAACTGCATCTGCATATGACATTGCTGGTTTTAGTGGGACTACCTCGTAATATGACTGTTTCTGGATTGGACCATTTTGTTTTTCGTCTACTTTCAGTAGACAGAGTTTGAAGATGGATAAAAATTTGTAATATGTTGAAAATAAAATCTCTGAAGTTGTGAATGCTGAAGGAATTTGTTTCCATTTAGCTGATATTATGATTAGCTGATTAGCTGTATGATATCTTGGTTAGTTTTCAGGAATAATGTTTTTTTTTTATATGGAAACGTTTTTATAGACCACCGCTATTTTTTATTCTTTTCATAAAGTCATACGAAAATCTACGATGCCCTTTATTTATGGATAGAGTCAGCACAATTATGGATTTGGGTTAATACCCTTATTTGAGATAAGGTAATATCTAAATGCTGCCGATACTTAGTTTAACATAAAATACATTATTTTTTCTCTGTGAAGCAATATTGAATCAATATGGGATCATTTTCAATTAAAAAAAACAGCATATCAGTTTGATAAAAATAAACATAAAATTGGAGCAAAACGGTAGAGTAGCCTTAGACTTTTGAAACTGATACAAAACTATTTTGGAGAAGATGTAAAACCTAATTGAATATAACATTGCAGTAATTTTAAGTCGTTTGCTTTGGAAAGGACGAATACATTTTTTTATGTTTCCCTGTTTAACAAAGGATCATCGTTATATTACTTGTGTTCGAAGAATATCTAAACCACAATTATTTGCCAAACGATCTAGCCTCTGATCGTAATAGCCCTTTTCGCTTAAGGGTTTGATTGGAGAAGATTGTAATTAATAAATAAGAGCATATGAGCCACCACGCCGGCTCTGAGTGCATGCTAAAGACTACATGTAGCTGGGACCATCGGTTCAATTTATGGAAATGTATGGACACAACGGCCCTGCGTTTACCGCGTCCATTGAGTCCTCCTAGTGAAGGGTATACTGAACAATCTCATGAGATCCTGGACACTAGTTGCATCTCTGATCTATTAGACAAGTCCGTCCGTCCGTCCGTCTGTGGTGCTGTTTCAGCGGCCAAACCGTAAGAGATAGATAAAGAGAATGTTTAAGTTATAAGTTAAGAATAGTCTGATAAGACTACAAACCGGATTTGAGTAACGTAGCACTTCAGGTTTTCGAGAAATCACGAATTTCAAACGAAACCACACAAAATCTCCGAAGTTCTTAATTAATTAAATACATTTTTTTTTAAATCAGGTTTTGGTGAACATTTGGTTCACTGGTTTGCTAGTTTTATTCTAATTATGTTGGTGCCTACACGGCATCTACTTACAAGACAATTTAACAAAGCTATTTTTTTTATATTTGACCAGGTTGCAAGAAAAGCCCCCCTATAAGAAAGCTATTCTACCATCCTATTATTCAAAGTCGATACTTACTCATTGTACAGAATTACAACCACAGTGTCTCGTGGAGTCAAAAATGCCACATTATCCACTGGCGACGATCGAGGTGGTGTCCTCTGTGTGACTTTGATTCTCTGTGAGCCCCTTGGTAGAAACTTCGAGAAGTGCGCGAGGGCATAGTACATCGGCTGCTTAACAAACTCCTTGTTCTCGGGGAAGACTATGATCGGAGAGTCCACGAAGTTGCCCACCCAGTTCGGACCTCCTTGAGCGTTGAGGCAGAGGTTCCAGTCTATCCAGCCGACCACGTTGTGATTAAGATCCTAGAATAAAAAGTACTTGAATGTAATGGGTAAGACAAATGTGTTCGAACATCTGTGTGGGATCATTATTCCTTGAAGATTTTCTAATTAAAAATGCTTTGGGTTGTGGACTTCAAAACATTGAGAGGAACTGGATTAATTTACATGCTGTTGCATTTCAAATACTCCCTTGATAAATTAATTTTCTTCAACCTAATGTTGATTGAATAACATACAATATTTTCTAATAAAAATAGAACCGACTTCAAAAAACTGAAAATTAAGGAAGGATACCTCGAGGCATCGGGGGCATCCCCAAAGCATCAGGGGCATCCCCAGAGCAGCGCCCCTACCGGCCTAAGAACAAACTAGGTCTTTCCATGTCTTCCTTTCCAACCTTTCAAACTTTCTCGCTAGTTGTTCGTGCTTGGGGTACTGTTTTTTGTAATATGGGTATGAAAATTTCGAATTTTGAGTGATATAATATTAAATAATTAATATCGTGCTCATCATAATACTTACTTCCATAATGTCTATAATGTAACTCTTAGCTCTATCCCAAGAACCAAGCAAAACATTTTCTTTCTCAGACACACCTGAAAACAATATAATAGCTTTAAGCAATATCTCAGTGAAGTGGTATGGATTGTATAAAGTACATAGGAATTTCTTTTTTTTTAATTTCTGGTACCGCTTGTGATTACAAATATTTTTTGTCTTTATTTCATTTTGACTATTGCATATTGTGAATGCAAAATTTATCTTTGTTGAATTATATCTTGGAAAAATAGTAACTCTTAAGTTTATACTGATGCGAAAGGTTTTTCTTAGATCTTTCTAAAGAATTAGTTTTATCATTTTTACTTTTTTTTAAGCATGTAACTGCTCGATGTTGGAATCTAATAAAATATTACTAGAAAAAAATATGCGGTGCGGCTTCGAGACCCGTCTGCTGCCTGGTCCTCGTGAATTTTTTTCTAGTAATATTTTCGTTAAATATATTATTATTGTACCTTCACAGGCCTCGGTTGAAATCAAAAACTTGTCCGGGTAATTATCATATACTAGTGATAGTATCTTCGGTGGGATAATTTTATCGAAATAAAAGTGAAGTGCCACACCATCGATGTACTGGAGCGCCTTTGGTTCAAACAAAAGCATCTGGAAAATAACAAAACGAATTTATATGTAAATATAAAGAAAAAAAAAGAAAATTCAGTATCGTTTATTCAGTCTAGACTGTAACAAGCACTTGTGAATATCGAAAAGCTATGCATCGGTTCGCAAATCTACGGCGGGAGACCTTGTACTGAGAAGAACCGGCAAGAAACTACGCAAGGGCTGTTTTTTTCTCCCTGTATTATAAACAGTCGTCAAATTGAAAAATGACTTCAATATGAGATAACTCATGAAGTCACTTACCATTACAAATGTAGGTCTGGCTATACAATAAAATATAATAAAATTTATGTAACACATAGCTTAGAAATGCCGTGTCCTGTGCCTGTTTAGGTATAAAAATGTAAGATTAAAGTTAAATACAACGATAAATAGGACCCAATGTAGCAAGAGCAGACTCATCTCCGCTGGCAGCGCCCGTTCACGAGAATGACGCATGAACCAGCCATCGCTTCGCTCAACCATTTTTTGGGGCATTATACATAGGGTCATGTCAGTTTCTCAGAGCGGTAAAGGCAATAAGGCTTTAGGGCATGTTCAGATGAGCCGCGCCAACCACACACAAGTCCCGCACATGAGTTCTTTTTTTTTCTTGAAGTGTACCTCCAACACTATACAAGGCGTATGCATTGCTTGCATAAAATTTGGATCTTATGAATAAATCTCAAATTCTGTCTATCGCGTGGGTGCCAGGCGTAAGCGCAGCGTGTGCGTTGCGTATCCGTGACAGTGCGCAATAGGGTATTTGACAAGTTTTAGAAAACGATTTCACGTTATTTACTAATGTTTATAGAGTCCATAAAAAGTGGGTATTCATCATTATGTTGTGTATTTCGGTAAAAAAAACCAAATGAAAAACTCTATTTTCAAGTTGCCGGCCGCGAAAAACGTATCTCTGGACAATATGGCGTCTCACTGGTGTTTGACGTCACACGACTGTCATTAAAACATCGAACCATACAATCAAATGTCACTTTAACCGGAAGTTTACTTGCGTGTGACGTCATTTTAGCCTCCACCAATCCCAAGCGTTTTGGGTCACGTGACAATAGACAAGAATACTATTATCTTTATCCTGGGTTTTTAGTAAAATTATGAATATTTTTTCTGTAAAAATAGTAAAAACTCCTGCCAATATTCATTCTTAATACAGATGCTAACAATTGGCACTTTATTTTTAATAGTGTCAAATACCCTATTGTACTTCGATGTGTCATACAACCAATTACATAGAGTGTTAGACGTAGCGTGAGCGTGTCGTCTGAACAAGGACTTACTTTAGTCGCAATAGGAATTGCATGATGCCTGCGTGCGTTCTTGTAGAAGGGTATATACAGACAGACATACGGACACCATCACTTCCCATAAAAGATAAATTATAAAGAAACTTACCACATTAAACCAAGCCGGCAAAGTGGACCTCTGATCATCGAGTGCAAGAATCTTTATGTCGCGGAAAGAAGAGTTCCTGACTGTAGGACCCAAGTTTTCCGCTATCCATTTTCCCTAGAAAATTATGGGATATTATTTCAATTTTCTATAGAGGCAACTTGCTTGTGTGTGTACGTGTGTGTGTGCGCGTGTGTGTGTGCGCGTGTATGTGCGTGTATGGGTGCGTGGGTGCGTGCGTGCGTGCGTGCGTGTGGCGTGCGTGCATGCGTGTGTGTATGTGTGAAATAATTTAAGTCGTAATTGGAAATGCATTTAGAGATGATTTTAATGAAAAATAGAACTATATTAATTATTTTCATAAATAAAAGTACCTGCTTTATAGGAGACCAGCCGAGGCTATTGAATTCGGCAAACTCTATCATGCCGTTGATTGGTTCGTTTGTTGTGGTAATACCCCAAATCGGTATTCCGTGAGCTTTGTACTCCTCCATGAATCTAAATAGGAACGAAACAGAAAATTTAAAATATTCATCCAGACTAATAAATATAGACTGTGCGTATATTATTTCATCGAGGAGCTCCATGGCGCAGGGCGCAAGGGACTAGCGCGTTCGGCTGCGATCATTGAAGTTAAGCAACTTTCGCTGTGGTCGGTCATTGGATGGGTGACAAAACAAAAGTGAGTGTAAATAACATAACGTCTGCTTAACATGTAAATTTGCTATCTCCACTTTATTCAAGGAGTTGCCAATTTTACGTAAACGATGTGTTTACATTAAAGGAAACAAACGCCATTGTTAGATAATTTTTGACCAAAAGTGGAGTTAGCAAAATTTCTTGTTAAGCAGACGATAAATTACTATAACATTTATTTACGTTGCCTAAGTTGACTTGACTTTCGACGTTTCGTAAACACCATTATAATCACCGTAACGCCATCATCATCATCATCAGCCTATTAATGTCCCCACTGCTAGGGCACAGGCCTTCCCTATGGATGGAATAGGGAGATTTGACCATGACCTACCACGCGGGCGCAGTGCGGATTGGCAGGTGCTAACGACTGCAGATGAAGCCGGGACAAACGGCTTAACGTGCCTTCCGAAGTACGGAGGAACTCGAGAGAGAAGATTTTTGGTCACCCGTTCAATGACCGACCACTGCTAAAGTTGCTAAACTTCAACGATCGCAGCCGTACGCGCTAACCACTTACGTCATCGAGCTTCTCTAACCACCGTAACACCATATAAAATTAACAATTGTTTTACAAAACAAAAATTTCTTTATTCCAAATATTTTTTTTTGTTTGTACAATATTAGAACTGCTCTCATATAAGGTTACCCTGTGTTATGAGAGCCAGGCTCATCCTTATTATATAAATATAAAATTATAATAAACATGCAATTATTACACATGTTACTTGAAAACTACAAACAACCAATTATGTATAGTTTAGGTGTGTCTGTCTGTCTCTGTGTGTGTGTGTGCGTGTGTGTGTGGTTGTGCATGTGTTATGTGTCTGGATATTTAATTATGTATAGATCTAAGACAAGCTAGTTTGTTTATTTAAGTTGTCGTAAAATTCGTAAGACTATAAAGACCACTCGCAACCAATGTGTGTGTTTTCTCCCACCTGCTAAATAAAACCTTAGTTGGCATAAAGATTAAGATAAATCTAATAAAAATACTGAACAGAGTGACATTGAATACATTTTTCATTGCGATTATCACACTTACTCGCAGAATAAGATATCTATGTGCTAGTTTTTTAGCTTTTGTTTCTTCCGCGATCGTTGTCATTTTATTAGTACGAGTTTGAGCACACGAAAACTATCATAGTTTTCGTAATTGTAAATTATGTTTCTATGTCCGTTTTGGTGAAAAGTAACCAAATATAGTCAAAATTTAAGAAGACGCAAATGAGTTAATGATAGAATTTAAACACTGTTTTTTTGTATTGAAACGAAAACAATAAAATCAGTACGATTATTAAGAGTGCGAGCTCACGAAAACTATCATAGTTTTCGTAATTGTAAAACTCGTACTAAGGGTACTGATGACTATAACTAAAAGTCACATTGATCGGGAGAGGTTAAGGCTAAACAATTTGTCATAAACATCTCATTTTCCTACTATAATGAATAATAATAACATCTCACTTGATATGGTAGTCAGCGTATGTCTGGTAATACTTGGGTTGCAGTTCGTTCAGTTGTCCCCACACTGGGGCTGTTTTCATCCAGAGGGAGGCAACCAGGTGCTGTCATTTAGAACCAATAACAATAAGGACTCACTTGATATGGTAGTCAGCGTATGTCTGGTAATACTTGAGTTGCAGTTCGTTCAGTTGTCCCCACACCGAGTCCGTCTTCATCCAGAGAGGGGCAACCAGGTGCTGTCATTTAGCATCAATAATAAAAAGATCTCACTTGATATGGTAGTCAGCGTATGTCTGGTAATATTTGGGTTGCAGTTCGTTCAGTTGTCCCCACACCGAGTCCGTCTTCATCCAGAGAGGGGCAACCAGGTGCTGTCATTTAGAATCTCTTATCTATTAGACAAGTCCGTCCGTCCGTCCGTGGTGCTGTTTCAGCGGCCAAAAAGTAGCACTTCCGGTTTTCGAGAAATCACGTGATTTCTATTTCAAACGAAACCACACAAAATCTCCGAAGTTCTCAATGAATTAAATACATTTTTTTTTTTCATTTTTTTTTTTTTGGTGAACATTTGGTTCACTGGTTTGCTAGTCAATAATAATAAGATCTCACTTGATATGGTAGTCAGCGTATGTCTGGTAATACTTGGGTTGCAGTTCGTTCAGTTGTCCCCACACCGGGGCTGTTTTCATCCAGAGGGGGGGTGACCAGGTGGTGGCTACCACGTGCACGGGTGCCATGGAGGCAGCCATTATCGCTTTGATCATGGGGATCTGAAATATATGGAAACACCACAACGATTGAAAATATAGTTAGGAGATTGCTTCACCGAGATTCAAACCCGGAACCTTAGATTTGGCGACTACTTGAAACCCGGCGTACATAGATACTACTCACCAGGGCCGTCTTTGACCTATTGGAGGCCCTGGGCATATTAGGATAATGGGGCCCCTCTGACTTTGATGTGGATTATGACTTGAAATGGAGCGAGTGATACTGATGAGTGTACTACTGATGATATTTCTTTAAAATGTGCATGTGCTTAGTATACCATTATATGTATATTTAACTTTATCTAAGCATGCTGAAGTCGGAAAGCCTAATTTTTGGGCGCCAGTAGAATAGCTTCGCTTATGTAAAAGCTAGGAAGTTGGTATTGTAGTCAGCAATTTAGGTTCGATTTCATCGAATTTTATAAGTCTTTTGGCAATAAATATTGGTTATCGTTTGGTGATCTGACAGGAACTAGGGACTTTGTTTTGATCTGAGGGAGGCCCCTATCGATCGCGGGGCCCTGGGCACTTGCCCAAAGTGCCCAACTGGGACAGAGGAGTCTGCTAATCACGCCATGCAGATCGTCAAAAATTACCAGAACAGATTTACTGTCCGATTTTGGACCACTGTACTGTACCGACTGAGCACAGCGTAACCTACCATTTTGGACATGTTTTACCTAAGGAGCACAGATTCGCCCGAACTAGCTTGCGGGTCTAGTGCTGATGTCAGCTAAAGTGACTGTGATCAACATCATTACAGTTTCCACTGCTGGGAATCATTCTTTTTCTATGACTAGACGTGCGTCGCAAGTACGGAGGGAGCCTGACGGTGCACAATTATTTTCAGTAAAATACATCATAGCTTAAAGAAACAACATCAATAATAACGTATATACCTTGTAATAATAATCTTCATGCGCTAGAGTGAAGTTGCTGAGAGTCAAGTCGTCGCTCGGGTGCTCGTTGTAAGCGTAAGGATGCGTGGAGAAGTCGCATCCTCCGATAGGCACGCGCAACATGTTATACTCCAACCCCAACTTGCTGTAGTAAGAGCTGAAAAAAGTAGGTAGAAATATATGAAGTAAACGATAAAACAAACTTGGTCGTTTACTTCATATATTTCTATGAAGTAAACGACCAAGTTTGTTTTATGCAGTTTAGAGCTTTCATTGACGCCGCTGTACATGTCGGGGCACGTAATTCTAGCGCTGAACAAAACGCGGAGGGGATAGCTGCTCATGGGTACGACTGGAGAGCCAATCGGCGCAACGCACCTCGTTTCCCCCCAACACATGTTAATTTTAGCTAGTTAGCGCTAGTTTCGTGCCGCGACTTATATATGGTGGCAGTTCCGATGTATTGGGAACACGCGACAGCTGCAACGGCTAAACGTACCTCCCGAAGCACGGAAAAGCTCGAAATAGTAAATTTTAGGCTTACTAGAACCAGTGGGCCACAGAGGCGGCTGTACCCATGATGCACGGTATACGTGCAGACTGGCGCAGCGGTCTCAGTTGGCGCTGAGCGTTACTAGCCACCATTACATTTTGACCGCGTGCTTACCAGACGGTGCTAGGCTATGATGCCTTAAAGTTAAAGATACGTCATACACTCTATTAATTGGTAATATGAAAGTCTGGTAATTGCCAGACTTGCATTTAGTGTCGCCGCACAGGGGCCACCCGCCACAGCCTCAAACGCCGCCACGAGAAGCTAGAAGCGGCTGCTGAAGTGACTGAAGCGCGCGACAGCGGCCGACTAAGGTAAGGGAGAGAGGGGTGTGGAATCGCGCGAGTGACGTGTGGCGGCGTTTTGTATCGGCGCATTAAGTGGCCGGTGCGGGCCACAAGAAGCGAGCAACGACGATTTGTAGCGTGTGGCGGCCACCGGCGTACCGTGAGTTTCGAATCCATATAAAATGTATGAAAACTACAAGAAATATGCCGGTGGCTGCGTTTTGTGGTTGTGGTCGGTGGCCCGTGTGCGGCGACACTTAGTCGGGCGGGCACGCTCTCTCGCCGCGGCTACACTTTGCTACAACGTGTAAATATTTAACGTTTTTCAAAACCAAAAGCCCTATGTGTGTTTTTAAATAGTACATAAAATAGACGAGAAATATTGGCGACGAGAAAAACGTGCCTTTTCATTCGTAAGTACAGTTTTGAAGAAATTAATGTAATATATTTAGTGATTACTTATTTTGACAGTTGCTGACACCGTTGACACATCAAGGATAAAGAGCGAATCAGCATTATGAATAAGAGTGAAAGAGATGACTTAAGTGTAATCTACTGGCGGCTGTTGCCAAGGGAAGTTAGGGCGGAGACTACTTGTTCCATTTTAAAATGCAATAATGTTGACGTATAACCTGTCTATACAGGATGTAAAAAAAACCGATAACGAAGACGAAGGCCACGTATTTTCTACATCATAATGATATTTTTTTTCTTCTGGACCATACCTGGGAAATTTATGGTTATGAAGATATTGAAGGTCAAAGACAAAATATTTTTTTCAAGATTTATACATTAATATTTTCAAAACGTCATTTAAAAACATTTTTATCGACGCACTAAGACACACGCACACACACATGCACATTCTTTGCGTAGCGCCACAGTAGCGCATCGCGCTTTACATTGCGTACTGGAAAAAAAAAGATTTTTTTAACTTAAAAATACAAATTCTTCCCACGTATAATATTTAGTAATATGACTTGTTTGGGTGTACAGAATGTGTAGTTTAAGTCTTTGTCATAGGTTTTTTTACACCCTGTATATTATACGTGATTGGTGTTTGGTTAATGATTTCACATGAGCACTACTTACTTAATAAGTGCATTCTTTAGTCTGATGTTGGTGAGGTTCATCCAATTGATGGAGGCAGCGTCTGTGACTGCACCTCCGAACCCTTCCACTTTCTGATACTTGTGGCTGACGTCGAGGACCAAGTCCGCAACATTGCTTTCTGCGAATAAAAATATGTACCTATATATATACAGGATTCAAATCTAAATTAACAAAATATATAAACATCCTACTAATATTATAAATGTCAAAGTTTGTATATTTGTTACTCAATCACGCAGAAACGGCTGAACGGATTGGGATGAAATTTGGCACACGTATAGTTTATTACCTGGATTTAGACAAAGGATACTCTTTATCCCTCAAAAAACTAAAGTAAACGCGGACGAAGTCGCTGGCGGTCGCTGGTAAATAATAAATGTACGTAACAAGATACGACGCGCAAAAAAACTGTAAGAGTCTGTGCGGAAAGAGAATGGGATTTAGATTGGAGGGCGCTGTAGTGCTTTTCTACCGTATTTGTAAGGTTTTACCCCTTTTAAACATGTTTAAATACAAATCACAACAACAAACAAATCCGTATCAATATAAATCTTTGACGTTTTACAGATTGGTAGGTTTAATTGCGAAATAAAAATCTTAATGTTAGTTCCGTTTTTCGCCACGCCCATTCTCTTTCCGCACAGACTCTAGTGGTTCCGCGCTTAGGTGGAAGGTCTAATATAACAGCTATGATCCAGACGTTCCGGCAGGCTTTTTCTATAATTATGATGAAGATGATATGATTTTGTATTGACACCGAAACAATATAATATTTTGTAAAAATATTGGTACATAGGTAATTATTTAACGCTGTGAAGTTTCTTTCGCCAGTTTTTCTCCACAGCTAAAAAAACTCCTTAATTAGTGGTAGGTAGGGAAAAAAATATCGATGATTCAAAAGAGTTGTACTGGTCTGTGCATCCAATTTGAACAAAGATTCTTTTGACTCAGGAGCAAATATTTTAGTTCATTAAATTTGCCAAAGAAATAGACTGGAACTGAAAAAAGCTCATATTTGACGCAAGGAATTTATTGTAAAATATTAATTTTACTTTTGGAGAAGATACTGACCATAAAGATCCTTAGCCCGAAGGTCACGAATCGTTCTCTTAAATCTGGAGCCAGCCTGAAATCAATAAAAAATTGTCCTTACAATAGTTATGTTCTTATCAAGTGTTAGAATTATTTTTATTTACGAACATAGAACAGTACCTATTTAAAAATTTAAAATATGATGACACAGTTAAAACGAAACGAAATCTGATTGATCTGTGTATCGTCATCTGTTGACGTGCTAATCTGTGGACAGGCTAATCTGTGATCACTACTTCAAAAAAGCGCGTAAGAGTTGAGAGCGAAAAAGTTATCAGCTAAAGTATTTTGTATTGTGAATTGTACAATTATAATAAAGAGAAAAGTGATAACGCTTCAAAGTTGTTAGATTTTTAATACAAGTATCGTACAGTAATTAAGATACAAAGCCGCAACAGGTATAAAAGGGAAATCTTTGTGAGAAAAGAATTACAAATTCGCAATCAAGTTCATCGTTTTATGGTTCCGTGCCACAAAAGGAGAAAACGGAACAAATAAATGGATCACTTGTCGTCCGTCTGTCTGTCAAAACCCTTTATCTCGAGAACGCGTGAAGGTATCGAATTGAAATTTACTCAGGTCTACAGTCCCTTAAAGCTGTAAAAAATCAAACATCAAGTTAACGCAAAAAAAATTATGGCTTAGACTAGTTATATGCTCTTTCCACATTTTTCGACTATTAAAATAATATGCTTTAGATCCAAGGCTGTCACCAAATTTTTTGGTAATTTTTTTTCGTTCAGTTAATATATCAGTATCAAGTAACCCCCTCTAGAACATGGCCTATATAATATAATATTGATGTCTTTGCCTATTAATATCCACACTGCAGGCACAGGCAGACTGCGCAGTGACCCACCACGCGGGCCTGATTGGTGAGGTGCTAACGTGCCGGGACCAGCGGCTTAACGTGACTTCCAAAGCACTCAGGAGCTCGAGATAATAAGTTTTTGGCCACAAATCCAATGACCGACTATTGCAAAAGTTTTTGGCCACAAATCCAATGACTGACTATTGCAAAAGTTTTTGGCCACAAATCCAATGACTGACTATTGCAAAAGTTTTTGACCACAAATCCAATGACTGACTATTGCAAAAGTTTTTGGCCACAAATCCAATGACTGACTATTGCAAAAGTTGCTTAACTTTCACGATCGCCGGCCAAACGCGCTTTTCAGGGCCAAGGTTTCCCACCTTGGGACCAGGTGCTCAACAGGCCCTTCTTAGAGCCAACGGGGGTAGGGAAGGAGAGAACTACGCTCTCACTCCCACTTCTACGAGAGCCGCGAGCCCATCCTGGGGGCGGAGACGGGTTCGAATTGCACAAGCTCTCTGGATGTTGATGCCCCTGATGCTCCGGGGCACCTTCATCGGGGTAGGTCCGCGGACAAACACCTGGCGGGTGCGCGGCCATTCGGAAACGGGAGCCGTGACCACACCCGCCCTCTCGGCACCCACTAGGGGGACCGCGGTCCTCATAGTGCGTGTCAGGTGATGGTGCAGGAGTATTGACCGATTTTTAGTGGCCCTGTTCAGGGCGTTAGGTAGGGTCCTGTTTATTTCATCCGGCCACAGGGCTGGCTAAAATGTGAAATGAACAGGGAGAAGTCCCACATACCTTCTTCTCGCTCCCCCAGTGGTTGAAGGATGCGTAAGGCATTTCCCAGACACAAAAAAGGTCGAAATCGAGCTCCTACTCATAGGTACATAAATAACTGCATTGTCATATTACCTCTGACGACGTGTAGGTGACGTACTTGCCCTGCGCCGGCGCCACCCTGACCAGCTCATCGCAGTAGGTGACATTGCACACGCACACCACAGACTGGCCCGGGATCAGACGCGACTTGCATGGCTTATCTCCTGACAAAAATGACATTGAAATACCTTAGAAGTATTAATAATATATTTTCTTTAATGTTTAAGCATCATCCGGCCTATTAATATTCCCACTCAAGAGGGGGCAGTTGCTCCTGCCCCTAAATATAAAAAATGTAGCCAAATGTAAAGCAACCGAAGTCCTTAATCTTCTTATTTAACTTGCTTGCCTGACCAAACATTTCTGCTTCCTCAACGTCGAAACTCGAATGAATTGACTAGGTGATTCCAATCCCAACAGAGTTCATGCATTTACACCGTTCATTTATGAATAGGAACTTGCCCCTTCTAGGGGGTTAGTTAAGGGAGTCACCCTTGATGTCACTGTACAAGCATTGCTTAAGGATGGAATAGGGCGAACAGCCCATATTTTACCACGCGGGCCCAGCGCAGCTGCTAAGGCTAACGAGTACAGAACAGCTGGTATCTGTAGCGTTATGGCCCTACCAAAGTAAAAAACAAACTCGAGTTAGTAAACTCGTCAACAGATTTGGATGTACAGAGTCTTGTTATAATGTTTCCACTGTCACGAGTGACATTGGCCATCAATTTATAGAACAAATATTGATGACCGAGATTGTTCCCCATTTTCAAAACTTTAATGAGCACATTATGCAAGTATAAAATTTAAATCGGTAAGGTGTACATGCAAAACGATTATATCTTTGGCTGCAAAGCAATTAATAGTCATTAAAAAATGTAAATTAAAAAAAACAACACGTCTGCTCTAAGCAAACAAGTTAGTACTAATAAAAAGAACTTCAAAACCGGAAGCAATTTAAGTAGCATTGCACAAAACAATATTCCGACCAAAATTACTTTTCTTTCAACTGTTTTCGCCTTTTTAGTTCGTTTTCTATCTGTTTTTATTTTTACAAAAATGCTCAATAATAAAAAAAATCAATTTTGTTGAACTATCAAAACTATTGAATAATTTTAAATCATCACTCTAAGTAAAACTGACTCATAGATTTAAAAAATACACTACTCACCTTTATTTAATGACGCTAAAGATGCTAAAAGGAAAAAAAGTTTGAATAACATTACAAATAAATCAATGTCACTAAAACAAAACTAGCTTTTAAAAACAAGAAAACTGAAACTCTAATCTACATTCATTTCATTAACCAACATAACCATTACCAGGTTCTGTTCAAAGAAGACTGAGTTAATGTAAAAAAAAACTATTTTTACATCACCTTTATAAGAATTAATTTGTGATGCCTGAATTTTAAGTCGCTTGGATTATGCAAATATTATTACGGTTATCTTTATTGTGCATTCAGCCATTGTGACCTTTACATCGACTCCTTTAAAGTTTATATTCCAATTCGTCAGTTTTTCACTGAATTCAACAATATTTAAACATTTAAGAATGTATATTATGGATGAGATACTATCTATAGATAATACAAACGCAGTCGTATTGTCTTCATAACAAGGATCTCATACAAACAAGGCCGTGACAATGGGTAAGCTTGCGATGAGGAGTCTTGTTATGCAACAAGTAAAGATACTTCCAGTGTCAAATTAAAATTGATTAAAATCGAAACTGAACAGTATCTAACAGAACGCAAGATGCCTTAAGGAAGATCTAATCATCACCAAAACAACGTATTAATGTACCTAAGGCTGGAGCACACGTTTTCGCTGCTGACGGAATAGAAGTGACTGATCATAAAAATGGTGAAAATTTTATCTAACCACTGAAAATCAAATGGTGTGTTTTTGGTCAATGGTTTCAAGCTAAGCCTTTTATTATTTTTTTGGAGTCCTCGAGGAATCAATCAATGTCCCTGTTTTATTTAACAATATCATCAACAGCTAAAAACATATCAACAACTGCCTATTCTGCGTTCGAGGATATGTTATTCCTTCAAAATGATCTTTAAGAATCTAGTGAGAATGGCAGTCTCTTAATACATGCATAATTAATTATGTATTGTTTTTTTATAATTGCACTCATAATGTATTTGTTTGACTTGAGATTGTATTTATACCGTATGACACAGCAATCAAAATGCAGGTAAATAATTAATGTATATTTAATAATTATGTAATGAAAGGTGACTTCATGAATCATCTCTGAAGTCATTTTTCAATATGACGACTCTGTAAATAATAAAACAGGGAGAGAAAAACAGCCCTTGCTGAGTTTCTTGTCGGTTCTTCTTAGTACAAGGTCTCCCGCCATAGATTTACGAACCGATGGCGTAGCTTCTAGACATTCATGAGTGCTTGTAACAGCCTAAACTGAATAAATGATTTTGATTATGATTATTAAATGTTAGGTAGTAGTTTTAGTTTTATAATTTTATCATCTTTCAGAATCTCAGACACAATCACAGTGCTGTATAGTTCATCTTCTTTGTGACAGTAAATTAGTGAAAATTAATTCCCATAACTTTTACTTCAAAGATGTTACAATCGACGGTCGTCCTGAAACAATTGTGTAAGGTCGTTTACCCATCGCTAACAATTAGTAACCGAAATTAGCCTATCTTTGTTGATAAACTCTTATCGTTTGATTTTATTTATAGTCGTCTAAGAACGTGACCGTCTAGTGCGTGAGGTAGGGTTGCCAGATGCTGGCTTATCAATTTCGGGACATTTGCCCCCCCCCCCCCCCCCTGAAAAAATTACGCACCGAATCAAACCCCCCATCACCCCCCAGAATTAAAACATCCAGGACGCCAAGGGTTTTATGCGAAACTAGCATATTTTCGGAATCCGGGACAATATGGTCTAATTACTGGACACGGTACAAGACGCAAAATTGCGGATTTCCCAGCCATCTGGCAAGCCTAGCGTGAGTTGCTTTATAAAGTTCGTGGAGAAAAGGAAAAACAAAGTATTGAAAAGACAAAAAAAGATTAATTTGAAACGTATATATTGCTGTTTTATTTAATATTTCATTGGTGTGCATAATCTGAGTGTGAATAATTACTTACTTTACAAACTATAATTGTTTGTAGAAAATAATTTGTCTTTTTTAACTGGTATTGCGGTCGCGATATATTCCACTAAATAAATTAATATTTAATTTTGTTTTACAGTCCTAGGTACTTAATTGTTTACATTATATCAATATACAATTTATTATATTTACTCAGATCGTTATTATCTTTATAGATGTCACAAAGATAAACCCACGTGAAGATGAAATTACATTGTACTGCAGGTAATGCAAATTTGCAGCAAATGCTATCAGGTGACTAAATGTCATAAAGTGGATTAAAATTTACTCAGAAACAATGTTACATTGTCACTTAAGGAGGATACACAAATAGGTTTAGTATTATATGTACTAAAGGTCAACTATAAGTCGCTACACGAAACTCTAGCGCTGCCCGTTCTTAAGCATTGTTCTCGCTCCTCCAGTGGTTGAAGGATGCGTAAGACATTTTCCAGACAAGAAAAAGGCCAAGAGCGCCATGACCCTTTTTTTTGTGACGCAGACAAAACCTCTGTTTACAGACGACGGCGCCTTTAAGAGGCACACCGCCGAACGGACCCCACACCTGGCTCCCGCAAGCCTTACGAGCCCCCGCAGTGCCTGCCCACTGCTGACCCCGTAACTCCTACGGGCGCTTTACTGCATAATATCCATTAAAAAACCCTGCGAATACCCTCTAAGCTGCTTAGTGCGAAACCGCGGGATCCCCGTTTAGAGATTCTTCCGCGTCAAGAGCGCCATGAGTCCTGGCGGCAGGCTACGAGGAACGGCTACAAGAGCTGCGAGGGGTGTCAGATGCTATATAAAAGCATTAGTTACTGACCTTATATTTTGATTTCATTTATTTACTAATTCTAATGAACTGTGGTCGAAAAGTCGGAATCAACTCAATGAAAGCTATGAGAAATCTGGAATACAGGTGCACAAACTTGAAATACTTACGCCCGTAATAGTACATTATGATATAAGTGCGGTAAGTTGATGATTACAGCCGCAGCGATGTTGCTAGCCCGAGCCGCAGCCGCAGGCGAGGGCTTTAAGGCAGAGGCTGTAATTATCAAACCGCACGTATGGCGTACGACGTTTAATAATACATTTGCGAGGAAATAAATAAAATTCAGACAAAAAAAACACAAAAAACATTAACACTTTCTAAAAATGAATTAGCATTTTCTCTTGTTTTCCATGAAATGAAATTTTGACATGCTTGAAAGTATCTATCCGTCGATTTCTCGAGCAAGAGGCGTAGCGTAGCCTTTTTCGCCGCTTCTGAGACTTCTGGCGGTGTCAAATTAATAAATTCATCACTACTTGACGACATTTAAACGTAAAAACAATACAGCGAAAAGAAAAAGCGCGCGGAATAATTTTAACTTTTTCACAAATTAGTGATGCGCGCTTTTTTAGGCAAAGGAACATAAAACAGCCAGTGTTACTAATAAAGTAAATTAATATTTTTGTGCATTTGTTACCGATACATGGTTATAATTTATTGTCAAAATGAACCAAATTAAAGAATTAAATGTTTATTTATTATATTTTTTCTCCCAATGTCAATTTTATTAAGAAAATGTTGGGTACCTTTCTGACATAAAAACTCTTTGCTAAGATTTAAAAAGTATCGTTCGTTTTTAGACGGAACATAATAAGCCGTGGGTTTTACTTTACATTACCGCAGGTGTGTGTAATGTGAAAGATTATGATATTGAAATTGATGCAATTAGAGACGCTTTACGAGCAAATGGGTTATAAAGAATTTTATGGTTTCAATATTTTCAATCAAATAGCACTACAATCAGTTCGCAGTGTAAATGAAGTCGGTTAAAAATATACTTAATAATAATTTCATATGACTTGTTTATTTCACCTCCCGGATTTCTGATCCACACAGATAGCATCAATCCGCACTGGGCCCACGTAGTGGGTCACGGCTCGATTTTCCTATTCCATCCGTAGGGAGGACCTGCGCTCCAGCAGTGGAAACATTAATAGGCTGATGATTTACGTAATACATAATAATGATGATATACTTAATAATATAAAAATCAAAGGCAACATTTTTTTTCGAGGCGCAACAGGTGCCGCGCACGAAATGCACGTGTTTTATTTATTAAAAATTACTGGTTTTTTTCTGACGAAGATTGTGATAAGCTAATTGAACAGATCAGACAGCACCCTCCGATTTACAATGCACTACTTTATAACTACTTTATAGTTTTGTAGTAATAATATAACAGCAAATCATCGTCTTCTTCTTTCTCCAATAATAACTCCACGTGGCGTTCCATAACAGTATTTAATGACACACTAAAACACAATTCACTCCATTAAGAGACTACGATACTGAGGTGGTAACGGTCTCGTCTGAAGTCTCGGTCTCGCCCCGCAGTACATACAGAAGAGACCACTTGTCTTGTCGCGGTCTCATGTCTCGGTGTCTTGTCGCAATCGCGGCGCGAACCGCCAGCTTTAAATGTAGGTATATTATTCTAAAATATATCATTTCAGTTATATTAACAAAACAAACCACCTAACTTTCGTTTATAATAGAAAAAGAAAGAGATCTTAAGTAAAAGTTACCTTTTTGTTCCTTCGTTATAGTATTTCTCGGATTAAAACTGGCACTTGTGGCACTGGCATTTGTCCCAGCTCTGGCACTGGCACTGGCACCACCCCTACTTGCGCTGACGTTACTACCACTTAAGGAACTACTGTAACCGAAACCGCGTTGTCCGTTTGGGTACGAATTCATGTATGTTGGATGAACTGTAATAAAATAATTATGATACTTATCATTTAATTTGTATTGGCAATTAACTGTTCTGTTTAACTTGGAAGTTATATTTCTGTAACGGTAGTCTAGTCAAATAAAATTTAGACCTAAATATACACGAATTTCTTTTCAATAAGTTCATGGCTTTTCAGACATATTAAAATGTTTATGAATGTGTATGGCCTTTTTTTCGATGACGGGGAGAAAAAATGTATTATATCCACGACAATGACCAACGCCACGTTGGTTTGCTGTTAACAAACCCTCGCGACGCAGGTAATTGCGTGGTGCATTCGGCATGCGGCGAGCAGCCCGAGGGCCGCTAATCGGTGCGGGTATACTTTGGCGTGCACTCACGCAAGCATAGCATACGTCAAACCACCCGGCCTCCGACCGGCAGCCCGGTCCGCACCCGCCTATGCCGATCCTGGGCTTCTCCGTTCACAGCGTCACCTGACTAGTCTCACGGACCGCAGTCCGAGCGGCTAGCCAGCTGACTAGCTGCCGTACCTACCAGGTAAACCAACTCCCCGATCTACCCCTCACCCTACAGGCGTAACTGCGGGGTTCAGTTATGAGTCGCCGCTTGTTACTAGAGGTACTTTCTTTAACAATTAGTACTCGTTACTATAGTATCGTTACGTTACTCGTTACTTCTCATAAAGAAATCGGTTTTACTATTTTGATATTTTGAACCGTGAGCTTATACACTCCCGGACACCTAAATCGAGCCACCTTGATTTTTTGACGTGACAACGTCTTAAATTAGGTTGCGGCTGGGAGTCACTTATGAAAAAGTGTAACGCTCGGTAACGTTACGATGAGTCTCTCGTGTTAAGTTTAAGTTTACATGTACAATGTTTTAGTAAACAAAATATATTTCTATAGTTAAAATTTGTGCAATTCTTATTTTCATTCAATTCCTTGTTCCTATTGTGCAATTTAATTATATTCATATCAATAAATATTCTACCGAGAAAAAGACGTTGTCACGTAAAATCTTCGCCCGTAAAACCGACTTTACAGGCAACCATTTTTTTGGTTTCGAGTACTGTAACTTATAAAAGATGTATGTAGAAGGAAAAAGTTTTGATGCAGTTTTGGAGCTGGTATACTCATCATTCATTTAGAGTGCCACTGTTCTAAATTTGAACTACAGTTTATTAAAAAGTAGAGTTGAAACAAGTCCATATTTACTTTTTTCAAGGAAAAAAATCTAATCGATTTTTAAATAAAGACATGTTTTACATGAAAAGAAATGTTTATTTAGTAACTTGTATTGCCTCCCAGTGCGTTTATGACAGCTCTCATACGGATTGGTATAGAATAAATCAATGTCGTTATGACATGTTGAGAGTATGGGCCCTTGCATTATCATGCATTAAAACGAAATCTTGGCCAATAAATCCAGCATATGGCATCACGTGGTTCTCTAAACATTGGCGAATGTATCTATTGCCATCTAGGGGCGGTAGTCGTGGTCCCGTCACTACCTCTAGCTCAGTTTTGCCTTCCATAGAGATTCCTCCCCACCCTGTCCATGATCCTCCACCATAACTCACTTTCTCGTCAATACAGCATTGCGCGAAAAGCTCGTTCTGTCTTCGGTACACCTTACTCCTTCCGTCATTACCGTATAGCATTATCTTGGACTCATCTGTGAAGAGAACCTGGCTCCATTGATGTCGAGTCCAATTTAGATGTTCGCGCGCAAACTCTAGACGGGCTATTCGGTGTGCTCGTGTCAATTTGGGTCCATTGGCTGGCTTATGGGGCTTCAAACCACGTTCATTGAGTCGCCTTCTAACGGTCCGAGCACTTACAGCCACTCCCTGAAAGTCCCTGAGCTGTTCTTGGATCTGAACAGAGTTAAGGCGTCGATTTCGATGTCTCGCCGTTGTCACTCGGTAACGAGGTCCTCCTGTTCACCGAACGAAACCGCCAGTCTCCAGGTATCGGTGGTACACTCTTTGAAAAGCGGAACTACTTATGTGAAGTTGTGAACTCACATCTCGCTGACTTAGCCCAGATTGAAGAAGTGCTACAGCTTGCGCGTCTACTTCAGGTGAAGTATCCATAATTTTATAGCCAAAAACGGTTCAAATTATAGAAAAATAACTAAACTAAACTTTGGTTTACAACAATTGCGAAAATTCAAACCAAATCGACATTAAATTGCTTCAAAAGCAACTTTCAACAGTCATTTTTTTTTTTCAAATCAGTGACTAAGCTCGGCTTTTGTTCTTTATTTTAAATTCTAAAATTCAAATTTGGAATAATACATATGGGAAAGACGATGAAATATGACAGCATTAAAAATACATAAAAACTTTTTTGTTATATTGTATCTTTTTTGTGTATTGGGCTTTTAGGCCCGGGAATGTAAGGTGGCTCGATTCAAGAGCCCGGGAGTGTATATATCACAATAACATCGCAATCCATTATCCATCAATTATAATGATAAAACATCAAATAAGTGTCGATAATTATTGTATTGATAATAATAATACTTAAATAGTTATACATTCTAACGATAAATCAACATAAAAATAGTTTTGCTTAGAATGAAATTAAACATAACGAAAGAAAGAACTACAACAAAAATCTTTTGTGAGAACAAAAGAAATAAAATTATAAAAAAAATAAAAATTTTTAAACTAAATCTATCAAGTTGGCTTTTTCGATAAGCTTCTGTGAGATAGTCAACACGACAATAAAGTTCTCACGTCCATTTGACCGGAATAGCGTATATTTTAACGATTCCACTAATTCTTCAGTTACGCAGACGGTTGTTACACAAAATTACACCAATTTTATTTCACAATATCCACTATGAACGAATTTAAGAATAATTAAAATAAGACGCCAACCGCACTCGATGAAATCCCGTCAAAAACTCCAACGTACGTTTTTAAACTCTCCGAATATGCTCGCGCATGCTTAAAGCATACTACGATCAGCAAATGTTTCTAAACATATATCAACTGTACTTGCGTAAACTGAAACTTATAGATAGTCATACTACGAAAAATGCGAGTAACGAAATTTATTTGTGTGTAACGTTTCGTTACTCGGTACTAGATGGCGCACCCGTTACTCAGTACCGAATACATACGGTTTGCTACAGCTCTACTTGTTACGCCTGGATGGCCTACACAGACGAAGGAGGACGAGGATAGAAATCCATAAACCGTGTAAAAAATGTTCGCCAGGACTTGGTACCGACTCAACGCACACAATGTGCGGTCATTTGTCTCCAAAAAAATTTATTAGAAAAGCGCACGCTTTGATAGTAAATATTAGGTACCAGAAATAGAAATAATTTAAGAAAAATAAATATAAATTTTGCCCCAGAACAGATAACCGTTAGGTAGTCGTCTACCTAACGGTTATCTGTTCTGGGGCAAAATTTAGTTTATTTATTATCTAGTTCTGGAGTGGAGACCGCGTCTAGGCAAACGTAGTGAAGGACGTCCTCAGGCACGATGGAGTGACGATTTGGGCAAGGTGGCTCGCAGGAGCTGGATGCGAGTAGCCCTAGATCGAACTCAGTGGCGTGCAATTTGAGAGGCCTATTGGAGTGTACAGCAGTGGACTAAGTTAGGCTGTTGATGATGATAAAAAGAGAAAAAAAAGACGTTTTAAAAGAGAATACTAGGTCCATTTCTTTAAATCACGATGTAATTTAATCCAGAGTCGCAATGTATGAAATAAGTTTTCCTGTTCCTTAGTTAAGTAAGTAAGATCAAAAACAAAGAAATTTAGAAAAGCCAAAAAAACTGCGAAAAAACAAAAAACAAGTTGACAACAGGCATTGCAGTCGGAAAATCTCTTACATTAGAAATAGTTTCAGTGAACTGCCCCATGAATGCCATGTACCATGTTTAGTATCTGGCGGGTTTTATATTTTTTTTTTATAGAACAAATATACACTTTATATAGGTATTATGGAACTAGCCTATATTGTGGGTACAAATCGTGAGTATTCCGGAAACTTAAACAGTGGAAAAAAAAATACAGATCTCGTGCTCTGCAAACCTCGCTGTGTGCGTTGCTACGCCTCGTCACATGAATTCTATTTTTTCGGGGACGCCCGCGTATCTTTGTCGTGTCTGGTCCTGGTTTTGTACCTCGTGTACGTTACTCGAGGCAGTTGTAAGCGATCTATTTTGGCGGACGTAGAATTACGTGAAATTTTGTCCGCCGTCTGCGCAGGCTAATTAGCTTTTAAAGCAGTTTACACTACATTTGAATTAGGCACCTAATCATATACAAAAAGCCTAATGTTTAAAAGCGCACATTTTACTTAAAATCTCTTACTACTTTATCTATTTTAATTGATAGATGTTTAAAGCTAAAGAAAAATTTACTTTAAGAAAAATCCACGCGCTACAGGAAGCGTTGGATGGAGGATGGGACTCGAACCCGCACCCTCCACTATCTAGGCGGATGCACTGACCAAATTATGCTATCACGACTAGGGTAACCATTTAGGAATTTCAAAAGTCCTGACAGAAATCCTGACATTTCGAAAAAGTTCGGACTTTTTAGTCACGAAATGGTACCATTACTCACATAGTTACAATGGTTATGGTATTAAAATCAATGTGTACTTTTATTATTCATATTAAATGTAATTTAAAAAAATCCTGACAATTTAAAGATCCAGTCAAAGTCCGGACTATAGTCTAATAGTCCGGACATGTCCGGATTTTTTTTAACGGGGAGAATGCGTAGCACCGTCCCCGCCACTGGGCAAGTGAGCGGGGGTGTGTGGGACTCTCCCGACTAAAGAGATAGCCTTCCCGGCTACTCCACTAAACTCCCCGGAAACTTCGCCTCGCCATAATTGAGCGGGCGACGAGCATGTGCAGGGCGCCCGCACAGAAGTCTGGGCTCATCTCCGTGCCAGAGGCATGGGGCATCCGCGTTCCGACGGACACCCCACCGTCGCAGGGGTCTGTACAACGCGGGCTACTGGCGCCCAACCAATAGCCCGAGTCCGGATGGTAACCCTAGCCTAACCCTAACCACGGCCTCAATGACCGTGTGGAATTTCTAGTAAATGCAAAGCAGGCGCCATCTCTTCGCAATATACCCATCTTTCACTATTATTTTTACTTACAGTTTCTTTGAAACACTTTTTTTCCTAACACCATAAATACCAGAGCACATATTATTATAAAATGTTTACACTTCATTTATAAAGTAGATATAGAAAAAGACACAGAAAAATAAATATTGAAATCGACACGAATCTTTAATGAACCACAGTAATGGATAATGAATGTTCTTCTACATAAATCTATGACAATGAAATTGTTAAAAACGTCCGATTAACATAATTATATGTCAATTTTACTATTCCGTAACCCATTATCAGAAAGATATGAGTAAACATTACTTAATTACATAACACAATGATTTTTACCATCAAACAGACCGATTCAAAACCCGAGTTGTAACCATACTCGCTGCAAATAAACTGGGCCAACCGCCAGTACCTTGGAACTCTAATTCGATTTTGTCAAAAAGTACAGCTGTGTCTACAGAAAGTGTATTTCATAATTATTAATATGAGTAAAAATTTATTCTCAAGTCCTGTCAACTTACTTTGTAATCGAGCAAGGACAGCAACTCTAACAATTTGCTATTTTTTTAATAAAATCGCGATCATCGTTCTTTTTTATTTATAATATGAAGATAGTCTGATACTTCTTATCATTTCCTTAGTTTTTCTCTATAGTTTTCTCAGACGTGAGTATTTTTGCTTCGTTCGTTACTTCCGAATACCACAATTGGAAAACGATTCTTCTTTGGCTTTTTTTTTTAAATAAAAATTTAATTAATTGATTAGTCTCAATAAATTGTAGTTCATTTTAATCACTACGAAACGCACTTTCTGTATAGAATTTCGATACATTAGTATTTTTTATTATGCGTGTTGTTTAGATTTTTAAAGTGAAAACTTCTTTATCGGCGTTGTACACTTTTTTTGTAATGGGTACAAATTGTTAAACTCGCGTCAGGACACGTGGCCTGATCGCGTCACAGGACACGTGGCCTAATCGAAAATTCGTAATACGAAAACAATAAAATTGTAAAGGTTGTTGACATATCGTTGTTGTTGACTTTCAATACATTGGACGAAACATAGTAATATTTTATTTTATCGTATTATAATAATAAGTATCTATCTAGGACGTCCAGGTGGCAGCTTTATTGCGAAGAAAATGCATTTTAATACAATAGATGTCGCTAGGTGCGCTTATATGTGATTCATGTAAGTTGATGTTTGTGAGACATAAACTTTTTAATGTAGGTAATATAAATTGTCATGTTTGTGTACGATAGAGTAATATAAATATTGTATTCTACCACATAAATGATAGTACTTTTATACGATAATTAAAACAATTCGTGCAAAATTATTCCCTAACCATTCCAAAATATCAAAAATGCACAACGTTAATATTCAAGTTTTCACTTCTGCCGGCACTCCCGGAGTGCAACCCGTCCTTTTTTTCATCATGGGATACTATTAGCTAGGATACTATTAGCGAAATGAATTCCTGGCCTATCCATAAGGTTATTTTCTTACAACCATTGCAAAACAGTTAACTTAAATGTACGTATCACTGGAAACAAACTGGTTATTTTCTGAACAATCGTATTTTTACTCAACAGATTTTGCAGCCCCCTGTGACATAATAGACCCGATTCTGACATGACCTAAAATTAAATTTGTCATTAATATCATGCTCTATCTATACGAATAAAAGGTGAGACTGATGTCAAATTTAGTTTAAATCATGTCTAAGTTTTTGGACTTTTGCATATATTTAAAGACTTTATTATTAATGTACTGTCCATTAGTTTACTAACGTTATTATTACAAGATATTATTTACAAGAAGTCGAAAGAATTTCTGTTACATTTAAAAGTGATTTCGATATTCAAACTTCTATACCAATTTTATCTATAAGATTAATTTTATCTATTGCCTTGAATACAAAGGTCAAATTTCGAAGATCTTTAATCCAGATTAATACAGTTTCCTTTTTATTAGAAGGTAATGAAGTATAATTACGCATTCTCTATAAAATAAAACTTTTCTATTTTGTAATTTTTAAGTGAATTACTGGGCAAGCCAAAAATCAATTTGTTCGATAGTACTTACCAATTTAATAATCGAACTTAGTGTTTGAAGCGATGTTTGACTAAATCAACTGAAAAGATTCATTTTTAAATGTCTGTTTTCGTAATTTTTTTGACAGAAGTTTTTTGTTTTCATTAGTTTTGTCACAAAACGACCTCTTAATAGTTACAGTTAAGGCGTTTTTAATATTTATATATTTTACTCACACATTTTTATGAGTACGTAAATTCCTCCTGCCGCTATCGATATCAATACACATAATATAATAAAATATTTATACTTAATTTTTAAAAACATGACTTAATTTTTTTTTTAAGTAAATTTTAATCTAATCGCTAAAACGCACTACCTATTGTGCAATATATTCGTGCAACATAATCACTTAATGAAAGCATTCGCTTTCATATGTAAACTTGCAATCATCTTATCTTTTAATAGAGCAATTTACTATTTATTCCCTATCGTTTGTGATAACAAATGAATTAGTAAATATTACTTGTAAACATTACACCCTGATTAATACAAAGTAAAAGTCAAAGGTCACAGCTCATCAGAGCCACCCAGCACCGCCGCATCGCGCGACTTCCACTCGTGTTCGACGAGCAAACTCATCTTGTTTACTATCTTGAGATGATGTTTTGTATGAAAACAGTATCTCAAGATCGTAGTCTCAAAGTTGAAAGCGATCTATTATTTATTTATTTCATGTTCAAATAAGGACAACATGATCCAACCTGTCTTAGAAGATACTTATATTATGGTAGTACTTAATTTCCAAAAGTAACTTCATCCTCTGGATAAATTTCCACACAGGAGGACTATCAAATTTGCCAGCAATAATGCCACTCTCGCATAATCTGCCCAACAGCGATGCAGTCTTATTACTCCAAATCGCATCAAAACCATCTGTACGCGCCTCGACAAACATAGCAGAAGCGCTACAAAAAGGCGGAAGTCGCAACAGGGCCCTGAACGCCTTGTTATATTGGATCCGCAAAACATGTTAGCCCGCTGGGTATAATTGAACCACACACCCGCCGAGTAAAAAGATGTGCAAAACGCTTTGAAAAGTGTTAAAATGGGCCTTAAACTTTTGTTTTCACAATGTTTAATCTTACAAACCGTGAGTTGGCTGTAATAGCTGTCTGCTGTGATAAAGTCACCGATTTGTCCTCCCGCCGTTCGCGCGCGGACAGCTTGCGAGCGAAGCGATCTCGTGACGGTACGGAGTTGATATGTACCATAGAAATCTTTACAAATATTATATAGGTACAATTACGTAATGGGCTGCAGATGACAACCGCAGGTGACACTGCGGCTGGCCGTGCATTATATGCATTGTGCAGCCGCGGCATGTCGCCCCGCTCGGAATCAATTTCATAGAGATTCATAGAAACTAGTAGTGTCGCCTGCAGTCTGCAGGTGCAGCCTGGGTCTGTGGTTCAGTTCGGACTTATACCTTAAACCACACAAGTTGAAGTGGTGTCGCATGCCGGTCAGGTGCCGGGTTGGTTCTAATGAGCTGTGACCTTTATACCGCGCAGGTAAGTCCCTGCAGTTTCGGTTTCATTCCAAAGAGTTCTTTGATACTTGTTATGGTTCTTTTCTTTTATTTAGGACGAAATTAAAGTATGAGAATTATTAAGAGAGGGTTAGGCACAGGAGCGGTCGCAGCCTGAAATTTTGGAGGGGGTCACTCATTACACTAATAAAAAAAACCGGCCAAGAGCGAGTCGAACTCGCGCACCGAGGGTTCCGTACACACCTGAATTTTCAAAAATATTTTTTATTATATTATGATGTAACTAAAAAACTAAAATTCACGGTTTTCGCAATTACTACGTGCGTTACTTTGTACCAAATGTCAAGAATGACCTTAGATTTGGGGGGGGGGGTCATGTCCCCTGTGACCCCCCCCTTCGGACCGCGCCTGATTAGGCAACCTTACTGTTTTGGTTTTAAAGACCATCATTAGGTAATAGTTCATTCATTCCGAGTCGATGCACTCTAAACTGCTTAGTTGACCTACTAATTGTTATGAACAATATTTTACATTATGTGACAGTACAATAAAGGCATTCACTTCATATTGACGTCTTTTAATAATTATATCCCGAAGATCGGCCCGTGAAGTCATTGACATATTGACAGTCGTTAGGGTCCCAGTAAAGGCCCCGACAATTTTGTTTCTATATTATTGTTCAAAAAGTGGAAGCGTACAAACAGCAGGGGCGCCTTTTTACAATTAAATACAATATGTGGAATATTGTTTCTGTTCATATTAAGTTTACACATATTAACTGCTGAACTATAGAGCAATGTCTTTGACGTCGAGTAATGATAGCGCAGTGTTCTGTGATAGCGCAGGCCCAGTCATGTTATATGGGGCGCGTCAAAATCCAAATTGGGAAGAAATATTCAGGGTCACCTTAAAAATAGGAAAAAAAACTGCTTTTCTTTTGCAGTCCATCTAGGGCCGGGTTCCGAACCTAGGGGTAATTACATAGGTAGGTACAATATTACTGTTATGAAAAATGACTAATACCCATCAAATAACAAATTATCAGAAACACTATGTCCATGCATTACGATCATTTTTTATGTAGCCTGATTTGATTATTAATAATAAATTTGTTATTAATAAACATATTAAAATTTGCTTGTATTGTTTATTTGGATAACATTTTAAAGTCGGGGTAAAATCTATTATCCTAATAGGTTACTTGGGTAGCAGTATTGGAAAGGTTAGGAAACACTGATCTATGGGACTCAGGGGGGTCCGGATAACAAGGTCTCCCGCCGTAGATTTGCAAACCGATGGCGTAGCTTTAGACTTTCACGTGTAATTGTGACAGCCTAAACTGAATGAACGGATAGTGAATTGAATTTAATAGTATTAAATTATTTGGTCACCCATCCAATGACCGACCACAGCGAAAGTTGCTTAACTTCAACGATCGCAGCCGAATGCGCTAACCACCTGCGCCATCAAGCTATGTATATCACACTCAGGAACTAAGGATATGTACATAGTCAAACATAGTTGCATTCAATATAGCTAGGTTAAAAAATAAGACACATTTTGCATTGTCATATTTAATTTCAGCGAGTCGAACTACATGAATGAGTAGGTAGTCTGTCAGTTAGTTTTGCTTGAGAGCCATCTCGACGGTGACCACGGATCTAGCTTCCATCGGCACGACTGCCTTCTTCTGGCCCAGTTGTATGGTAACACTTCTTGGTCCACCACTGCAAAAGTTCACATTTATTATTAGGTAGTTATCAGGGGCGTTTTTACTCTTAGGGCCAAGAGGGCGAGGGCCATGGCCTAAGGTGGCAGGCTACGAGGGGCTTCAAACACAAAAAACCCTTGAGATATACGCCATAACAATGACACAACTTGTATAATACCGATTGTCCCTACCCCCATCACCTAAGGTCGCCGTCCGCTCGCAAGTCGCTTACTGAGCCTCCCTTATGTGTCTCACCCAGTGGGCTTAACCGCGCCGAAGGCGGTGAGTGAAGAAGGAAAGGACCGCCCACCCCATCCTGAAGATGTAATGCGAACCCGCTACTTCTGAAATGGGCTAATGCCCAGGGCAGACTCCCCGCACGCCGTGGTACCTACGGCGCCGACGACGCGCGATATGTCGAATGATTTAGGCGGCAAAATCCATACAATGGCATTCCTTACTGATCTATATTTTCATTTGTTATACTAATTCTAGGATTCTAAGGGCGGGGCGCCAGATATTGGTGTCGATTCTGGCGTGATTCTCTAAACTTAAAACTAAATTTATAATATTTCTGTCCTTTTCATTCTGTATAGAGAATGACAAGGCTACACTGTTGTCAAATTTAAGTTAAGGTTTAGAGAATCATACTAGAATCGACACCATTATGACGTGTGGTCGTATCGTATATCGTATTGTAGGTACTTAGGGAGGTTATGTTCGGGACTTTTTGGGGCTAATACTAGGATCGCTTCCTTCTTCTAAAATTGTCTTTCGATTAAAGCTAAATAAAGAGATAGTTTGCAGTATGAATAGATAATAAATATGAAAAGATGCAGCAGCGACGTGATCACGTGATCTAAAGTTTGAAACGAAGATCGTTAAAGTGAAGTCGTTCGATAAGACCACACAAACTGCAGTTCGCACTGCATGGAAAACAATTTCCACTCAACTCCTGAGACTGTCTTGGTAACATTTTTTATTATATTATCCTGGTAGGGAAGGGAAGCAAAAATCATATGAACAAGGAATTTATCAAAGTCGATACTTACTCATTGTACAGAATGACAACCACCGTATTTCGAGTAGTCAAAAATGCCACGTTATCCACTGGCGACGATCGAGGCGGTGTCCTTTGATTGACTTTAATTCGCTGTGAACCCCTCGGCAAGAACTTTGAGAAGTGCCCCAGAGCGTAGAACATTGGCTGCTTCACAAACTCCTTGTTCTCAGGGAACACTATGATCGGAGAATCCACGAAATTTTCCACCCAGTTCGGACCTCCTTGGGCGTTAAGGCAGAGGTTCCAATCTATCCAGCCAACCACGTTATAATTCAGATCCTAAAATGAAAAATACTTAACTCCGTCAAGACGCATGTTGCGTCATATATCTAGTATTATAATTATTTTTAATTCCTAACTAAGCAGCGCAAAGTATGGACGTAAAATAAGGTAAATATGACCACACATAGATAAATGATTGGTCTCGCTTCGTCGAGTGAAGCGAGACCAATCATTCATCTATGTGACCACATTTAAATTTCTATTAAAATGACCATAGTCCTTCTCCTTCTAAATTTTTGTTTTCTGACGTTCTCACGTCTGAAGACTCGGAAACAAAAATTTATGCTCATCACAAAAATAAATACCATTACTGGGACAATATTCCAACAGAGCTTTAGGAACACAATACAGCTGAAGGCAGGATAACTATGTACTGTTGTAACATCGAGTCATTTATCAATCCTACTAATTTAAAGTCAAATCTTTACAGAGAACAAAGTTTAAATGTATAGTTTCAGGCAAATAATAAATGTTATTTAATTGCGATATTGCGTTTCATCGTTTCAAAACGATTAATCTACTTACTTGCAAGATGTCAGTAATGTAACTTTTGGCTCTATCCCAAGATCCAAGTATAACTTTTTGAGTGTCAAAACCACCTGAAAAAAATAAGATTCCAATGGGATAAAGTCCTAAAGTTTCGCATCGGATGGGTTCATCCCATTAAGAAAAATGCTAGTCATTTTGCAAAGTGCCTTACCCACTTATCATAGGGATCAATTTATCCTACTAATATCATAAATGTGAAAGTGTATCTGTTTGTTACTCAATCCTACAAAAACGTTAGAACGGATTTGGACGAAATTTCAAACACACATAACGTATACTACTATACAGGGCGTCCCACGGCTACCTCACACGGAGGGAAAGTATATTAAATATTGAAGATAGGACATTTTACTGAAAGAAGACATCATTTTATTTTTAATAATAACTAGAATTGCATTCACAGATTTTTTAAAAATCGCCTGCTACAACTGGGAATCTAACTCGTAAAATTTCGAAAAAAAAATGAGTGCGTGTACTTATGTAGGCGCGTGAGAAGATATCCTTCTTTGGCATCGTTTAAAATTAGTTTATAATTGCATGCAAATAATTAATTACAATAAATTAATAAAAAGTCTGGAAAAGGACACAGTCAATAAAGTTCAGTTTTAATTTGAAAAAATAAATAAATAATCAAAATATTCAATTAAAATCGCTACTGAATATAATTTATTAGAACATATGTGATTTGCACTTGTATGAAACTCAAACACGTATTCCGAATATACAAACTAGAAACATGTGGATAAATATTATAAATATGAATACCTATAACTGTTACTTTATTACAAAAAATAAAGATGTGGTTTTTGGTTCTACTACACCAATGGTCAAGAGATGGCGCTGTAGTCTCCTGAATCGCGCTTTGGTTCCGTTGTTCCAGATTAATAAATACTTTTGATAGGCCTTCACAATGCAGTCGTTAGCACCCACAAAATAGAGATTCTATTTCTATTTTGTTGGTAGATTTTCTTAATGTGCGGTAAACACAAAAGTAACAGCATGAAGCGACCAACTTCATGCTGTTAATTTTTGTGTTACAGTGATGCGCTCGCATCTTAAAATTTCACTCTCATCATTTTTCATAACGCGCCTAAAGAAGTATAACTTCAAAAATAACACGGCATATTTTATGATAACCATCTAAAGGGTTAATCATAAGTATTATTTTTTGCTAAATAACATAGCATTTTAAATGAAAGGAATGTGAATTACGTGATAAAAATAATAAAGTGTTATACAAACTGTAGTACGTATGCATTTCTTTTTGAACTCACAGTAACAATACGACTGGCAGAAATTTGTAATAATAATAATTCGAAAATGGAACACATAAATTTCAAGTGTCTGTTCTCTTGTTTTTTGTGAGTTTCATTTTCATTTATTTGCATTTTTTGTTAATTTACTGTGTTCCATTTTCTGATTATTATTACAAAGGACAATGTTCAAATTGGCCTAAGAACCAACAGCAATTTGGCATTTATGATAATTCTTAGTATATTTTTTGCGATAATTATCAGTATTTAGATTGTGACGGACACTTCCAGTTAAGTAGGCTAAATTAAAAAGTTAAAAATAATCTGAGACTTAATGTCTCAGATATACCGTCATTTTATGTGTATAATCCATGACAGCACTGCAAACAAAACACTCTTTCTTCGTAATGCCGGCACTTCATACGGCTATTACGAATAGCCAAGTAAGTGTCGGCATATTGCTATTTTAAAGCCAGTCTGTCCTTTTCATTCCTTAATAAGCATGACAAGGACAAACTGTTGTCAAGTAAAGGGCTGGCATAAAACTCGATACTCTGTGGTTGTTGTGCAGGCAGTTAGCAACTTTATATTAGTAGTAATGTGTGGCATTTGTGCATTCCAAAGAGTAGTATAGTAAACCGGAAAGTGCATTCTCCACGCTGCATATTTACACAATAAACATGTGATATACAAATAAATACAATATGATACAAATATGTGAAAAATAATCATTAAATAAGAAGCAAAACTACAGTTTTTATTTTATTCATGATTCCTACCTAACCAAGTTTTTCCGAATTCTTTAAAATCGCACCGAATAAAATGAATTAGTTGTAATATTAATTCACTTCATACTGAGTTCATACTAAGTTAATAGGTTGACCTATGTTTCATTGAATATTAAACATAACCTCAAAAAAATTTAAGTTTTCCTTATAATTTAAGTTCTCAGAAGTGTCCGTAATTAATCTTTGTTTTTACAGTCATTTACTTGCTATTTCGAACCTAGAAAATAATATTTCATGATTGTTGGTTCTTAGGCTAACTTATAGACGCAGAACAATGTCCTTTCAGTCAATCGCATTGTAACTGAATTCAAAAAGAAATGCATACGTACTACAATTTGTATATCACTTTATTATTTTTATCACGTTATAAGACATTCCTTTCATTTAATATGCTAAGTTATTTAGCAAAACATAATCCTTATGATTAACCCTTTCGATGGTTATCATTAAATACGTCGTTTTTTTTCGAAATTTCACGAGTTTGATTCCCAGTTGTAACAGGCGATTTTAAAAAAATCTGTGAATGCAGTTCTAGTTATTATTAAAAATAAAATGATGTCTTCTTTCAGTAAAATATCCTATCTTCAATATTTATATGTACTTGTAAAGGTATTCATTTGACATTATGGGTTGCCTACAATGCGAGAAGATGGCATTGCCATGAAATGAATTGCATGAAAAAATACTTAAGAAAATTCGACACGGTCAATTAGGCCTACGGTAGCATAATGGTTAGTGCATCCGGCCGGATAGCGGAGGGTGCGGGTTCGAGTCCCGTCCGTTGCCTGCGGGTCAATTATGCTTCAGTAATAAAATTCTAATGTGATGTCAATATGATGTTGATGCCAAGTTGACATTGTTTTTAGATGGTATTATGAAACATTCCTATGTCACATCAAGATCATATCAATATTATATCCTGTATCACATTTTTGACGTTTAAGCGATACTATTTTAAGTCAAAAAGTTGAATGTAATACGCATTTAAGTTGATATCATTTTATAGAGTTGATCATCATCATAGCATAAGTTGATGTCATTTTGATATCGCATTTTTCGGAGAGCATAATACGTAATGTGAAATAGACATCAAAACAATATCACAAATAGCGAGCATAATTGGCCTGCTGGGGTCGTGTGGATTTTTTTCTAGTAAAATTTTCTTTAGATTTAAAAAGGTTCTTATTTTAATTACTTAGTATATTATGCAGAGATAGCTGAGGCTTACCTTCGCAGGCTTCCGTTGATATCAAAAATTTATCCGGATATATATCAGTGACAAGGGACAACACCTCTGGAGGGATAACTTTATCCAAATAGAAGTGAACTGCTATGCCATCAATGTACTGGAGCGCATCTGGTATTATATTAACCATCTGCGGAGTACCAATCCAATTAAAAATATATTTGAGGCCGGGACTCCACCAAAGCGGAGACGAGATGAGCGGAGAGGAGATGTTTTTTAAACAACCAATAGAATTGTGTTATTGACACATCTCCTCTCCGCTCAGCTTCAGTGGAGATCGCTATGCGGAGATGTGTAATATTTGTATGGCGCGATGGAAGCGGAGATGTGAGCTGTGCGCGGACGACGCGCAGTGGAGACGAGAGATGTGAGCGGCGTGCAATGAAAGGTGTCACCCTCCCCCCTCTCGCCCGAGAACAACCCACAGAGCCCCGCTGAGCACTCAACACCTCACACCCGAACTGAAAAAAATCTCTTCTCGCATAGAACACAGCACACCGCACACATCTCCGCTTTGGTGGAGTCCCTCGAGCTGAAAAACATCTCTTCTCGCACAGCACACCGCACACATCTCTGCTTTGGTGGAGTCCCAGCCAGAAACTAAAGTCATGCATGATCTTTAGTACGCTAGAACAATATTGCTAACATCTTCTACGATGCAGATGACAAGCTTCTTTTTTATTTAAAAAAAAGTCTTTGCTGTCCAAAGAAACATACGATCTGCCTGGTGGTTAACTGCCACCTAGGCATAACACGCTTGCAAATGACGACAAAAAGACGAAGAATTGAGTAGGTTCCACCTGGTTCCTTTTTTTTAATAGTTAGGTCGTAGGTAAGTAATTAACAGAGACCAGAATAGCTTACACCTTAGCTGTAACTTTGTTTACAATACCTGGCCACTCAGAAAGTTTTGCGAAAAAAGTTTTTATTTATTAGACTGACCACTTGAAATTATTTTGATAACTTCGATTATTTAAAAGTAAAAATACCACTGTTCGGTTTTCAAATTTCCCTCCGCATTTTTCCGAGAGATAATTAAATTTTTCTTTCTTAAAAAAAATGGAACTGCATCGAGAACATTTTCGTGTTATGATTTTTTACGATTTTAAAATGTGGCTTAAAACCTGATGAGTCATTTGATCGATTTCGAAGTGCTTTTATAGATGGAGGACCTTGAAAAGTAACCATCTACCGCTGGTGTAGCGAGTTCAATGCGGTCGTCTTACTTTGGGGATGAACATAAGGAGTGGTGGCTGTCACCGAAGAAAGTGTGCTGGCAGTAAAAAAAATATTCAAGAAATCAGTCGAGTTATGTACGAAGAGATTCAGCATACTCTGTGGATTGGTTCAGGAAGTGTTTACAAGATTTTGCACGAGCACCTTTGCGTAAGGAGGATTGTTTCCCGCTAGGTGCCGTACAACTTTACCGAAGCTCAGAAGCAGGTGGATTGGTGCAGTGATATGATACAAAAATTTGATGCAGGCTCGGCACGGCGCGTTTACTATATTGTGACAGGTGACGAATCCTGGATTTATCAATACGATCTCGAAACAAAGCGTCAGTCGACAGTTTGGCTGTTTCAAAATGAACCAACGCCTACGAAAGTGAAGCGATCGAGGAGCGCAGGAAAAGTTTTGTTCGCTAGTTTCTTCACTATGACCTAATTCAATTCCACTTCGAGTCCAAAGTAGCATCAACGCCGAATGGTATAGAACGAAGGACTTCCTGAACTCCATAACAGTCAGAGTCTTGGGACACCCTCCATATAGTCCTGATTTGTCTCCGTGTGACTTGTTTTTATTCCCTAAAATAAAAAATCAGCTCAAAGGGATACAGTTTTCATCACCGGAAGAAGCGCTAGCAGCGTTTGAGAAGGCCGTGAAAGAGGTGTCTGCCGAGGACTGGCAAAATGATTTGAAATTGGTTCAGACACATAAAACTTTGTATAGAGGCTGGTGGAGAGTTTTTTGAAATGATTTAATAAAAATATTGTTTTCGTAGAAGTTAGTTTTTTAGTTTCTCAAAACTTTCTGAGTGTCTCGTGTATATCTCGGAATTTATCCCTCTCTGATCTTTTTCTCCTGCACTCCAACTAACTAATTCTCATTAAAGGTGTACAAAATGTACATTTTTTGGTCCTTGGAGCCGGATATGAACTAGCAACATATGGATGGGCCCTCCTCGACCAGGGCTCGCATGTGAATCCGGCTCGATGGCCCAAAAAATGTATAGTTTGTACACCTTTAATGAGAATTAGTAAGTTGGAATGCAATTAAAAACGCGAACCAATTAACACACACTACACTTGGTACACTTGAACTGTAACTTTGTTTACAATATATCTCGGAATATATGTCTCTCTGATATTTCTCTTCTGCACTCCAACTTACTAATCTCACTAAAGGTGTACAAACTGTACAATCGCTCACCGCTTATGTTCGGGCGAGTCCTATGTTTATATACCACATCATAATAACACGTGGATAAAGACATAACCACGTGGATAAAGACAAAACAATAAACTTACCAAAGTAAACCACCACGGTATAGTGACCCTATTATCATCATTCGCCAAAATTTTTAAATCAGAGTACTGAGAGCTCCTGACGGTTGGACCCAAGTTTTCCGCTATCCATTTGCCCTAAACAATTAGAAGGTTTTTTTATTTCCGTATTATAATAGAGTTGATTATATCAACTTTATTACTATAATAATTATATCAATCCATTATAAATACAAAGAGCAAACTATTCTATAATTGAATAGTTCAATTACATGTCAGAGTGGTCGTATGTCAAAAGAAGGTAGCGTTGTTAAGGACCAAATGAACGTGTTACCTATGCTTATCCTTTATCTAAGTAACGAAGCTTCGGATAGGCTTTGCTACTAATGCCACATCAGTAGTATAAGTCGCGGCACGAAACTCTATCGCTGACCGTTATTGCACAGAAGTAAGAAGTGCGTTGCGCCGATTGGCTCTGAGCTCCAGTACCCATGCGCTGCTATCACCTCCGCGTTTTTTTCAGCGCTAGAGTTCATCATCAGCCTATTAATGTCCCCACTGCTGGGGCACAGGCCTTCCCTATGGATGGAATAGGGAGATTGGGCCATGACCCACCACGTGGGCCCAGTGCGGATTGGCGGGTGCTAACGACTGCAGATGCAACCGGGACCAACGGCTTAACGTGCCTTCCGAAGCACGGAGGAGACTCGAGATAGAAGATTTTTGGTCACCCATCCAATGACCGACCACTGCGAAAGTTGCTTAGCTTCAACGATCGCAGCCCAACGCGCTTACCTCTTGCGCCATCGAGCTCCTTAGAGCGCTAGAGTTAGAAATAACGAAATGAAATCGTAAGCGATAACGATAGCCATATCAATCCGGCAGGCAATTGACCCCCAGGTTCTACTGACTGGGGTATTCGCTATTATGATCGGTCAACCTTTTCTTTGTAACTTTTGAAATGCTTAGGGGTTGTATTCACCTACTTGGAGTTGGAATTGACGACGTCGCCTCGGTGGCCACGTGGTAGGTATATTCGCCGGGTTTCGTGACGTCGTCTACTCAGAGGTCCTGGGTTCGAATCCCGGTGAGGGCAAATAATAATACGATGAACATGTAGAAAGGAAGGGAAGATCTTCCTCCGAGTTGGATGATGATAGCTCGGGGACCGCGGCCAGACTGATGTTGGTCGGGCATCGTATATATGGAGTGTTTGGCTCTGAATTTCTCTTGCGCGATGTAGGCTTCCATACGTTGTGAACGCAGCGCCGGTAGGGCCATCTCTTGAGGAGACGAGTGACTATTTTCTCCATGTTGATTATATGTGGGGCATGTAGATGTCGCCACCACAAACACGAGCATTTGGTCCTTAGTCATGGATATTTAAATATAAGTATATTTCTAGAATTCTAGATAAAATGTGCTTATATGCATGAGTATATGTATTCTATCCGTTACCCTAGAATCCCATAATACAAGCCTTACAGTGTTTACTAGGCTAATTGGTGTGAGTGTGCGAAATATTTATTATCGTATTATTATTTTTAAAGGATCCGATACATCAGAAATAAAGAAAAAAGGTAAAAAATAGCCTTTAAACTCTTCTTCAATGTATGGTGGATGAAAACGTAAGAAAAAAAATTACCAATTTTGCTTATATACCTGCTTAAAAGGCGACCAGCCGAGACTGTTGAATTGCACATAACCTATCATGCCATTAGACGGTTCATTCGTTGTGCTGATACCCCAAATCGGTATACCGTTGGCTTTGTACTCCTCTATGAATCTAAACAATAACGACACAAATACATCAGAAGTTTGTAAAGCTAGGGAAAAGTTCGTTCGCGGTTTTTTTCCCCCATAGATTAACTAAGAAAGAAAGCTATTAGCACTAAGTCCGCCTTTTGTACTTTTCTCTTGTATTTTGGTCAATAAAGTTTAAAATAAATAAATAAACAAAAACTTTTGCAATAAAATTTATATCTTTCGAACAAGCAAGCTCATTTGAACCGGTATTTGTGCCTTTTATTTTTTCATTTTTTTCATTCATCATCAGCCTATTAATGTCCCCACTGCTGGGGCACAGGCTTTCCCTATGGATGGAATAGAGAGATTGGGCCATGACCCACCACGCGGGCCCAGTGCGGATCACCAATCCGACGTCCGTGCTAACGACTGCAGATGCAGCCGGGACCAGCTCGAGATAGTAAATTTTTGGTCACCCCCATCCAATGACCGACCACTGCGCAAGTTGCTTAACTTCAACGATCGCAGCGGAACGCGCTAACCACTTGCGCCATCGAGCTCCTCAAGCGAGCATTTTATTACATCTTTTATCTTTTAATTTCTCTTGATGTTTCGGACCATTAACAGGTTTTGTGGTTGCAAAATGAAGCCTGTAAAGCAAGGTGAAGTCTATACAAGGGGTCCGCAATCTTAAGAGATTTTAAAGAAATGTAACTGATAAAAAAAACTCGTTTATACCGGTTTAAATAGGTTTTATTAAACGATTGGGGTAGGTACATACAAATGAATACAAATACAAATTCTTTATTTGATACAATAGTTTACTATACTGTATTGCGATTGGGAATTTCTTTTAAGTAAATATATATTTATACTAGCTGTCCCAGCGATATTCGTACCGCCATAAAAAAATAGGGGTTGATGGTAGAAGGGTGAAAATTTAGGGTTGCATGTATTTTTGTATGATGTATCATAAAATTATAAAAACAAAAAATTTTGTCCATAAAGGAACAAAAATTAAGGGTAATTACTCTTAACATTTAGGGGATGAAAAATAGATGTTGTCCGATTCGCAGACCTACTGAATATGCATATAAAATTTCAAGAAAATTGGTCGAGCCGTTTCAGAGTTGTTCTATTACGCACACCATTACACGAGAATTTTATATATTAGACTAGCTGACTCGGCGAACTTCGTACCGCCCAAAAGTAATAATTTGCAATAAATTAAAATTGCGACTATAATTTGAGATTTAAACTATCCTATCTCTCAAGTTGGATCGAACTGCACATGGTGTGCGAATTTTATTATAATCGGTTCAGTGGTTTAGGAGTCCATTGAGGACAAACATTGTGACACGAGATTTATATATATTAAGATTATAAATTCCCGCTCAAATTGAGAATGACTGATATGAAACTTAAAGAAAAAACAAAGAGGTAGGACCTAAACCAACATGAAAAAAATCTTACCTGATATGGTAGTCAGCATATGTCTGGTAGTACTCTGGTTTGAGTTCATTCTCTTGACCCCACATCTCGTCAGTTTTCATCCAGAGGGGTGGTGACCAAGTGGTGGCTAATATATGCACAGGATTCACGGCAGTCTGCAGTATTGACTTGATCATCGGGATCTGAAAACGTACGCTTCTGGTTAGTTACGAAAGTCGAGTTATGAAAAGAAATGAAATAAACTTCTTTAAATTATTGACTTTATTGACCTCACTTCTGAGAACAAGCACAAGAAAGTGGTTCAATGGATATGAAACATAGGCGCGAAAATAATTCTGCAGTGTGTGAACATGCATTAGGGGGACCAAACCATTACATTAGATTTGATAAACCAAAGATCCTTACAGCTGATCGGCGGTTCGTTCCTCGAATGATGCGCGAGGCTATTGAAATTAAAAAATATCCAAATTTCAATAGGGAAGATGGTTGGTATATACCACCAGCTTGGGAACCTATTATACAGGAGATAAAATCCCAACCCCGAGCACACACTGCAAGACCATCAGATACTATTAGTTCTTTTTGTTTGCATAATTTAACATAAGAAGGAGATAAAAAGCCTCTTTTGAGTTTGTTTCGCCGGTTCTTCTCAGAAAGATCTCCCAATTTTGGAACCGGTGGTAGTTTACGGTAGTTAGGGTCAAATAAATAAACTCAAAATTACAAAAAAGAATTTTAAATAAAATACTTTAACAATTAAATTAAATAATAAATTCATACATAGACAATAAAACTTTAAAAATCGAACAATGAAATAACCGAACGCTCAATAAAAGTCTTTCGAAGGTAGCTCGACAAATTAAATAAAAGTTTTATTCTGACGACGAAGTCTGTAAAGGCTACGTTTGCATCACAAATTAATACAATTAATACATGTTCACTGCAGACATAAATGATTATAAGTTAAACTTAAATATTAAGTCTAAACTACAGTCATTAGTAAGTGACAGTGATGCAAATAGGCAGAAGCTCAGCAGAGTTTTTGCTTTAATAGGCAAAATGCTGATTTTCAGCAACTGCCCATAGGAAGCGCGAGGATGTAGGTACCTACGCTAAAAGCTGGCATTGTACTGCCCTAGTCCCACATAGAAATACGAACATTATGTTATACGCGCTTCTTCAGAAGCACGTAGAAGATCGAGATGAGATCGAGCTTCTGATACACTATGCTGAAGTGATATTATATGGATAGAAAAATTAAAATCCCTAATAATTATACTCTTCCTATGTTACCCAGTTTCATAAAAGATAACGTTATCTGAAAAACTATGCCCCCGTAGCGTGAGCACTACTATTTACATTATCGAGAGGAAGAGGAGATCGTAGAGTACCTGCGAGTGAAGACGAAGTTCTCCCTGCGGGTGGCACGATTGGAGTCCCGTCACAATGTGAATTTTAATTCATTTGTGGTGAGGGTGCCGACCGAACATCTAGTGACTTTTACGAAAGAAGAAATTTGTCCGAAAGGTGTTGTGTTTCGGCGATTCACGTCGCTGGCTATACGTGTTAATTAGGTGTTTACTAACATAGTTACTAATTTTATTTACTAACATTAATGTTTTATATCTGTATATATGTTAGACGATAAGGTATTTATCTATGGGCCCATGTAGCCTGATCATAAATAAATAAAAAATAAAATAAATTATATCACGTTTTTATCGCGTCTAACTGTCAAACTCCATAGTAATTAGACAATTGAGTGTGATAAAAACGCGATATATATCATATCACGGTGCTCATTCTAGGGGGGCTGGTGTGGCTATGGTGGCCGCTTACCGTCAGGCGGGCTATATGCATGTAAACCACCCTTCTTCTTCTTCTAAAAAATCTTTTGAGCCTGGAGATGAAATTGTATACAAGAAATATTCGTCAAATAACAATTTTAAATGGACAATTCTAAGGAAAATTGGAAAAGTAATAATTTTAGACCATGAATCGTCTTCACTTGCAAGAAAAACAAAAATCAAATAATATTGTTTAAAAAGCAGCACCTGTACGGCAAACAGTGATTAGCCACGAGAATGCCCCTGGACAAAAACCGTACCCCGTACTGGGAGACGTACTTAGCACTCCGCCCCTCCGCCCTCGAGGAATCCTCTAAGATTGTTACGCAATATACCTATAGTAAATTATACGACATTTTTTTTATTTCAAATATTGTTATATCTATTTAGATTCATAAGTAAACATACTTAATTAGATAGATTCTTAGTTTTGTTAATTTTGTTACAGATGAACATTCAAAGTTTCACTTGTTTATTTACCTATGTTTAAATTAATTTTCATTTGAGAGGACATTTTTATTGTTATGTATACAAATGTGTGCCTAGGTAGGTGTGTGTGAGCTGCGTCACTCACTCCCGCCCGTTTCTAAGAAATCAGTCTGCTCTGCTCATAACTTTAATCTGCTCAAAGCCTTTGCTTCACTCGCCTCTTTGCCTGCGTATGTAATATAAATAGTTTGTCGTAATCATGTTCAAGCAATTTTATCCATTTCTGCAATATTTTTATTCGAAACAGAGCATGTGGAGAGTTATTCATTATTTTAAAAAGAAAGCTGAAGTGTAGTAGCACTAATCTCAAATTTTAAGAATCTGTAGCAAAATCGCCTAGTGCATGAATGAACGTATGTGTTATGAATTAATAAAGTCAGGTAGTTATAAAACCGTTCATACCTTGTATTGATAATCCTCATACGCTAGAGAGAAGTTGCTGAGAGTCAGGTCGTCGCTCGGTTGCTCGTTGTAGGCGTAAGGGTGGGTGGAGAAGTCGCACCCCCCGATGGGCACGCGCAACATGTTATACTCCAACCCCGAAATGCTAAAGTACGAGCTGAGGAAAAATAACGAAATACTGTTTTAGGCACTACGTTTTGTATATCACAACTTTCATAAGGCCTGGAATAAATTCACATGGATTATAGGTACCCCGACGTTACCTTATATGTGATCTGAAATTCTGAAGCTTTCAGTTTTCTTACATATTTTTAAGAATTTAGAATGTTTTTTTTTTCTGGAAATGCACCATCAGGGGTTGCTGGTTCATGAGAGTCTGCTGCATTGCTCATTTCGCGTTAGCATTCAATAAAAATGTGACCTCTTGTCTAAGGCGTCTGATAAATGAGATCACTTCCTCTCTTAAGCGACCTCCGTGGTCGAGTGGTTTGTACCCCGGGTTTCATGGTGTCCCCGTCTCGAGAGGTCCCAGGTTCGAATCCCGGTGGGGGTAGATGTTTGTGTGATGAATACGAGCATTTTTACTCCAGTCATGGATGTTTAATATGTATTTCTGTTGGAATGTTTCCCAACACTAAATATTGTGCACAGCACTAGTTGACCAGCAGCGTCTCTCGCTGACTCTCTCTCTCCATTACCGGCCACCGTATTGTACGGACGTGCTTCCTATTATATCTAATTTAACTACTTCTGAGTAAGTCCTAGCCATAATACCAAGTTTTTCAGTGTCTGTACTTACAGTGTATTTACTTTTGTGTCTGTATGTGCATAAATATACCTTGACCGATGAACCAGTGTTTGTGTTACCATTCAACCTAACTACAGTCCGCTACCAACCGAACAATTTCTATAAAAATATATGTACTGTACATGTATTCTATCCGTTACCCTAGTATCCCATAACACCAAGCCTTACAGTGCTTACTTTGGGGCTAGGCTAATTGGTGTGTGTTGGAAATATTTATTTATGTATCTCTTCTCTAAACCTCTAAACCTAAACTTAAATTTGACAGCAGTGTATCCTTGTCTTTCTGTATACAGAATGAAAAGGAGAGGCTGGTGTTAAATTTTGTTTTAAATTTAGAGAATCATGCCAGAATCGACACCAATATCTTGATGGACAAAATAAAAATAATATATGACCTTGAGCTGATATCAACACAATACTAAATCAAAACTACTTACTTGATAAGTGCTTGCCTAAGACTGGGTTCAGTGAGGTTCAGCCAATTGATGGAGGCGGAATCGGTAACAGCACCTCCGAAGCCTTCCACTTTCTGATACTTGTGGCTAAGATCTAATACCAATATCTCAGAGTTGATTTCTGCAAATAAGATATGAATATTATCGAGAATTACAGAAGTAATAGTATTTAATGAATATGGCTCCCTCCAGATTACTCACAAAAGAACAAAATGAAATAAAACTGTTTTTTAATGTCTGGGAAATGAATGGCGCATCCGTCGCCAACGGGGTACCTCGACGAAGGTATCTGCGGACTCCTCCCCACTCACTTCATCCAGCTAAGGGGCTGAATGGATTGTATTAGCTTACATAACGTGGCTTTAATAATTGAATAAAACCCGATATTTTTATAGTATCAATTTACTATAGGTAATACATACATGACAATTCGACAGCAGATGACATATTATATGGCAGCTAAAAAGAATGAATTAAGAAAATATACATAGCATGGTAGTAAAAAGGTCTGACAATATTTAGAGGGCCGCAACATCTTCCCGCCTCGTTGAAAGAGCCATCTTTCAACACTCTAATTCTTCTACTGTAGGTAGTGGGCAGAGTCGGACTAAGGGTCGTCGCACACAACCTCTCGTAGTGTTTATATCCGCTACTCTGGACACACCATCAGCTCCAGGGAATAATCTTGTTACTCGACCCAGCATAGCGGTGGAACGTGGTCTTCCTGCAGTAGAACTAAGTCGCCGACATTTAATTGAGCGGTGTTGCTTCTCCATTTCGTTCGTCGCTGCAACTCAGCTATGTATTCTTTCTGCCAACGCTGCCAGAAGTGTTGGCGAATTTTCTCAACTCGGGCATATCTTTGCAATGTACTCTCCCTGTGATTCTCCAGTGCAGGGGTTGGCAATGACGTCAATGCTCTTCCGATAAGAAAGTGCCCCGGGGAAAGGGAGAGGAACTCGTTTGGTGAAGGTGATAGAGGGTATAAAGGACGACTGTTTAAAATCGCCTCAACTTGCGTAAATAACGTTGTCAACTCCTCAAAAGTTAGATTACTGTTGCCTATAACACGTCTTAAGTGGTATTTCGCAGACTTAATACCGGCTTCAAAAATACCACCGAAGTGAGGAGCGTACGCAGGGCTAAAGAAGAACCGAATTCCGTTACGATTCACAAAATCAGATATGGGTTCATTATTTTGTTTTAAAAAATCGCCTAATTCTTTAGCGGCTGCAACGAAATTTCGTCCATTGTCGCAGAATATTTCCTCCGGCTTGCCTCTGCGGGATACGAAACGACGTAATGACATTATGAAAGCGTCTTTAGTCAAGTCACTAACACATTCTAAATGTACGCATTTATATCTTAAGCATACATATAAGCACATATAGCACTTAATTAGTTTACCACCTCGACCTTTTTTACTCAAAACATGAAATGGACCAGCGAAATCAAGGCCAGTGGACATGAAAGGGAATCCTGCCTCTATTCTCTGTGTAGGTAAATTGCCCATTTTTGGGCAAAGCGTCTTACCTCGATGACGTCGACAACAAACGCATCGATTGACAGTGTGCCTCGCTAATAATCGCCATTAATTGGCCAAACTGTTTCTCTAACCGTGGCTAACAATAGTTGGGGGCCAGCGTGCATTATACGCACGTGCTCACGCTCAAAAATAAGCCTAATCAGATGATGCTTCGCATGTAACAAAATGGGGTGTTTTTTCTCGAAAGGATAGTTAGATGCCTCAAGGCGACCGCCAACCCTAATTAGCTTATCATTATCTAAAAATAGGGAAAGCGCCATTAATTTGCACCTTGGACTTAATTCCTTGCCTTTCAATAATGTGCAGTACTCATCAGGAAACGATTCTCCTTGCGCGAGTAAACAAAGCGCATTGAACGACTCAGCTAACTCATCGCAGGTAAGTATGCCTTTTCTTTTATTAGTGTTGTTTTTTATGTTAAATATGAATCGCTTAACGAATGCGAATATTCTGTCTAGTTTTGTAAGATTAGAATAATTTTCAAACGTTATAATTGATTGCTTTATAACTACAGTATAAGTTTTTATTGTTTCAGGTAACTCATCGGGGAGCGCACTCTTCAACAACGGCCAGCGAGACTTGTGATCCAACAAGAAACGAGGACCAGACGACCACAGCTCCAGAGACACCAAGCGGCTAGCGTCGACGCCGCGTGATATCAAATCTGCGGGATTCTCGGCAGTGGGAACGTATCTCCAATCAGCTGACTTTGTTAACTCTAGTATTTCGCTAATCCGATTTGCTACATACGATTTTAACTTTTTATTATTGATATTAGCCACCCAAGCCAGTACTATACTCGAATCGCTCCAATGCACTATGCGGTCCGGCTGGTACCTAAGTGACTCTAAAACTGCCTTGCACAGCCTGGCGGATAGCAAAGCGGCACCGAGCTCGAGTCGAGGCACAGTGGTGGGCTTAAGCGGCGCGACCTTGGACTTGGCGCATAGCAACTTAACTGTAACTTCATCGTTTTCATTAACAGATTTTATGTACACACAAGCTCCAAGGGCGCTCCGCGAGGCATCGCTGAAGGTATGCATTTCAACATACTTAGGCGCGTCGCAAAGCACACGCCTATTAAGTCTTAAGTCTTCAATAAAACTTAAATTTTTAGCATAATTAAACCAATCTTGTTTGTTTTCCTGCGTAACGGCTTGATCCCAGTCTATTTTTTGTAGCCATAGCTTTTGCAGCAACATTTTAGGCTGTATTGTACACGGACATAGGAGCCCTAAAGGATCAAAAATTTTAAATGCATTAGACATAATAAATCGTTTTGTTATTTTGTCATTTTCATTGGGAATGTATTTTACCGGAAATGTCAGTAAATCGTCAGACGGACTCCACCCCAGTCCGAGCGTGCTCGACGACTCACTTAACGTCAAATTTTCTTGCGTATTTATTTCAGAGTTTTCAAATAAAGTGGGCATATTACTTTTGTATTTACGCAAATTAAAACAACGCGACTTTAATTCTTTAGCAACTGTTATTAATATGTAACGCAGCTTCGGGCATATGGCCTAACCGAATGTATTCATTCATGAATTTTACGTATTCAGTTTTAAGAGCTGCATTACGTTTAAATTGTTTCTCCAAACTTAGCAACCGTTTTTTGGTTGCGTAATAAGAATCTCCAAGTTTGTCCGGAGTGTCATTTAGCGGGAGCTTAACATAATACCTACCCGTTTCGAGTAGAATAGTGTTAGCTAAAAATGATTCTCACAAGCCTTTTCCTTTTGATTGATGACATTTGATTTATCAGGAACGTCTAGGTCCCAGAACTTAGGCAACAATTTGTGCACTTCATTTTCTTGCGAATTAGTGATTTGTGTGTGATTACACTTAATTGATTTATTTTGATAGTGATTAGTATCATTTATAGGACCAGATACCAAGCAGCCGAGCACCGAATTACGCAATCTTGGATTGTTTCGACCAAGGGACTGTTGTTCACTTCCGATGATGACCCAAAACAGATCTGCTCCGATCAACATATCGATGGGAGCCGATTGGTTGAAGTTTGGATCGGCGAGTTTAATGTTTGTAGGCAATTTCAAGCCTTCGACGTTTATTTTCGTTTTAGGTATGTCGCTTGTTAGCTCATCTAACGTTAAGCATGACAAAATAACTTTGAATTCACTGTTCAGTGAATTTATTTGGACATTACAGCGTTCCGCAACGTTTTTTGCACGGCTGTTTCCAATGCCTATCACCTTTAGGAAATCAATAGGCTGCACTTTAAGACACAACTTTTGTTGCAATGCCTTCGTAATGAAAGTAACTTCACTCCCGCTGTCCAGCAATGCTCTAACCGTGTGAGCTTCTTTGCTTACAGGGTTGGACACTTTTATGAGCGCGGTGGACAGAAGTACTGAGCTGTTTGAATGACTAAAGTTAACCACCGCTGATTGGCTTAGCACTGCCGCGTTGTTTACATCGCATGGCGCAGGCTCGTGGAGCAGGCTATTGTGCCTTTTATTACACTCGCGACAAGGACCACCACGACAATCGTTCGCGCGGTGGCCTTGTTTTAGACAGTTTCCACATAACTTGTACATAGCCACTTCGGCTAGTCTTTCCTGAATCGATTTTGCAATGAATTTTGGACATTCATGAACTTTATGATTTTCGTTGCAAATTATGCAGACGCACACAGGCGACTTATTTTGACCTCTAAATGAGACCAACTTCGTTTGATGAGTCGTACTAGGAAACGATTTTATAAACGAAGATTGTTCTCGTTTATTATTAAAACGTTGAGGTGTCGAAGTTGAAGCTCGCTGTACTGGGTTAGAACGAGGTGATGAAGGTACGAGTTTAGAAATCTCACTATCATATTTATTCCGATTTAATGCCTCGAGGACATCCGCACGATCAATCAGAATTTTTTTAAATTGTTCAAACGTCGGAACGTCATCGAGTGTATTACGGTACTCCTCCCACTTCATCAATGTGCGACTATCTAATTTAGGGCACAACATAAATATTAGCAGCAAGTCCCATTGATCAGTCGGCTGGCCTAAGCTGGCCAAAGCACGTAAATTTTTTGTGACGTGATCAACCAAATACCGTAACGATTTTTCGGACTCGCGAGCATGCAGGTTAAAATTTAGCAAGGAGCTAAGATGATGATTGAGGAGCATCCTTTTGTTGTCATAGCGCTCCCGAATCATCCGCCAAGCCTCCTCGTAATTGGCCGAAGACACTTCCAAATTCGAAATTATTCGAGCCGCATCGCCCTCCAAGTAAGATACGAGATATTGGAACTTATGAACCGGTTTGATACGGCTGTTATTGTGAATCAAGCTCTCGAAAGTATCCCGAAATTCAAGCCATCGAAAATACGCTCCGTCAAACTTCGCAATTTCTATTAACGGCAATTTAAAACCTTGATCATGATGACCGTGACAGCATGAACTCTCCGCTGTGACAGACAGACGGCGCTGTTCCAACTCATTTGTATTATTATACTTTTCTAATAGGCCCTTAACCGTTGCAATGTTTTTAATAAATTTGTTTTCAATGCTCTCACGCTCATCAATCTCATTAGATAAATTATCCGGACGCAACACCTCAATCTGATTTTGTAAATCGTCGAATCTTAATGATAAGGTTTCGAATTTACTAATTTTAAGATTTAACTCCGCTAGTTGAACACGTGTTAGTTCTGCGCAATCAACGATGCTTTTTATGTAATTATTAAATTTAGTTATCTGCCCTTTAATTGAGCTACGCATTGTAAACAA